TCGGTGCAGAAACTCATAGGAGGAGCCTTGTCGTTGCTAGGGGCAAAAAGGGGCCTAGATTGATGTTAAATTCCAAACATGAATTATTAATTTATATTTTTCATATATCCATATTAATTACCATTAATTATAAAAATGAAATAGATTTACTATCGAGAGACGATATTTAAATAAAGTCTTTTAAAAATTCAACTTTTTAAGTTCTAAATTATTAATGTTATAAGTAAAATCCAGTTTAAAATAGTTCAGTTTTTGCTGATCTAACTACATACCACATATTAAGATTAATTTTTAATATTTCAATTGTAATTTTAAATTTCTTTTTACATTATTTATTTAATGCATCAATGTAAAAGAAGTTATATTGGAAGTTTCTGCCTAAACCTTTTGAAATCTCCAAATCAAAATTAAGCACTTGTAAAAGTGATTCTCATGCATTATATAGGATTGCTGACCAAAATGATGAAATAAAGGTCAAGGACAAGGAGCCTGCCCATAACAAATGAAACAAAAATGTCATTTACCAATTAGGAAAATCCAATAAGGACAAACGAGGGTAGAGGAAAAAGTATGGTGTTTCAAAATTAAATTACAGATTGCAATTGTGGATCCAAAAAAATCAAAGTTTGTGGCAAAAAAAAAAAAAAAAAAAAAAATATGCAAAATTAAATTACAGATTGGCAATGTGGACCAAAAAAATCAAAGTTTGTGGCAAAAAAAAAAAGAAAAAAAAAATAACAAAGAAAGTTTAAAAAACGATCAATATTAATGTTATAAAATAAATTTTTAAAAAAATTACCCTTAACTTCTGGGCATTGGAATGCCAATAAGTTTGTAGTGGTTGAGCTATTTGAAACCTAACCTTTCTTCATTAATCATAGAGTTTTTTTTTTGTTTTTTTTTTTTTTTTTTTTTTTTTTTATCAGCAATGATTTTTTTCCTTTTCTGTTGTTATTAGCCAAGAAAAACTTAACAAAACCAACATCTACACCCCAATTAGCAGGTCTCTTCGTACGCTGAAACTTTATTCGATAATGTTAAATGAAAAAACTTAGTAAAACAATACATTATTATAAATCTCTTATTGAGAGATAAGAGCATGATTACAAGGTAAATTAAATCTTAAAAAAAAAAAAAAAAAAAAGGAATGGTTCCTCTCTTGGTCAAACTATCTGCAAAGTGGTTCCTAACTTCGCTCACAAAATTAAAAGAAACCGAGTTTAGAAAACTCATCATCACATCTAATTTTATTAAAATGCTTCCATCATTTCCAAGGGGTTTCACCCTTTGAATAACCCACCATTGTCGTAAGTATTTTATATAGAAAAATAATTCATACATTTTCTAACAGCTATTGATCACTATGATTCATTTGCATGTAATTGATGGCAATTGCATTATGGAAAGCTCCCTCCTCACTTTTTGGCTCTTTTGGTCCCCTTTATTAATTTTTAATCCACTGGATTATTTGTTTAATTAAAAGCTTTTTCACTAAAGTTGTTTGAATTATCAAAAGGCTTAATCTTTAACAAGTAATTATCTATTGTTTATGAAATCTTCATTTTGGAATATGAAACACGATGAATGGTCCATGTCAAAATATTGTTTATGCACTTCCACGCACAACAGTATATACGGATTATAGAAAGCTAACTATATAATTAATTATTATGATAAATTAACAGTGAAGAATCCACTGCTTTTTGGATTTTTGGATGTACATAATGTTGTATGCAACTATATATATATATATATATATTGATATCAACAGTCACAACCAAACTTGAACTTTTTTTTACAGAATTCATGCATATGCAATTCGTCTATTATTATTATTTAAAATTCTTTTTTTTTTTATTATTTTATCATCACATGATCGAAATGACCCACTTTATATTTTCCATTTTAGTTAATTCCCTGTGCATATTTTGCACATGCCAGTGCAAAAGTTTCATTCTTTTTTCTTTTCTGAAGAAATATAAAATTACTATTCTTAATATATATATATATAAATCCTCAATTGAATAATTCGTGAAATCACTTTTTACATAAGGGGATTATTTAAGATATAAATAAATAAATTTTTTTATGGGAATTGCTTTCAAATACAAACCAACTAAAATTTATGTTTTTTTATTAATTAGTTTTCAATTGAAGCTTGAAATTATATATATATTTTTTATAGTTCCAGAAGTGATTCCAATACCGTTCGATTTATTGATTGATCGTATTTCAGCGGGTCCTCGATTAGTCTCTAATAGCGAAGCAAAGGCATGATTTGAGTTAATTTTTGTTTACTTAATTGAGGTTTGAATTATTGTGGCTAAATTTGGTTTGACAAAAATTTCAAAACTGGTTTTATTGTTTCCTTTGACCAACCAAAGACTCAATTACATTGACAAATGACATTGATGCAATCAGAGACCAACTTTCACTATACCTAACTGATTGTTATTTTTAAAACTAAAGAAAAAATAGAAAAGAAAAATAATTAGTTAATCATTATATAAACTTTGGAATTAAACCTTGCAAGTAAATATTTAAAACAAACTAATTAAACACTTATATATATATATACAAACTAAATTAAAACACTTAATATATATTATATATATATATATTATATACTATATATATATATATAAGAACGAAAACACCCTAAAATCTTTTATCTCAGCCATTATCCTCGCCTCATCTCTGAATAAAATGTTTAAAGCCCTTAGGATTATAATACTACTTTCAGGTTGTTTATAATCTAAACTAGCTTAAGTAAAGAAAAATTTTGTGGATATTGTTTAATCCAAAGTCAAAGAGGACAGATTTTATATATATATATATAATATATATATACATAAGAAGATTATATAACATAGAAGATGCAAAGACAGAAATATTAGTACTGAACTGAAGTTACCACACGAAAAATCGCAGAGAAAGGAACAGGAAGAAGACGAAAAGACTGGAACTGTAAGTAGTAGTAGGAGTAGGAGTACTAGCAGTAGTAGTTCTGCAACTTAACAACAATGGAAGAGTCAAAAGAAAAATGAAAATATTAAATTAAAAATTGGAAACATAGAAATGGGACCCAGATAGAGTTGTCGCTTGTCGAGGTGGAGAGGCGCGCGTAAACAGCGCTGGAGCTGTTTCCCGATGCAATAATAATAACTCACACTGCCACTGATTCTCTTCCATGTATTAAATATTTATAAAAAATAATAATAATAATAATAATAATAATAAGAATAATAAGGGAAGGAGGGGGAGGGTCCCACAGGTCTCCCTATCACATCAAACGTTAACTCATAATTTTGATGTTGGACTCTCTCTTACACTATGCTCCCATGTGGGATATGGGCTCCATGGGAACCAAGTTTTTCAGACACAGATGGGACTGTTTTGGGGTCCTCCCTACCATCATGCTTCCATGCCATTCGATTAGACATGGTTCGGACAACCCATTCTTTTCTTTTTCCTTTTTTTTTTTTTTTTTTGGACCCAACCCCCATTCTTTTCTTTTTCCTTTTTTTTTTTTTTTTTTTTTTTTTTAAATTCTTCTAATTCTAATACTACTCTAATACATTACTCTTATTATTATTATTATTATTATTAATCCAAAAAATCGTGGTGGTGTTAAAGAATTAGATGGTGGGAGGTTGTCAAATTGATGTGATAGGATTAATAGATGAGCGATTGATGGAGTGAAGGAGGGACCCTTAGATATTTTGGATGGACGGCTGTGATTTAATATTGTATGGGATGGTAATATTACATTATTTATTATATATGTTCCTTGTGGGGAACTCACCCATTAATATACATGCACTGTATTTTAGTAAAAGCTCTAATAAATTATAAATTTATATTTCCAACCCCTTAAAAAAAAAAAAAAAAAAAAAAATTGACGTGATGTTGATCTCTACACATCAGTTTTACATGTTAATTATGAATAGTTTAGGATGCTTAAGCACATTATTTTATCTCCATAATCCCACTCAACTTGGCGTAAAGGCACTTCTCTGGCCGATCGCCCACCACCATATATTATATATTTTTTTCTTTTTTTTTTTTTTTTTTTTTTCCACGTTTTGTTTATTTATGATGGGGGGGTACTTTACGAGGTAAGGGAAGGTAATAAAAAAAAAAAAAAAAAAAAAGAAGATTGACGTGATGTTGATCTCTACACATCAGTCTACATGTTAAATGAATAGATTTAGATGCTTAAGCACATTATTTTATCTCCATAATCCCACTCAACTTGGCGTAAGCACTTCTCTGCGATCGCCCACACCATATATTATATATTCTTTTTCACGTTTTTTGTTTTATTTATGATGGGGGTACTTACTGTTTAGGGTAAGGGAAGGTAATTATATGATGGGGTACTGTTTAAAGTAAGAAAAAGACTATTTACAAGTGTTAGGCAAGATGGGTTTGATTGATATGATAGTAGAATCTTAAACATATCAAAATGGTCCCATTTTGTCAAGAACTTGTATATGCCACACCTAACTTTACTCTTAACGTCAATATAATTGGACTGCTTTCAATTCCCAGTTTCTGTTTCATTGCACTTTTTCTCTACCGTAACAATTACTTTTCTTGTGCTGTAACAGCATTTAGAAATTGACAAGAGTCTGTTTGAGTCTCTAATGTCCACTTCTTGGAGACTTGAAAATAAGAGAAATGGGCCATTCATTCTCATTTAGTAGAGGGCTCAAGTACAATGTCATAAGCTATTATAGGCCTATTTTACTAGCTAGCTTTCTCTGGGCTAAGGCAGTCCTACCTCAGGAATGTTGTGTGTTTCATTTCTTGTCATCTATTCAGTAGTAGCTGATAATAATTCTTTGAGGCTCAATATGGTCTTTTTTTTGGGCTCAGTAGTAGTCTTTTGGGCCCTCATGTGTTTGCCCCACAAAAGTTGATGGGCTTGCTCTTCTTTGGAAAAGAATTCCAATTGTTCAAAATAAGATACTAAATGATAGAAGCAAAACAAAGTATAATCTCATAACCAAATATGAGAATACAATTTTATTCCATGTATATCAATTATACAACAAAGATAACAAATGGGATTTCTATCTTTCTTTCTCTCTCTCTCTCTCTCTCTGTCTCTCTTTCTTTCTTTTTGTCCTTTAGGTAAAATATTTGTGTACACAATGTAAATAAACAATATTAAAATCACAAATTCAGAAAGAGAATAAATTTATTTACAGAAGTTTTTAACGAGTATAAACACAAGGAATCATCAAATCTTTATTGGTTAAACGGCAAGCTGTGGAGAACTTACTTCAAGTCTATGGATACCACAAGTGGAGAGTCTCCCTTATCAACAGTAAATGTTTTTGTAATTTTCTTTGAAAGAGTAACAATTTCCAGAGTGTATCTACCCTGAAAGCCTCTAAATGCAAATTCTCCTTGCTCATCCACATGTCCGTGAGCACGAGTCAACCATTCGTCTTTAAGAACAAGATATCTTTTACCAGCTTCATTGAGTTCACCTTCTGCATTAACCAAGTGAGCGTTGTCTCGGCTCATAAATAACTCCCAGAATCCCCAGAGCATAATGCCGTCCACCGCAGGATGAGCAAAAGCTTCTCGCAGCATAACTTCCAAATCATCACCTCTAACATATTCATTAGAGGAAGACACATCAAGCTCTGTAAACCAGATTGGAAGACCAAGAATACCCAATCTATCCAAAGCAGAACTTACAATAGGCCCAACTGGACTATCTATATGTCCTTGAATTCCAATTCCTCCAACAGGAGCACCTTGTTCTTGCAAATCAAGAATCTGTTCTATGTACTTTTCTGGAGATGATCTGGTGTCATTTCCATCCTCGATGTGATAATCATTCACAAACAGAATAGCAGATGGATCAAGCTGATTGGCAGTCTTGAACATGTTTACTCGGATATCTTTACCCAACCGATCTTGATAGAATGATCCGTGCAGCATCTCATTGTTCACATCATAGTGCCGAAACTTTCCTTTGTACCGAGTGAGAAGACCTGTTAGACGATTTTGAACAGCTGTTGCCAAGTCATTTTTGTTTAGAGCTTTAATCCATGGCTGGACTGTGCCTTCCACTTCCCAAAAGATACAATGACCCCGGGTTTCTATGTTATTTTTGTTACACATATCCAACATCTCATCAGCATCCTTGTAGTTAAGGTTTCCTTGCTGTGCCTCAGTCCAGTACCATTTCAACTCATTTCCAAACACAGCCCAATTGAAATTTTTCACAAAGAAATTAACAAAATCTTCATTATCTATGTTTGTCCTGCTTATGCATGAACCGAAAGGAAAACTGTTGTGTGTTTGTTTTACTTTAATGAAAGTACCATGTAAACTGCTTGAATCCACACCAGAGAATTTTAGGGTGACATCACGTTTACGGATCTGCAATGCAGAAAAGTAAGGAAATTCAAAATCAAAGATGGGATACTAAATAAAGGAATTTGCTTGGTCATGTAAACAAAATATCCGATTTGAAAAGGCCACTCGAATTACGCATGCCTAGGCGCTAAATGCAGCTTTACATGACCAATATCAAATACTGAAATGATGAAGCAAATGAAAGCTATCCTATGATTGAAAGCAGGATTACTTCCTGCAGACAAAGTAGTGTTTTAAATGTTACATATTTGGCTGTGTTTAACAATTTTTAGAAAAACAGCTAACCAGATTGAATTCTGCAGCGCAGATCCAGGAAAATATTCAGCTACTATTTGTTTAATTTGATATGTTATTAAGGAATATAATTAATCAAATACCATGGCAATCATAACCACCAGATTACCTTGTCACTCTGCCTCCTCAAATGCTTGAACCGTGCCTCTCGGTCAACAGGGAAAATCTGAACCCCAGCAACCATTAAGTCAACACCAGGAGCAGGACCTTGGACATAAACCATGACCTTAGATGGCTGCTTTTCAATCCTGAAAGACCCACCAATTTCATGCCATCTATCGTCGTTAATCTCAACTTGTCCCCCATTGACCCACTGGCTGTCCACTCCCAGTGCAACATTCACATTTTGAGGACCAGTTGATCCAGAACCAATCTTAACCCAAGCAGATACCTGGTATGTCAAAAAAAGCTTGATTTTATCTGTGATCATCTGTGCAGGGCCCATCCATGTCTGAGTGCGTTTAGCGACTAAGATGTAACGACCGCTTAATGGCTCATGAGGTCCAAGGGACTCCCTCGCCATTGGAGGAAGTATATGCGGTGAACCAGTTGCAACAGTAAGAGTGCAATTACCAAGAGGAAACCACCCATTGGTTCCATCACTCAGATTGCTATTCTGAATTATGTTAACTCCATAGGCAGGATTCTGCAACATAAATTCCAAACTTGAGTGCTTTAAACCCTTGGGATTCAACAGAATATTGCAGACAACAAAACTTCAGTGAAGTTGAAATGTTTAAATTACTTGGATCTACCAACCTCAATTACTGGAGGAGGTGAGGGTGGGATTTTCTCAGCATGCTTTAAAACAAAACTATTGACAAGAATATCAGTGCCTGGAGGCGGACCTTCTATGTAAATCACTACTCTTTTAGGGGAACCATTGAGCAAGAACTTCCCCTGCAACTGTACCCACTCCTTATCTGTTGCCTGCAGACTACAGACAAAAACAAGCTATCATGAAAGCGATCCAAAATGCGAATGCTGATTATATCACTGATCAAATGTAGTATGAATTTTAGTTAGTTTGATTTGATTGGTGAAAATGATAAAACGCTACAATAGGAAAAACATAAAACCATGCATGTATACATGATTTAGTTTACCACAGCAGAATCATTTATAAAGCCAAATCAATGTAGGAGAAACTGAAAAAATAGTGTTTACAGATATTCCAGGTTATAGAAGCTAATAATTGTGGAGATTCAAAAGAGGAAAAAAGTACTAACTTGGCAATGCCAATATATTGTTCACGGAGATCTGGTGTTTGGACCCATAGTGTAGTCCGTACATCAGCACTAGTAACATTGTTACCAAATATCCGAACTACGGCAATGGCTTCATAAGCAAGCTTTCTCTGCACTCTTCCAGTTATCTCCTGCTGAATTCCATTCCAGCTCTGGGTGCGTTCAGTTGCAGAAGCAAAAACTTTTCCAGACTGGGGGACAATTTTCCCATCTTCCATAGAATCATGTAAGATAACCTTGCAGCCTCTTCCAGACCAGTTATTCAGGCCATCCTCAAATCTAGGATTTATGATGATGTTCTCATCTGCATCTCCAGCGTTGTCACATCTATTGCTTGCATGCTTTCCATAAAAAGAGAAAGGAAAATATTTCATATTTATCATCACAAAATAAAAAATAAATATTTACAAATAAAATTAATTTTCAAGGATACATATGAAAAGAAAATTTGGAATAGATAGCCTGCAAACCTTGTTAATTTTCAAAATATCAAAGGTTATATCTGTTCAATGAATTGGAGAGAAAATAGAATGAATAATTACCCCGAACTCGCTTGGACTGGAGCAGGTAATAAAAACTGATTCTATAAGTAAGTCCACTCCAGGAGAAGGGCCTTCCAAGTAAAAAATGACCCTCTCAGGCATGGTTGACAGGGAGAATGTGCCTTCCAACTTTTCCCACCTCTCCTTTGACACAGAAGTTCTGCAGTAGTAACTTCTGTTAACAGGATTTGTATATTTCATCAAAGAATAAAAAGAATAATGTGAAGCTACAAATTCATTACTTTCCAATGAACAAATAACGAGTAGGTGAATCTCGGCATTCCAGTTTCAAAGTTGCAAGGACATCAGCAAAACCCTGAATAAGTCCAGATACACCAACAGATGCAGAAACTGAATAAGTGGACCCTGTAGCAACCCTGCTTGTGATATCTTGCTCCAACCCCTGCCAACATTCTTTTCGATTTGAAACAACTGCATAATTACCACCTGACTTTGGTAAAAATCCTGGACGACCTGACTCGGCTGAAACCACAAAGCCATCACAGCAATTTGGGTGCCATGAGTGCAGTCCTCCAGAGAAGTCATGGTTTATTATGACATTGGTAGCACCATTGCCACTTGAACTAGCCATACTTTGGTTTACAATCTGTCAAGTAAAGCAGAAGTATATACTTTAAATAATCAGCTTCCCAGAGCCACACCTGTGTTCTTCTCATAGTTAGATTTTCAAATTCAAATCCCAGACAGAAATTTCTTTGTAAGTAGAAAACAAATAAATAGAATAGAGCAAAACCTCAGTTTACAAGAAACACATGCGTATTTATTTAAATGAATTTATTTGGTCTCTTAAACAAAAAGGGAAAAACACAATTTAGTTATGTTCATTCAGTTCATCACTATCCTTTGACACAGAATGTGACCATGGACACATGAAAACCAAACAGTCTGGGCTGCTTAATTCACTCAAATGCAAAACGTATGATGTATCATTTGTAACAAAGAGATCCTAGAAGTGTGCAAAGATGCACTTAATCCAGTGTATGTTTCATCCATATGCATTGCTTCATGGATTTTGTTCCGAAGTTAGAAAATGGACTTAGTAAATTCGGTGAATGAATTTAACTGCCTAGAAAAAATATGTTTGTATTTAAGGCATGTGTTTAAGTGTGTAAAAAACCTAGAAATATATAAATTAATAACTCTATCATCATCCAATCAATAAACAAAAGATTTCCTGAACAACGAGTTTAGAGTTTTTGGGATTCTTCAAACATGTTTTTTTTTCCAAGGTTCAGCACAGAATAATATACAGAGAAAAATACACTCCAAAGGTGACTATTGACAAACAAAAGATACCCATGAGCTACGAGAAAATAATACAAGCATCAGAACTTCAAGAAGAAAACCCAACACATTACGGAAAAAATTGAGAAACCTAAAAGCCGAAGGCAGATAAAAAATGTACCTCTAATTTCTCATTGCCATTATTCACCTGAGGATTCTCCATTGTTGCTGTGGATCTCTACAGAAACAAAAAACAAGCAAATCAGAGTAACAATGGCTTTTTAATTTTGATCATAAAATTATATAAACATGACAGCATCTCAATTCTCGTAGATCGAGAACAGAAACGAGTACCCGAGAATGTTTATGCCTGCGATTTCTCTTGAATGCTTGACCGTTGAAGCAGAAAGCAGAGAACCTCCTCATTTTATACGCACCGTTTTGGAGATTTTCAAGTGCAGTCTACGAAAAGCCCGATGCCTACCACACCAAACAGTCCATCAATTTCCCTTTCCAGCAAAGTCCACTGAACTTCTTTTGTCCTTTTGTCGGGGTTTATCAAACCTAAAGAATTAGCACGTTCTTTTCTAAATTTAAGAAAATATGCACTTTTATTTTTTTTAATCAATCCGTCTCTTCAAGGCTAAGGCTCTTCTTGAGAGTCGAGGCTTCTCTTCTACTACAATTGCTTTGTCTTGCAGATTGGGGTAAACCAACCCCGTGTGGCTCTTGAATGCTTGAATTGGAAAAGAAGGTTTAGAGATTTGGATTTGCTCCATTTCTTGATTTGAACACGATTTCTGATCCTTTTTCATCAATCCTTTGATTACAAGGCAAAAATTGTCTGTTTTCTCAGTGACGTTAGGTAAGGATGGGCTTTCACTGTTTTAACAAAGCCTAATTGGAAAAACCAGGCGTGAAAGTTATATGCTCTATGGCTATAAATATCTGTTACTGTGCTGCAACAAGTTGAGCTGCAGAAAGTTTCAAAAGAAACACAAAAAAATCCAATTCCAAGCTCAGGCCGGTCCTGGTGACTAAAATTGAGTTCTTATCTACAGATGGTGCCATTGCTTTAAGGCTATATTTTACTTCAACATAATAAATTTGTAGTGGTTTCTGGAATCTGATTTTGGCAAGCAAAAGAATCTACGTAGAAGGCAGAAGAAAACGCAAAATATTTGAAAACATCATCTCAGCTACTATGTCTGGACGTGATAGTGGAGAAACCATCAAATCCTGAACAAAATGTTACTGTAGACGGTAGATAACTAATACACTGTAACCAAAAAAGACATTACTTTGATATCCTTCTATAATTGCATTAAGCAAATAAAAGCAGGTCAATGATTCCTAATGTTCACTGCTAGTTTGAGAACTCTCTATGAACACCAAATGCCTAAATGTTTACAAGTCAATGGAAACTACAAGAGGCGATTCACCCTGGTCAACAATAAATGTCTTGTTAACTTTCTTTGAAGAGGAATCAATTTCTACATTGTAAGTCCCATGGAAACCTCTAAATCGGAACTCTAGTTGATCATTAATACTCCCATTAGCATCAGACAGCCACTCTTTCTTAAGAGCAAGGAATCTCTTACCAGCTACATTGATTTTACCATCTGCATTCACTAGATGAGCATATTTCCGGGACATGTACAACTCCCAAAATCCCCAAAGCATCACACCTTCCACTGCAGGATGTGCATAAGCCTCTCGAAGCATTACTTCCAAGTCATCTGCTCTAACGTACTCGTTAGCTGAAGAAACATCAAGTTCCGTAAACCATATTGGTAGACCAAGAGTTCCTAATTTATCCAGTGCAGAAGAAACAATGGGTCCAACTGGAACATCAATATGTCCTTGAATACCGACTCCTCCGACTGGAGCACCTTGCCCCTGTAGGTCAAGAATTTGTTGTATGTATTTCTCTGGTGATGATCTAATGTCACTTCCATCCTCTATGTGATAATCATTAACAAAGAGAGTAGCAGAAGGATCTAGTTGTTGGGCAGTTTTGAACATGTTGACTCGGATATCTTTATCCAGTCGATCTTGATAAAATGAACCATGCAGCATCTCATTGTTCACATCAAAGTGGCTGAACTTTCCCTTGTAACGAGAGAGAAGGTCTGTCAGGCGGTTCTGAACAGCAGTCATCAAGTCATTTCCATTCAAAGATCGAACCCATGGTTGAATTGCATACTCCATATCCCAGAAGATACAATGACCACGAATTTTTACGTTGTGGCTCTTGCACCATTCCACGAGCTCATCAGCTTCCTTGTAATTGAATTTACCCTCTTGTGGTTCTGTCCAGGACCACTTCATTTCATTTTCAAACACAGCCCAGTTAAAATTTTTAATAAAAAATTTAACAAATCCTTCATTGTCCAGGCTTGTTCTGGTTATGCATGATCCCAAAGGAAAACTGTTTTGTGTCTGTACAACTTTAACAAGGTTGCCAACTATATTGCTAGTGTCGGATCCAGAAAATTGTAGGATGATATCTCGCTTACGTATCTGCAAGGCAATAAAGCTGTAATCAGAAAAATTCATTATTAGTTGAAATTAGATTGATTCACATCTTAAAAATTTGCGTGATTACATTTTATTGCAAAATGGGGATCGTAAGAGGCAGGTCTTAGGTAAAGTTTAGACATTCTAGGAGTAACCTTTTAATTTTGAATAATTGAATCTAATTGTAAAAGCTGCTTTTAAGAAAATTTGCAGTGCGTCATTATTTCAGCCTACAGGATTTAAAATATGTCCATGTTTAACCTATATTCTATTTGTTTCAACGTTTCAGAACATTTATCTATATATCCTTACCAAAAAATAGTTTTCACATCATCTAACCATAGAATATAAGCTATCAGTTATTCAACAAAATAAAATCTACTAAATTTAATTTTAGCAAAGAAACAATCATTATCACAAAATTACATCTTAGAATTGCATTTAATGTAGAGAATCAGGTAAGAATGCAAGAAGCCATGGCTATTTAGACAGTGTATAATATAACTAGTTGCCGTAATGGCAGAATAAAACAGACGTGGCAGAATGCATAATAGCATAGGCCAACAGCGAGACCACATGCAAACTCATTTCCAGAATTGAAGGCAATATGCACTAAAGTTGAAGAAAGCAACTCATTCAATGTCAGCATCTAGGTTTCACTTTTGCATCATAGGCAGAAGCAATGAAAAACAAATGCCAAAAAAGTTCTGTTTGCAGATACCTTATCTGTTTGCTTCTTCAAATACTTAAATCTTGCTTTCCGATTTACAGGGAAAATATGAAGTCCTGCAACCATTAAATCAACACCTGGAGCAGGACCTTGGACATAAACCATTACGTTGGATGATTGGTTCTCAATTCTAAAGGACCCACCAACCTCATGCCACTTGGCATCATTAGACTCAATTTCTCCTCCATTGATCCACTGGCCATCCACACTGAGTGCAACGTTCAAAATTTGAGGTTCAGTTGCTCCAGCACCAACTCGAACCCAAGCAGATACTTGATATGTCAGATACACTCTCAATTTTTCAGTTAACATCTGTGCAGGACCCATCCATGAATCTATGCGGTTGGTTACTCGGATATAGTGGCCACTTAGAGAGTTATAAGGTCCAAGAGAGTCTTTCGCCATTGGAGGGAGTATGTGTGGTGAACCAGTTTCAACACTCAAGGCACAGTTACCAAGAGCAAACCACTGATTGGTGCCATCATCAAGATCGCTGTTCTCAATTATATTCAACCCAAAAGTGGCATTCTAGAAAAGGAAAAAAGAAATTCACATTTTATTCCTAAAATCTTAGAATCCAACACTACGCATAGCATGCAACATATACCACATATCAGAAGCTCCTAATTAGATATTCATAATCATGTGTTGAAAATGTGCATATATATATGTGAGAGCATAATATGACCAACCTTGGATACGGGTCGAGCTGATGAAGGGATCTTCTCTGCGTGCTTTACAATTAGACTATTTACTAGAATATCAGTTCCTGGAAGTGGACCTTCTAAATATATTACTGCTCTTGATGGGAAACCATTAAGAAGGAACTCCCCCTTCAATGCAACCCAATCTTCATCCGTTGCCTGTGAACTACAGCACACAAATCAGCTACTGTATTGGTAAAACCAACAAAATAAAAAAAATGCAAATCTTGACACCACATAAAATTTGTAAATGAGAGAACCAATGATAAAAAGAAGTGGCATTGTGGGAAGACAGCACTCAGAAATTGTCCAGAATTATACATTAATTTCAGTCAGTAGTGTCTTTAGCAAATGAGAAGAGATGAAAAGACTAACTTGGCAATAGCTATGTATTCTTCACGAAGATCTTGTTCTTGAACCCACAGGGTGAGCTGCACATCAGCACTGGTGACATTGTCACTATATACTCGAACTAGTGCAATCGCCTCATAAGCAACACGTTGCTGAACTCTTCCAGTGATCTCCTGTTCAATTCCATTCCACTTTTCTGTGCGTTCTGTTGCAGAAGCAAAGAACTTTCCTGATTGTGGAATTATTTTTCCATCTCCCATAGATTCATGAAGTTCAATCTTACAGCCTTTGGCAGACCAATTATTAAGGCCATCCTCAAACCTAGGGTTCAATATGACGTTATCCTCCTCAGCAGCAATATGGCCTTTTCTTGCAGTCTTTATGAAAGAAGGGAAGTGTAAGTAAAGATTAACAGTAATGCACTTCTCAAAATGGGCTTTTAAGAGAAAACACCAAATAAAAAAAAATAAAAAAATAAAAAAATCTTAGCTCAAGGAAACTAAAGTGACTATGTTCAGAATTGGTTCATACCAAACTTAACTGAGATCTAGCATGAATGAATCCTAAACCTCCTTATGGAACACTACAATATTACTTTTCATACTCTCACCACAACAGACATGTTGCAGTGAAAGTTTCAGGTTTTAATTATTGCCTAGCAACTCCAGTTTACTACTAAGATATATAAGCCTTCAAATTCTCATAGCAACAGAAAGGAAAGGCCATGATCACAAAACGGAATCTGAAACAAGACCACTTACAAAGGCTAGGGAAGCAAGGGCAAGAAAATACCACTAGAACAATTTCGTTAAAAGTTAAAGCGAAGGGTTAAAAGTTAAAGCCCACTGTGTAACTAGAATAGCAAGAATGTTACTGTAGCATCAGCTAACTGCATTGCCAAGGAAACGCGATGATTATGCTGACATAGCCAAAAAAAATAAAAAAAAAACAAACAGACAAACAACCAACCATCAGGTAACCGATAAGAAACTACATTGCTTAACTTTTTCTTCCCTTCAACCGTTCTTTTAAAACGGGCCATAACCAGACAACAACAGAATCATAAAAAAGCAAAAATTAATGCCAAACATTTGGTCTGTATAGCTGCAAATGTAATATCTAAAAAATAAATTGAAATTGAATAAAAATGTGGTTTTTACCTGGTGAAGTTGATTTGGCACCAGAACTGATTCAGCAGAAGTACCCAAAAGCAAAATCAGAATAGAAAGGATGGTTCGAAAGGAAAGTAATTGCTCCATGAGAAGTGAAACCGTGACTTGCCAGAGACTCCATTTTTCAGAGTAAAAAAGGGAAGAAAAAGGAGGGAAAGCTGCAATAAAAATTTTCAATCAAAGATTTTTCATCGTTTAGTGGGCGGTGGAGGAAAATGGGGAGGCGGAAAACGCCAAGAAGAGAATCGTGATTAAATTAAAAATTACAGAGAAAGGGTCACGAGAGGAGCATTGTTTCATGGAAGGAGAGTTTAAAAACTGGCTAAGAGATGGTTTTTAGCTGTAGCAAACTTGAATGGTGAACATGTTAGAGTGCAATGATTCCATGTCAGCGAGCCGGCTTTGCAGCTCTGTACACTTATCCACTATCACAAGTGCTGCCACTAGCGTATAGCAAATTGGAGGGCTAGTAAGGAGTAGCGGATAATTCAAATACCTAATCATAAACCATTACTTTAGAACTTTAGTACAGTGATTAGAATTAAGGCCACGAAAATTTTACTAGAATAATAGCAAATATTTCCTTGAAAAGACAAAAAAACGAAAAAACAAAAAGCTAAAAGGCACTCTGCCTTTGTTTTTTTTTAAATAGAAAGCGTATGTCTTTGACTATTCTCCGATAGTTTTTCCCATCTTCTGATAATAAAAGAACGAATTTTCAGCAGATTGGAAAAGGACCCATTGTGTTGGTACAAGGAATCCATAAGTTACCATAAAAGGGTTAAGCTTTAAACATCTTATTAGTTTCTAGAAAAGTTGAAAATTGGCATTAATTGGTCATTTGAAATTTGAAATTTACACAGGCTTTGGGTTTCTAGAGAGCTCCACAAGTTTCTGCTCCTTCATTATCAACAAACATAAACGGAAACTCTAATCTGTGACGTTGAAATTTACATTTTCAAATAGTAAGTTAATAATAAATAATTAGCTATGCGCCGGCGCGGTAAAGAAATTCTTCTGCTCCAAGAAGAATTGCGCGTCAACTGCGGCCGTCTATTTCTAGAAGTTCTTCTACTTTGAAATCCACCTCATATCTCTGAAGTTAAAGAGACTTCTTTCCAATTTACACATTTGTCCCTCTCCTTTAAACTCGTAGTTACAACCAAATCCAAGTGTCATTATCTAATTCGGTCTACCTGTTTCTAACAAACCTTGCAGGAAGTCTAGTGGGTCAAAAGAAAGTAGCTACGGTACAAATCGTAGCCCGTGGCTGCCTCTTCTACAAATCGTAGTCTCGTCCCTCCCTCTCTGGAACCAGACATCGCCCATTTTTAATTTAAAAATCCATAGCTTCTCTGTTCATTTAGATCCGTTTTCAGATTTCAGACTCATAGGCACGCGCATTTTGACCATTGACGAATTAGATATATATATATATATAACATTATCAGACTAATCACATGCATACGCTTACATCTAAGCTCGCGTTTCAATTTATTGTCCATGGATTCTCTCAAGGTTGAAGAAGAAGGTACTGGTTCTAGAGCAGTAGAGGATGCTGCTGTTGCTTGTACTACTTTTCCGCCGAATGGAAGATCGGAGATGGAGTTGACTCAGACAAACAAGGAAGTGAAGAAGAAGAGGAATAAGAAGTGGAAGAGAAAATATTCTTATTTGCCAAGAATTGGATGCTTGAGAATAGAAGAAGATGAGGAAGGGAATTTTGATGCGGAGGTGGAAAATGTCGGAGAGCCTGCCAATCCGGTTCACTTGGTAGTTATGGTCAACGGCTTGATGGGCAGGTTTAGCCATTCTTGATTTCATGCTCATTTACTAGGCTGTTCTTGGTTTTTCTCATGATTAGGAGAAATGTTGATTAATAATTTATTCCTCTGGTCGATTCCTTCAATTTTTGTAATTTTTGTTGCTTGAAAGATTCAGTTTTCATGCTTTATAATTTTCATTATCACACTTATGATAGGGACAAAAAGTGAAATTAATTAGATTAGTAGTCAATTAATTATGTTGTCGCTGTTTTATTAGTCTTTGATTAATAATCTAATTATGTGTTATCTGCAGCGCTCAGAATTGGAAATTTGCTGCCAAGCGGTTTCTGATACACTATCCCCGAGATATTATTGTTCACTGTGAGTCTGATTAACTTTGTCATGTCTTACAATTATTGGGTAATTTTAGTATAATTTATACTTTCTAATCCCCTAGTGATTAAGAGGGTTGAAAATGCTTCTAACGCACGAGGTATCTAGGTAGATTTTGCATTTACTACTTAAAGTTGGATTGCTTTGATTTGTTTCGGATTGGATCACGTGAGCGACAATGCAAATAAAAATTCAAAAAGATGAATGCGAATGTTTGTTATGTTTGATATATCATCTATATGCTTAAACAAACAGATATGAGTATGGCTAATTACGATGAGAAATCTATATATAACTTTGATATGGAAAGAAATTAAAATGCTTTCAATTAACAAAATAGTTCAATGTGAAGACTTGATTCTGCTACTATCTTGAATACAACTGTAACTACAGCCTGTAAGTTGTTAGCACAAAATCTTAACTCAGGCGCGTAACATTTGTTATTTCATCTGAGCCATAAGCTGGTGTTTAGAATAATTTGATTGAACTTGGAAGAAATTATCCTTCATTTGCGTGGCTGACTTTCACAATGTAAAACCTGCAAAGTTTCCATTCAGCTCATTGGATGACTCTGTTGGCTGGCTTGTTGATTATGCAGAAGCTTAGAAATTAATCAAATGTTTTATTTGATTTTGCTATATTTGTTGCCAACAGATGCATGCTTTTACTTGTATATCCATATCTTTAGGCTGTCTTTGATGGAAAACTATTACAGAATACAAACGCTGGTTTTGTTGTAAAATGAGTTGATTAGATTAACTTTCCCGCAGGCAGCAAAGCTAATTCGTTAACATTGACATTTGATGGTGTTGATGTAATGGGGGAGAGATTAGCAGAAGAGGTACATTGTATGGCTTCATCATTAAACCTTCCTTGCTGAATGTGGTTATCATGTTTCTTTTCTGCACTTCTTCTGATTGAACCACAAATCTTAATTCTTAAAATATCATTCCCTCTGTTTCAATTTGGGATTAATATTATCTGTTATCAATTTAATAAAATTGTTCCTTCCATTTGAATTTCTCTAACAAAGGTAGCAACATAACAGTATATTACTTTTATTATTTTTTCAGGTTATATCAGTGATAGAGCGTCACCCCTCTGTAAAGAAGATATCATTCATAGGCCATTCTTTAGGTGGGTTGGTAGCAAGATATGCCATCGCTAAGCTCTATGGACGATATCCTGCAAAGGCACATTCTCAAGGAAATGGAGATTGTAAAGGGGAGGTGTATGGAGATAGAGATATGGAGCAGGATAAAAGCAGAATTGCTGGATTGGAGCCTATGAATTTCATAACCTTTGCTACTCCACATCTTGGTTCAAGGGGGCATAAACAGGTAATTCATAAGATTCTTTGCAGTTGCTTTTACAGTGGAGAGTACTTTTCTGATGTTTTTTGTGAGAAATATTGGTTTCTTTGGATTTCATTATTAAATACTTTCATTCAGTTTGCATTGCGCTTTTAGTATATTGATTGTTTGTAAGATATAAATATCCTTTTGCAATAGTTCATGGGTAGAAGCTTTTACTTACCAGGGAATGTTCTGGTGACAGAATAAATTTACTGTTTATTTCAGACTATGGTTTTTGCTCTACCCTAGCTATGAAAAGTCCAAAGTGTGAATACAGTTTCTTTAGTATTCCTGTTATAGAAACTTTATGTTTCCTATTATCAGGTCCCCATGTTTTGTGGCTTTCACACTCTGGAAAAAGCAGCTTCTCATATTTCATGGTTTCTTGGTAAAACTGGAAAGCATTTGTTCTTGACTGATGGGGACAATGGAAAACCTCCTCTTCTTCTTCAAATGGTTAGCGATTGTGAAGATCTTAAATTTATGTGAGTTGCAACTATTTATGATTTATCTTTTGAAATTCAGATACTGTGTTAGCAAACATCCCAGGAAGATAATTTATAACCTGTCTTGTCCCTGCAGGTCTGCTTTGCAATCTTTCAAGCGTCATGTTGCCTATGCAAATATACGTTTTGACAGTATCCTATTATTACTTTACTATTATACTTATTGACTGTAACTCCTCAGTTTTGGATGCCCAATTATGGTAACTAGCCAATACTTGGGACATGCAAGACTTACAAGGCTTAGATAGTGTTAATTACATAATTTGTTCAGTAGATATGACCTTTTAAGCACTGAAAAGATTCTTTAATTTTACCCTGTCCATGTGATGAACTTAACACCTCATATGTCTTGTGGGATGGAGCACATCATCTTTACGGCATCAGAATGAACTTCCAAAGGTACGTTGCAGTTTCTTGAGTAAGTTGCAAACTATATTTTAAAAATTTGGTCTGATTTGTTTGAATGTTTTCCTCTTATCAGAAAAAGAATCTTTCAAGAGATGAGAAATATCGCCATATAGTACATATGGAAACAGCAAAAAGTTCTAGCCCCCAACAAGAATTACCTTTGGACGCCAAAGTTGATGAACACAAATCTATCGACATGGAAGGTTAGCTACTTAGTTGCCTCTTCAAATTAACTACTTAAATCACTTCCTTATCAAGAATTGGAAGGCACCAGTAAGTTCAATTCTGTGTTTTACTTGGTAGTTACTTCAAGGAATTGCAAGTTTGTTACGTATCAGGATAAAATGAGCAAGTGAAATTTTATTATCTGTAGGGTAAATTTATCAACTGTTTTTGTGATGAAATGGAGCTGTAGAGGAGGAGATTCCCTACTGTAACAAAAACCTTGATCTAAATTTTATTTGGATCCATCTATATTGCCTTCAGAACATCAAGAGTCCTAGTACTAGCAAGTGAAATAATAAGATTGAGAAAATAACTACAGGGGTTCTGTTTTCACCCTTACAATGGAAAATCTACCGTTATTAAATGCACTGCTGTTAGTAGCTGTTGCTTGATGAATCAAAAGATCAATTTGACAAACAATTTCTATCCTTTCACTCCCATGTAAACTTAACTGAAGTTAAAACCAATCTTGATTACTGGTTATCGGTCTTCTTATCAGTTTTTGCAATACCTGCAGAACAAATGATCCAAGCATTGACGAAACTGAACTGGGAACGAGTTGATGTTAAATTCAACGGATACAAACAAAGATTTCTTGCACATAATACTATTCTGGTAGAGTAGTTTTCTTCTTAGCATTTCCTACGCCATTAAGAACTTAAGTTTAAGGGGTTCAATATTAGTCTCTAATTTGGTCGTGTTTTTATAGAAGATCAAATTTTGCCTCTTCACCGACTATTTATCTTGTCTTTCATATTCAGGTAGCGAGGTACTGTCTGTATTCTTCTGGAGCTGACGTGGTCCAACACATGATTGACAACTTTCTTCTATAAAGGTGCAAATTTGTTGTATTATATAAATTAGTTAGTGCTTTTGCGACGACCCATTAATTGAATCCTGAAAAGGGTACTTCTTGATGATCTCATTGTGTGGTAAGAAGCTAAAATGAGACAGAGCAGAGTGGAAGCCCTTGTAAACAGGTCTATTGTACAAGTCCTTCCTCCAGTGTAAACTTGCAGGATAGAAAGGGAGAGAAAAATGAGAGAGGAGTTTGCAGGAATTGTTTATTAGCAAAATTCATGTCATATTCAAAAAAATAAAAAATAAAAAATAAAAATCCATCTAACATTTTATTCCTTGTATTGTGCATGTCAATTTTACTTGTAATATGAAGAAATGAGCTGTCAAATTCATAAAGTATGGAATTGGAGCAACTTAAATTCAAGAACATGTGAGGTGAGGCCTGCAAAATTTTGACAGAAGCCTGTTGCACATTATTATAACAGCCCAAGTCGGCCCAGTCCAGTTTCTTTTATGATAGTACCTCGAGATTTTCATTTAATTTTAATGGGATCAAATCCCTGTTTAGGCATGTGCATCTGAGTCCAATCTCTGCTGTTTGGTCCCTTTTTGGCTGGTTGCGGTATTTCCTAGTCACTGCAAACAGGTCCTCTATGCGCTGTGCTGTGCCGAATCTGAACTCTGGACCCATTTTGGGTTATGGAAACCAAACAAGGGGACACTTGCCATGCACTTGAATTATGTTTAAGTCTTTAATTTTTTTTTTTTTAGTTCTTTAATTCTTATTTCAAATTGCATGCCATACCATAACAAGTGGGGAGGAAACCAAATTGATGATCGTACTATTTATTTACTACTTAATACTAAAATTACACTAAATAGTCAATAAACTCAACTCTTTTGACTTTATTTATAAAACTTATCTGGAAAATATAATTCATCTTCGTTGATTCTGTAATTTAACTTAATAATATTTAGTCTCTGCAATATTTAAATACATTTAAAAAAAATCCCTTCAAGCTCAATGCGACCTTAATTTCCTGCATTATTAAAAATTTATTACAAGTTAATAATTAGAATTAGTGTTAGGACACAGAGTACGGATCAAACGGTTTGCGGCTCTCTTTCCAAAAGGGGTTGTGTATTGCAGGTAAAACCCACGCCCACAGCCATGTCCATACTCAGAAATTTGCAGTTCCTAAACATATATGCATGGTTTCTCAAGCAAACTCCATACTAGTCTACATGCCTACCCATCAAACAGTATCCTTCTGGGGAACTAATATATTGATTCATCCTCTTTCCAAGATAGAAGAAGGATAAGGACTTAGCGTGTCCAGCTTAACTTCAAAAGAAGCCACTTTATATAAATAGACAAAATGAAAGCCAAGAAATGAAAGAAAACCAGAAAAGGAAACTCCTCCTGATTTTCTTGATTCTTGCATGTCTTTATCTTTTTTCTTTTTGAATATTTCATTTGGCATTTGTTTGTTCTTTCAAGGTTTTTGGGGTTTTGTCTCTGTGTTCGTATTGTATTGTTTTCGCTGATTCATTTCTCGCTCCCTCATCTCTGCTGATATAGAAGAGAGTATCTAATTTTAGTGCTATAGTCTTGGTTCTCTGTTGGCTCCAAAAACGAGGTTAAGGTCCTTCCCTTTTCGTTTGAGGTCCTCCACCTTTTAATGTTTTGCCTGTCTCCAATTCTCTTTTTGCCTTACACGTTCAATCTTCCACTTTTTAGAGAGAGAAAGAAAGGAGAGTCCCTTTTTTGTATTATAGAGGTGGCAATCAAGACCTTAACCTTTCTTGCTATTACTTTTTCAGTTTTCTTTCAGGATTCAGATTCTGTACTGTACTACAACTGCCTGCCATTTCCATTCCTTTTCTTTTTTCTATATATCTATTGATTGATGTAATTTACTCCGTCTGCTATTAAAATCTCCTCTCTTCTAATTCTAATCTTCTGCACTCAAAACGACAGCCTGATCTTCCTCTCTTTCTCTCTCTAAAGAAATGGGCAGTGCTCAAATTTGCTACTGTTCAAACAGAAATAGAAAATTGACCATTTCCTTGCTGCTTTTCTTGCTTGCCACATTTACCCTCTTGAGATTTTCAGTAGAAGGTAATTTAAGTTTCAAGAAATTAGCTCAAAACGAAGCAATTAACTCCATATATTGATAGTCACTCTAACTCACTTTCTTTTGTTGCAGGAAGAGCAATTACCAAGCTACTGGAGGTTGCTTCTGCTCAGGTGAAGAAATCATATTAATTTTATATATAAATTCTAACTTCTGATATATATTATACTAATTTGATTGGAATTGAAATAATTTTGACACTATGCATATATATATATATATATAAACAGAGAGTAGAAGATGATGAGAAGGTTTTGATGAGAACTCAAGTGATAGGGTCAACGCCGCCGAGGTGTGAAAGAAGATGCAATTCTTGCGGGCATTGTGAGGCAGTTCAAGTTCCAGTAACACCACAATTTCAAAGCCATAGGAGAAATCACTTATCTACTGCAATCTCTTCCATTGCTTACTCTAGAGGTGATGATGCCTCCAATTACAAGCCTATGAGCTGGAAATGCAAGTGTGGCAACTTGATTCTCAATCCTTAATTAATTCAAATTAAGCAAATTAATCAATTAACTAATAATAGCATGTGTGCCTGGTAAGAAAATTGACAAAGAGAAAAATCATCTTTTTGAATTGTGGATATATGTAACTGACTTCAACTAGATGGAAATATCAAATATGAATTTGCAGAGTGTTCTCTTTTATTTTGCTGTGCCTGTAATAAATTGTTTTCCCCTTATAAAATATTTTTCTTTTCTGTGCAAATTCTACATCATTCAAATTGCAGAGTGACAGGAACATGAAATTTAGTGGGATTTTTTTTAATTTTTATTCAAATGTGTACGCGTTGGATGTTCAATTAATTAATAAAATTTAAGATATATATATTTGTATGTGTGAGTGAATCATCAAGCATGTATACTGTCAGGAAAGGCTCTGTTTACGTATCTTACAAGACTTATACACCATAAAGCCTGCCCACCTCGAAGGGATAAATATATATGTACACACACACATAACCTATAAAGAAAACCTAAACACACATATGTCCACCTCATTATCATCTCATACTTCCCTTTCAAGTTTCTGCAACTGCAAACTTACTTTGGTTAATGTAATCCTATCATTTATTATTAATGTGGTTTTGGGAATCTGCTGAAAATGAACATGCATCCTCTTTCTTGGAAATTTTTTGTTAATAGTCCCCGTCTCAGATCTTAATAGATACTATTAACACAAGATTATGATTAACAATAACAGGTAGCATAATTGTTTATAACTCTGTTCATTTAGAACGAATTTGCTACATCTAAAATCAAGAATTGACTGCACCACCAGACTTTATTATTATAAATTCTTCATCTTCATTTTATTCTGTTCTAGCTAGAGATCAGGGGAGCTTCGGAGCTGAAATTGGAAATGATAAATAGATTAGTCATTTTGATTGTTGTGGGTCTGAAAAAGATATAGGGATAGAACGCTCAATTAATATATGCAATAAATGCGGTGGTTCTGGGTAGTTCCTTCCTTCCTTCCCCAGTTTATCCCTTCCATTCTAGTAAGTTGTAGTAATAACCTCCGCTCCTGTAATCTAAATGATGTGATGGTTTTGTTTCTCTTTGCTGTGTCTATTTTCATCATCTCATCTCATCTGATTCTGATGCTCTTTTTGTTTGTAATAACAAAGTCCATATCACTTCAATGCCGACACTCAGTTGCAACAAAAACCCAAAAATTTTATCATCTTGGCTGCCATTGCATTGCATGTCCATGTGAAACTATTTTCATGTGTTTCTTTTTTTTCTTTTTTTTTTTCCCTTCTTTTCCACAATAAATAAATGAATACTTTGAATTGTTAATAATTGTTTCCATACATTCACTAAGTATTAAAAAAAGGTAATTAACTACTTAATCACTAATTCTTAGCCAAAATTACTATCACATTTCTATTGTTTGGTAAAATTATTGTTGTCCAGGTTAACCCCGGTAAATTTCTCTATCTTAAAAATGTCATTTTTTGTCATTAAATGAGAACTAAATAGTAATCTAATAATGCATGTAAGGAATTAGAAAGTTCTATTATATTAAATATAAATAATTAAATATAATAAGATATTTAAAAATAAAAAAAAGAACGTTTTAGACAAAAAGAATCAAGTAGTTTATAGTGCTAAATTTCAAAGACGAAGAAGTGATTTTACTAAGTAATCTAAAATATTTAATAACAAAAAAGAGGGATCATGGGGCTGAAACAGGTTTCGGACCAAAACCTTCAGAATGCCGAAACAAAGTTTAGTTAAATCTCGAACATAGGCCACGGCCCATCCTATGGCCCATCTATCAACGATGCCAAGGCCCATTCCATTTCAACGAATGGCAGCAGTCGATTTCCACAAAAAGAATTCCACTACAGTTTCAGACGCGTGAATCCAATGGAGAATTTTATTTATTTACTTTTGGAGGAGGAGAATTTTATTTTTAATATTACTGAAAAAGAGTCAGCAAATCCCTTTAAAAATAATTATTAGATGTAAAATCGCATAGTAATAGTGTTAAACTATGAATAATTACCTATTTAGTTCATAAATTTTAGTTCATAATTATATATGAGATTTCACATATTAAACTCTAGTTTTCTTTTTTTCAAAAGATATCATTTTTAGTGTTAAACTTGAAAACTTAAACAATAATTCAATAGTGAATGCAAGAGACTTAACATTAACATTGTATTAAATGTGAAATACCAACTAGTCAATGATTAAAAGGTATTTAATCGTTAAAAAAAAAAAAAAAAACTAGAATCTGGAAAGCCCATCTTTACCTCAGTAGGATAATTTACAAAACAAAAACTTTTTGAAACACTCTGCTTTGTTCCATAAATATAACATTTTTTAGGGAAAAATGCATGCTAAAAACGAAGTCGTTTCACTATAACCAAAGAAGGCATTAATTCCATGCCAAGCAGTACAGAAATCAATGCCGACAATTGTGTCCCAGACACACGTACACTGAGCTTCTTGTGGTGGGCGTTTTTGGAGCTACTCTCACACTCTGCATCTGCCTGTTAGAGAAAGAAAGAGAAACAATGCTCACTCGCACCCCTTAACCACCTCCTCCTTCCCTTCATCCCTTCCATTTCTATTTTCAGCCATGTCGTTTTTCTTTGCCATTTCTTTGGAGCATAAGCGCAAACAATAATTCTTTGGAGTACATACCTTATATATTGCGTCGCTCCGGACGACTAATATTACTTTCTTTTCCGTTTTTGGCAATTGTATCGTACACGGCACAGACACAAACACCCATTTCGTTTAAAGGCTTAAAGATTGATTCTTTCCGCTTTCCATTTCATTTTCACGGATCTGAAGTTCAGTTTTCTTACTGGTACCCTCTTTTCTCTCTCACCTGTATTTCTTTTCTTTTCAATGATCTTGTTTGAGTTTTGCGATTTTGCTGCATTTTATGATCTTTTAATTGGATTGCTCGTTCTAATCATTTCGGTATCTGTCTGATTAATTTTGTAATCTTACTTACTTTGCCTTTTTCTCTATCCTTAGTTCCTGTTTTTCCAATTATGGCTTTGTGCACTTTGTCTGTTTGTCTATAAATGAACCTGGGATTGAGCCAAGTTTCTAGTTTTTGTGCTTGGAAGTTGGAAAGGTAATACTTGTCCCTTGCTTCCAGTATTCTAATTCAGCTCCAAATGCCTTTCAACTTAATTATGGTGCTTATATAATTGGATGCGTATAATGAAAGATCTCAATCTATATTTCATGATGATATAATGTTATTGAATAATCACCAAACACGTAGCCAAGTTCTTTCTTGCCCACTGAGTAGGCGAAGAAGCTGGAGTTTATCTGTTTTTTCGCCCTCCAAACTTAATGATGCAGGGTTATATGGTATTCAGGTATTGCCCATGTGCAATATCCGTTCCTTGTTTTGTCATTTGGGACCAAACAAACAATAATCTTGCCTTAGTTATGTTGATTGTTCTGGTTTATTTTGTTTTGATTTAGTTTGTTCTGGTTTTTGTTTGCATTCATAGTTTGGAAGGACTTACACAGATTTTAGCAGGCGAGTATGTTGAAGCTACAACCTACTAGAAATCTGAGGTCCAGAGGCTTTAAGGTGAAACATTTTCTTCAGATATGTCTGTTGCTTGCAATTTGCTTCTGGTTGCTTAACCAACTCAAGAACTCGTACAATGCGAAAAAGGAATATGAGGATAGCACTGGAAATATATCAGAAATGGAGCAAAATGGGCATGAAAATATAAAACTTGGGAGGAAAGGCCTGCATCCTCGAGTTGATGAAGCAACTTCTTTGGCAGAAAGCCAAGGGGATAAAGCAGAATTTGAAGAAGAGATTGAAGAGATTAAGCCCGAAGATGTTGAAGATGATGGAAGAGGCGGTGGAGATGATGAGATTGATGGACATGATCAAGATCGAGCAGAAGAGGAAGAATCTGATGAAGTAGAAGATTTGATTGATGTAGATGATCGGGAGAGGGATGTGGGAGGTGAAGAGCAAGAAAGTGAAGAGAAAAGCAATCGAGTTGAGGAAGTAAGTTCGGTAAATGATCAAACGCAAAATAAAGGAGTGAGAAATTCACTAGAGGAACATTATAAGGGTGATGATGCTTCCAGTTCTGTGCAACACAACACGCGGACTCTAAGCACTGAAATTGGTGATAATGGTGAAATTGATTCAGCCAATGAGAAACCCCAAGTTATGCTCAATTCCAGATTAATGCTTATGGATAAATCTCATTTGCTGAATGAAAAAGATACACTTCCAGAGAAAATTCCCAACTCAAAAGGAACAGCTATTGGAAAACACAGATTCCTGCAAGCTGTTTCTAGGCAGCAATATAGAAGCTCCAATGAAGCCATAAAAAGTAGGCAACCAAATATTAACTCAACAATTTCCACTATGTCTCCTAATTTAGATGCAGTTGATTCTGGGATAGCAACTGTCTCTAGGTCTATGGTAACAGAACAGATTATGAAGCTTGGCGCCGCTGCTTTATCAGAGGGAAAGATAACTTTTGCAGCCATCAATGAGAATAATTATACAGCAAACAGTAAAGGTTCTGAATCTGTTGCAAATGTAATAGCAGAGACTGCAGTGAATTAGTGAAGATATAGGCTACACCAAATGCTCGCTTATGCCCTAATCCAACATAAAACCAGAAGATAGAGAAGATTTACTTAACTAGAGATGATGAGAGCTATTAACAAATGCAAATGCAAAATGCAAAAGAGTGATACATCTTGATAATTACGCCATATAGGTTCAGGTTCACCCCTTTTAGATTGGGGGATTTAAAATACTCCCACATTTTTACAATTATCTTGTAGTTTTGCAATTGTACATATATCTCTAATATATATGCCTCTCTTTTATGCGTCAAATTAATTAATGCCTAGATTAAAATGCATCAAAACTGGTTCTGATCACTTCTAGAAGTTGGTAATCAAACGTCCTGTTGTATTACTGAAAAAAAAAAATTGGAAAATCAGTTTTTCCATTTCTTCTGTGTACCCTTTGGTATTGCAGGCCTGAGGGAGCAGATTGGTAGCATAGCACGAGAAATTACTACTGGGTAGGATTAATCATGAGCTTTCTTTAGAGCCAAGGCCTGTCTTGACTCAAATTTCTACCTACCATTTAAGTCCAATTTTTAAAAATTTTGCTTTTTGTTCAACCGAACTGGCAAAATTGTTGCTACATAGTCATAGAATGTTCCTGGCAATAATAAATGCACGGAAAATTGTCAAGAGCTTAATTTGTCGATATGAACCAAAATAACCACCTGAGTTCAAGAGTTAACGAGGAAGTTTAAGCAATACAGCAGTAAACTCGTAAACTTTGCGAAAATTTTAAATCTCTAACTCACCATTTATAACTTCAGCTAATTTTGTGTCATAGTTTACAGGAAAACACAGTCAGCAACAAACACGAAAAAATCAAGCACAGGAGACTGGAAGAAATTGAGAGGAATATCATTTTCTAAAAATTTTCCAAAAGTTCTTGAAATGTTAACAGCAGGTTTCAAGTGCATGCAGTACAACAAAATCTGAATTAGAAGCTGCAAGCTAGAAAAGAAAATCCTCAGGGATTAGCTGGGAAGAAAGTGAACCAGGCATTTGGAAACAGATCATTTTCAAGAATGCTTGGTGTGGCTCTTTTGATGTGCATTCCACTGAATGAGCATCCAAACTATTGAGGTACCTAATTGAAAAAGAATGGATATGAATAAAGATGTGTCTTCATAAAGTTGTAGGATAATTCATGACAATTTAAAACAATTAACGTGAACTTGAACAACATATCTGAATGAAAATTAGGATTTACAGTGCAAAAAAAAATTTATAACCCTTTAAAGAAAAGGGTATATTACAAAAGCACCTCCTTGAGAGTTTAGATTAAGCAATAATATACATTTCAGTCCTCATTTTCATAACCTTAAATATTCTATGAAACTTAAAATTGTTTGCACTTGACATGAATCCTTCTATTATCTTAACTGTTGACATAGTTATTAAAAAGAATTACTGCAACCCCTGGATGTTAAAATAGAACTAGCACTACTATTTGGTTTACATATCTCACATTATTACTGTTCTGTAAAAAACATTAAAGGTAGAGATGTGATGGGTGAAATATCATGGACTAAACAATTGCTCTGTTTAAGAACCCAAGAAAATTGGAATAGAGTTGCTTTAGTTGAGAAATCTGTTAACAATTGACAAATGTGCTTTTGAGGATTAACTGCAAGTCAATTTAAAATTCAAGGACCATATAGCGTCCTTTAAAAACAAAAGAACAAACACACCAAATTTCAAGTTCTTGTTTTTACAAAAGCTTTCATGAACTAAATCAATCAAATCCTAGTTCAAATCAGAAATGGACTTTTAATAAGATAAACTAGGAAAAGAAACATAGCAACATCAATCCAAATTCAAAAGTTAGCAATAAAAACAAACCAAACTCACAATGATTTGCGAGATCTAATAGAAAAGACAAGTACCTGCAAAAATGCCCACCGTTGTCAAATTTCCAATGGCCATAGTTTGATATATTAGATATTCAGTCAGGAAGTGACCAAAAGCATAAACAAAAGATAGAAAGGTAGCCAGATAAAGTGGCTTGTTATCAAGGTTGAATGCACAAAGAAAGCAAAGAGTGCAAGTCAGAAGTGTCCAAACTCCAAAAGTCCTCCCATGAACTTCAGTCACTGCATGACGGTTAGCAAAGGAAGGGAGAGAGAGGTAAGGCAAAATGGAAAAGTAAAGAATAAATAGGATCAGAATCATTGAAAATTACACCAAATGAAAAGGACTTTCTATATTTAAAAATGGTTCAAAATAGTTTCAACTTTCAATATTACAAATTTCACCATGAATAAAGCATTTGCATTTCCTCTTCTTTCCCTTTGTATTAGCAGCTTTCTGTTGAAGGATGATCCGATCACAATTTTTTTTAACAAAGTTAATCTTATTTAACAATTACAACCCTCCAAAATTTGAAATTTTGATCGTATGGCTAAAAAGAAAACTGGAACGAAACTGCCCAGAAACAAAGTTATAGTAGAAGACACCCAGAACTAAAGATCTAGTAACAGCCAGGAAACTAATTATACGAAATTTCTTTAAGATTCATGATAGAAAGTAATAAACAGTTTCTGCTTATTCTGTCAGGAAAAATTTTGTCCATAATTAAATGTCAACCTCAACTATCCAAAATTCAGGTAATCATGGACATACCAGAACATATAAAATTCTTCAACTGCATAGTTAATTTAAAAATCAAGCAGATTGAAAACAAATTGTTCCAAAGGTAACACAAGCAGCAAGCATACAGGAAGCAGACAAGTTTAACAGTTAGGTATTGACCATTATTGAGCACAGAATAAAAAATTCGATATTTTGAAATCCACAAACCATTCTTCCCCTGTTCCCTTTACTTCTAGCAATACTTCGCTTGCAATACACAACTGCTCATGCATGCGCCCAAAAGAACCATCTTGCAAATCCTGGGACAAATCTGCATAGTGCTAGGTGAACTCACTTTACACTCAAATTTTAACAATCCAGGTCGTTCTTAACAGTTAACCAAAACCGCCTAATTGATGAATTCATTCCTTCATAAAGTACTTGATTTGCCCCATTCTATGCATATGTACAGTTTTCTCACTATAAATAAAATTACATTTCGATATCATTAAATTATTGAATCTAGAGATTCACAGTTGCTCTGAGTAATCCTAACACAATCTTTCACTTTATATTTCAGAGAACACAATCAAACATATATATGAATGCAAAAGAATTGTGTTGCAAGTATCTCGAAACAAATCGACATTGTTCATCAAACTTTGGTATTTTTTAATTAAATTTAAAAATCCATTATACGAGTATTTCTCCACCAATGGACTCAATATCCACTAAGTTCTTCTCAATTTCATCCCTACATTATTATTGTCTTGGAAGTGTTACTCCATATTTTAGACCTTCTCCTTGGATCAAGATCCACATTGTCCAAGTTATTAATTAATTCTATTCAAAACCAGTATTTGTTCATCATTCTTGGTTTGAACACTTTTGCAAAAAAAATTCTGGATGAAGTCTTAAATCTCACGTCCTTTCAACCCCACATGATTACTCTGTATCCAAGATTTGTTAAAACTTAAAAGGCAAATCTTCCAACCTCCACCTTAAGGAAAACATTATATCAAAAAATATCGAACTCCATTAACAGATTCAAGGCATAGACAAAAAGGCAAATCGAAAATATAAAATTCAACTATTTAAAAAAATAATCAGAAACTATCAACCACTGACAAATAATGCACCATTATCAATTGCAATCCATAAGAGACCTAACTTCTTGGACTTGACCAAAGCATAAGCAACATTGGGATCTCAACTTGAGATCGTTTCCTTCTTCGCAGAGATTTTTTTGAGTAAAGAGAGAGAGCTTACTTGTGGTACTGGAGAAGACAGCGAGTCTAAGGGCCCAAATGTCGAAGAAACCGAACCATACGGAGGCTAATCGAAGAGAACCAACCAGCATCAGCCACCATCCTAACGCCTTCATTTTCTCCTCTTCCTGCTTTCTCGGCTCGGCTCCGCCGTGTCTGCCTACGATTCACCCATAAAATGGGTCAACGGAACGAAACTGCACCGTTTTATCTTATTCGCGGGTTTTTACGCAGGACGAACTTTAGGCCCATCTGAAAAACATATGGGACGAATTGGCCCAAAGGTTTTTCAATTGATCCAATTAAAGATTTCGACATTCGTTCGTCTCAATTTAAATCATGAATTTAATATTTATTAAAAAAATATATTTTTATGTTGTTAATCAAAGGTTCTATGGTGTAGTAGTTAGCACTCTGGACTTTAAATCCAGCGACCTAGGTTTGACATCCGAAAGGACCTTTGCCTACGCTTTCTTTTTTCTCCAAATATATATATATATAACTCGGGGAAACAAATAAATACGATGCACTTATGTTTTCATATTGACCAAAGGGATTGATCGACTACCTCATTTTCTAAACCAGTTGAGGTTTTCTAAAATTGTGAAAATTTTAGAATTAATAGAAATTTAATCTGATAAAGAAATTTCCCTATATAGACGTAGCTGAAATATTGATCTCTATCCGCTCGCCAGGAAGAAGTACGTAGGTGACATCATAAATATCCACACTCCAGAAAAGAGTTTCTTGACGCCATCAGTTTTACTAGTAACCTCTATCTAGTTATCTTCACTTTTGTCGGATCTCGCGCAAAAATGATATATCTTTCCCACAATTAAATTCCCTACTTTAAAAGAACCATTCTCAGATTGGGAGTAACCGGAGGAATACGCACGTCACATTGTCAGAGTTACTTTATATATTAAATAACATCTATTAATCAAAAACACGCACCAAGAGTTCTTAAATTAGCAGTTGTCCATATTCTTTGGGGATTATTCTGAAAACTTAGAACCTTATCATTTTTTTCCTTTGCTAAATAAAAAAATTGCCCTGAGAGATCGTTTCAAGTCTTTTAATGGCTCAAAGACCGGGTCCTTTGAGCATCAAACCCTCTCAGACAACTAACGGTATGGAATGGTTTAAGCCTCCCTGTAAGTGCTAGTGCTGTCGCACTCCCAACCATCTAGATTTGTTAAAATAACAATTCTAATAGGCTCATAAAATCTGTCACACGAGACCTACTCGAACCGGTTTATTACTGGGAGAAATGCATTATAGAATCACCAAAAATTAAATCGAACTCCCATTCTAACCAGAAAATTCAAAGGGACGAGGTAAGAACGAACAAGTACACACGACCAACCCGAGAGAGAAATACTAATATTAAATTCCAACTAATGGTTTACAAAAAAATAACATTTAGTAAACTAGACTCCAATAGCACGCACAACGAACACTATGTGTCCATAGTGGCGATTTCTCATTGAACATTGGGTTCAGCAATTGACGTCTGACCACTAAAGGTTATGCACCACAGCTCTTGTTCTGCGCAGTGGAATTAAAGAAAGGAGACACAGACTTTCAAATAATCCAATCTGACCAGATAACTTGCTTGAATGGACTAGTCGAACTCATGATCAGTACCAAAGCGAAAAGTGTAAGTGTTGGGGCGCAACAGGTTGTTCCTGAGTGGATCCTAAAATTGACAAGTCGGGCCAACTGTTCAACGATGTATTAGATTCCGACATTCTCCCGATGGTAATTTGATGTCCTTAGCCCCGCGAAACCAGGCTTTAAAGTTGCTTAAATTGGTGTTCGATACCATTTTGAAAGTAAAGAGAGAGAGCGGATTTCCACCATACGCCTTGAAATGGCGATATACACATTCGTGGCCATTGAAAAAGAACCGCGAGTCATAAGGGCCAACAACCAGATTTCCAATAGGTTTTCCTTCAGTGAGAAGGAACAAGAGGTTAATTCAAACTACTGCCACAGCGGAATGATAACTACAAATCAGTTGAAAAAGCGGCACGCGAGAAAGCGAGCACTAATCTCTCGTTGAGAGAATGTCAAACCCCTGCAGACTAAAACAACTAATGCCCCTTTCAAGGGATTTTCAATTCTTGAACTAAAGCCCAGTGCCCATAGCTCTTCATAAGAAAGGGAAAGACAACAACATCTCACCCGAATTCTCTTTTGAATTTCGAGACGGTGCAGATAAGATTTGCATAGGTTCCTTTAATGCTGAAGATGTCCTATACCTGGCCAGGAATGCACTCATATTCGGCAAAGAATGGTCCGGAATTATCGACATACCCTCCTCCCTTCCTCGCCTTTCTAATGCATTGTCCAAGTCCTGGGATATCGTCCGGTTGACATGAAGGGACTTGGCGGGTTATCGGTGTACTCTAGTCTGAGCCGGGTACTCGATAGACGTGGCACTGCTGAGAAAGCAACCAGAAGAGAGGAAAGAAAAATGATAAACATACATCACAGATGCCATCCACGCTTCTTGACTTTAAAATAGTCACTTCTGCAAATCGGGAGAGAACGATTCTTATCGTAAACTTCCAAGAACCATTTTAACTGGGCTCGACTGCTACCAACATAGATGAAGACCTATGGGTCAATGGATTAGAAATATTCTCTGATGTATGGGAGTAACAAGCCTGAAACAAGGACCGGCGAAAATAACTCCGGAAGTGGGAACCGACTTCAAATTGCAGCCTAGTCTCTTTGCATGCAGGGTTTGCAGTCATTTTACCAGGATAAATGAATTGGGCGACTCAATTAAAGCCGATTACTGCTGAGCCTGGATCAAAAGGCCAAGGTATTTGAATGCTGTGAACCTCTCCACTAATTGCCGTAGGCCGAGGACCGGAGCGCACAAGCTGTTAGACGTACACCAACTCCTTCTCAGGGAGTCGAACCCCTAGACGATCATAAAAGTTTGAAATCCCTGAAAAGAAAATCCCTTGATCTATATGGAGGGAATGTTCGAGAGAGAAGTCTATTGAGCCGCCCCATAAGGGTTATGTAGACTGAGCCATTGAGTTCCAGTCTCAATAATAGAAGTATCAGTTTGATCTGTGTCGCCCATCAAAATTAAATGAAAAAAGCAGATTTTCTAATATTCGACATAATGTTAAGGTTTCTTTCGAGATGAACGATTCCGTCATAATCAATTAAGGTCCTTGCAGATCTTCCTTAGGAAATTACTCTAAAATAATCCGCGTGGATTCTTATATCTAATTTTATTCTCCTAAGCTATTTCCAATGCAAAAAATAAAAAAAAAGATAAATAATTAGATTATAATTAAACGTGTAAAGTATAAATAATATGAAAAATAGAAAAAATAATCAAAATAATGTGCAAAGAACGTAAAAATGAATATATGCATAGCATGTAATGTGTGCAATAAGTGATTGTTGCTAAGACATGGCAAAACAAGTTCAGTGAGATGAATACCCTAACCCATGATTGCATTTGTAGGCCTCAAAGAGAACCCATCTCTCACGTCGACCTAGCGCGGACTTTGGCAACAGTTTCAGCGAATCCCGAAAAGGACCTTTGCCTACGCTTTCCTTTTTTCTCCAAAAATATATATATATTATATATATATTATTATATATATATATATATATATATATATATATATATATATATATATATATATATATATATATATATAATATATATATATATATCGTATTTTTTAAAAAAATTGTTTTTAAAAATTGTTTTTGTTATTTATTCATTAGTTAAAATCTTTAATTAAAATATAATATAAAAATTATGAAATAATAAAATAGTTTGAGGCTGCATGAAGGAGTCTTCAATTTTACTTATCTAAAAAATTTGGACTTGGGAAATAACCACTTCAGAATTGCAAATATGTATTTACATTGTAATGCCAGACAATTGTGAACTAATGATATGAGGAAAGTGATTCAATTACTAATCTTAAAAGGGTTAATACATTAACCATTTGTGTAAAGGTGCTAAATAAGATAAGTTTGTTTAGATATTACGTCTAATCAACTCATTTAAAATGGATTTACATATTAATAATTAGAAGAGTTCAGTTATTGCAATTAAAATAATAATAATTATTCATAATTATTTCTATTTTTTTGAATATATGATTACAAATATTCCGTTTTAATAAAAAAAAAATATTTTCAATATTATCCAATATCCAAAATCCAGGAAATCACTTGCAAGAAACAAAATAAGTGACTATTTGCACTTTTGTGTCAATGGAATGAATGGGACCAGGTAAAAGGTCGTGAAACAACTGAAAGCCACAAGCTCCAATTCCAATTGCTAATTGGTTAGTAATTTTTGCCCCTCATTAAACGACGTCACACTGTACGATTCACCCTCATTCATTTTCCAACAAAAGTTTCGTGATGTTTTTGCTTGAGAAGAAAGACCCTTCCCTTCCCTGGTTCAAAGACGTTAACGTGACTCCTAATTTTGGTGTCCCAACAATAACGGACCACTCTACTATTAGCCACAACAACACTTCAAACCTAAAATGAGTCTGCAAACTGCAGCCTTGGTCCCATTTTTTCACAACTGTACGCTGTACCTAAAATTTTCCACATTTCCTATACCCTCTTTCTACCTTCTCCATTGCCACATGCGTTTCTGTACCTTCCTCTCTCTTTTCTTTGGTTTCTAATAAATTAAACTTATTTTGTTAGAATCTGAAAAATGGTCCCTTCAAAAACATTGTAAGTACGAATTCAGCTGGATGCTTGGCACCACCTCCACAAACCCTTTGTGTCCCTCTAATTGCCCCTACCACACACACACACACACACTCACAACTTAGGGTCCTACCACTCACTTTTCTATTTCTGTTTAATTTAAACTACTAAAATATTTATTAAATAATTAAGTTGTTGAATTTTGAGCAGAGAGAACATTACCCTCTTCTTCTTGTGCAAGTGGAAGTCAGCTAATCTTTCCTTAATAATCTAAGCAAATTGTAATAACTAGATCCATAAAGTCCTACCAAACCATGATTCTTCGCCAAGTATGCTATTTACAGACCACGGACTTACAACAAGTCAACAAGTGCATTACAGCTATCATCAATATTTTTTGTATACTATTATTATATTAATATTATTACATAATCAATATTGTTTACACTTCCATCCAATCCCCAACAACCACCTACTCTTGCTGTTCTATGCTGTTTCAAAATTTTAAAAATACACACACCAAGCCTTTTAAATTCAGAAAAATTCAGCCGGTTTGGCTATAAAGTTGAAAAGGGACCATAATATTAAACAGACGGTCTACAGGCCATAATATTTCCAGCTCATACATCATCCCTTCTAACATAGCAGATTGAAAAATAAAAAGATTCGTTTTTTTCCTCGTCAGCAACTACAGTACTTCAAAAACAAGCCTTTTCTTCTTCCAATAGACTACAGGGGAAAAAGAAAACTAATACAAGCCACACAGGTAAAAACAGAGCGTGCCTGTCTAAGCTCTCTCACTGTACACAAATTTGTTAGATAGTAAAAAGTAAAAACTCACTGCGATGGAACACAAAATCCATCCACCCAGATTAACATAAAAAAGAACAAAAGAAGAAATTAACATAAAACGACAACGTAAGAAGGGCGGGGCAGGGCAGAATCAGCCAAGTAAATCACGGTCTTGACACAGCTCCTTCCTCAGCCGTTGAGAGAAAAGCCTACAAGCGTCCATGCTTAAATCGATGGCTGCAGCCAATGCGACGAAAGCGGCTGCATCCTCTGTGCAGTTCACGTGCTGCACACTAACTTGCACGCTAGGCTTACTGCACTTGCCCTCTCCTTCCACGCTAGCCGACATTACAAACCCTCTGTACATGCAGAAAGGCCATAGCCCGTACCCAAAATCGCCGCTGCTCCTTGGGCTACACACCGGCGACATCGAATTCACTGGCGTTGACCGTCCATTGGAGTTCGCGCCCAAATCAATAATGAATTCCCCACCTTTGTTCGACCTCATAGTAGACTCCGCTAGCACAATGCCGGCCGCGCTCATCCCGCCGTTGGTGTCTGGAATCAGCTCAAAGCGATAACCGAGACCATCGGAGGCGCCGCGCTCGCGCCAAGCCTCAAGCCGACCCCAAGGTTTCCAGGTGCCATCCCCAGGGCGCAGTATAAGCCACGAGCCAGGATTAGAACGGCTCACTCGGTCAGAGCCAGGAGAAGCAACGAAAGGCGTCACCATTGAAGCCGTAGCTACAGGTGAGCCGGAGAGATCATGTACAGTTAATGACCATCCCTTTCGTTCTTTGCCTGGTCTCTCCCTTTCGCTTCCAAACGAACTGAGCCAGCTTCTTGAGCTGCCTGGCTCATATTGTAATGACCTGTAAATCAACAGAGAAATAGACTAATTAGAAAGCAAAGAAGAAAGTTTCCAAAACAAATCAGCTGTTTGAAAAAAAAGGAAGGTTAGGATCTAGCTTTAACGGGATTTGTGTCAGTTTAAGTGGCATTAATCTTTTATCCTCTGAAGGAATTTACAGTTTCAATTAAGAAAACAATCTAGTGTCGTTTGCTTTGAGTCTCTTTTTGAAAGAGTAAAGCTATAAATAAATCAAATATAGCAAAATGTGATTTAGCAGTAGCTTTACCGTACAGTTTAGCTAGCTTTACTCTTTATATGAAATTCAAATTAAAAACTGATTGCATTCAGATCCATGGAATCGTGTAAAATAAAAAAGAAAGCAAGAATCAAACAAGAAGAATCGCTTAAACCCTAGAGGTAGCTTGTAAAAAAGAAATAAATAAAAAATAAAAATAATCCGATTTGAAGCTTATACTAACCTAGATCGTTGATTCCGGTCGCCAGTATTTCTGAGACTAAACTTGCAAGTGAAAACCGGTTGCCTAATATTCCCTTGAATCTGAAATACTTGAGGACTGCATTCAGGCTCGCCATCAAACTGAAACACAAATCTTGGGTCCGGTTCTGCCTTTACGTTCAAATGAAACTGAGCAGAGGATCCTTTGGTAGTTTCTTTCCCAACAGAAATGCACCCATTGTGAAAAACACAAGCCCTAGAATCTGTTCCTGCCAGATCCAACGGAACGGAGACCTTCCCAAGCAGTCTCCCCGAGTTAACGCCGCAGGTGGTGCCACGGCGTCCAGTATAGATAGAGATTTTGATGTAGAGTTTCCCAGCGAAAATAGATTTTGCAACTAGGCGATCGAGATCAGACTTGCTGAGGTGGAAGGTGGCGGCAATGGTTTGAGCCTGCCCTTCGGGGAACTGGTTGTTCTCAGGAAGAATGTAGGGTACGACGGCCGTTTGGAGCGGGAAATTCTTGAGCTTAATTTTGCAAAAACAAGGCGACGAAGACGGATGAACAACGGAGCGAGCCGGCTTAGTAGCAACGGGGATTTTAACAGCGAGATTGCCGACGGTAAGGCGCACGAAAAGGCAGGGATCCATTAACTCTGTCTCTGAGCCCCTTTCTACTCAGTTAGGTTTTTTGAAAAGCGAGAGACCAACAATCACTGTGCGTTTTAGACAAAGTAAAAGAGAGAGAGAGAGAGTGAGACTTTAAAGTCTGTTAACAAGAAGACGAAGATGAGAGAGGTGTAACAGAAACAGGCTGGAGAACATGGGGATGCGTGTGGGAGGTGGAAGAGGAGGAGAATGGGCATAGAAACGGTGCGCAATGCGCATCAGTACTAGTAGCAGCATTCCCAAACACTCCCAGTGCTATCTTTCTCATATTGTAGGTTTTGCTCTTAGGATTCTGACTGGTGTTAACCGTAACAAAATCTCCTCTCTTTCCCTCTCTATATAAGGTTTCTCTCTCTAGGGGCAGTACGGAGAAAGAAGGACGAGCATTTGTTGCACACAGATTTTGGAGTACAGCTGTGGACAGCCTGGCGATTAATGCCGCGCCAGTCGGACAGAAGTTGACGCCATCTGAGAGAGAGAGAGAGAGAGAGAGAGAGAGAGACACTCTCATCTGACTAACTGCATTTGCATTGTAGGCTTCAATTTTTTTAATATACTTTTCAGTTAGTGTGATTCTTATAATGACAAACTTACCCTTGAGCCAGCTCACTAGTAATTATTCCATTAACAAAATTTTAATTAAGGATATAATTTTCTTACAAACCTATCTGTTACTAACTCCCTTTAACATAAATTAAATACAGTTCCCTTTCAAAAAACAAATTAATTAATTAAATACAGTTGAATTTTATTTTTAATTTCGACATGGATAACAATGTGAAGGATGGAAAGGGTAGACACGTGGTAATGGATATTATCACCCGTGAGAGGAATCAAGCAATTTTCTTTTTATCACGTCATATTAACGTCATCAAATAAATGAAAATACAAAATCATTTTCAGTATTTTTTTTAACTACATCTTCTTTAATATTTATCACATTTCATAAAATAATTTATTTCAAAATATTTGTCATATATATGATCCAGAAAGTAATAAATTTTTTTTTTTTCATGTTTATTCTTTATATATAACCAATAATTATTATTTCAATTTAATAGTTTTTTTAGATAATTAATATTAAATTATGGATAATATAGTCAATTTACTCAATAATTTATTATAGCTTACATAAATTTAATAATTTTTTTAAGGAATGTGATATTCCATATAGAACAAGTATTATGAAATAGAGGTAATACGTGTTAGTGGAGGAATTAATAAAAATATTACTTTATTAATAATTTAGTTCAAAAAAAATTAACGTTAAAATTTTACATTTTTTTAACATTCCCTATTCAAAGCTCATTGCTTATATATATTTCACTATGGGTCTAAATGAGCTGAGCCGGCGCGTGAATTGTTTGAGGTCGGTTCGAAAAAAGTTTGAAACAGTTCGGCTCAAACTCGAACTTGAACTTGCTCGTTTAGCAATTGAGCCTAATAATTTTCAGCTCAAAAGCTTATCGAGTCTAATGATATTCAGCTCAAAAGTTCATCGACCTTATCGAGTTTTTATACGTATATATATATATAATCTTATTTTAGGTTACTCGAGCCTCGAGTTTCTATCTGAACTCGAGCTTAAATTTTTCAAATCGAACTTGAGTCGAGCTCGAGCCGAATACAAGTCTAAATATTAAGGCTCGTTAAATTTCAAGCCGAACTTTGAGTCCGACAGAATGGCTCGGTTGGTTTACACCTCCATATTCCACTGAATGCAACACTTGCGCAACCACCCAAAAAAGGATATTTGCGGTGCCAATCTAACAGAAATCTTGTCATTTGAGCTTAAAAAAACTGAATAATAGAACATCAGTCTCTTTTTCTTTTTAAATGTATCAATGTACATTATTCGGCTATTATTTCAATGATTGAGCTCTTACATCACAGCATAGGAAATTGATAATTCATATAGGTACAAATATGAACACCAATATAATTTACGATCATTAATATAACATAAATATATCAATACAATTATTTACACAAAAAAAATAACATATGATATGTGTGTCCAAAGTATTGCTATATCAATCAAAAACAGTTAAAGAAAATTTTTCAACAAAAATAAAATTAGATGTCATTGCTTTACGAATTCAAATTTTAATGTCTGATTAGTCATCTTATTCGGATAAGAGGAAAAGATCTTATTAGATTTGATATATTTCGTCTACAATAATTTTTACCAATTTAGTGAATAAAATGAAATATTATTCTTATTATGCAGTTACAATGCTCTTTCCGCGTGTTTGAGCCTTCTAATGATTCAAAAACATTTAGCATTCCTATCTCGTACGGTACATCAATTTTTTTTTTTTTTTTCAAATCTTAGCGTCCAATCTCCTTGAAATATTTTTGACAAATTAAAAGAAAATTTTCAATGTGCTCAAACAAAACCCAAACAACAAAATCATAGCAAGGCCCAACTTAGTCAATGTTAAAACCAAATCCAAACGCAAAAGAAAATGGATAAATACATGAAACATATGGGCCGGGATTATTTGGGCTTAACAGAGTTAAATATTATAATTAGGCCCAATAAAACTTGTGGATATTGGGAGGAGAGAATTAATACAAAATTCTGAACCGTAATCCTCATCGTGTGGTCCAGAAGAATCTATCCATCCATTACTCGCTTTGTGTAGAACTGAAACTGATTACAGAGAAGCAAAGGGAAGATTAAAAGAAACAGGAAAAATGTCGGTCTCTTCGTCTATATTTGGTTCTCCAGTTCTCTTGTTACCCAAATCGTCGTCGTTTAAGCCACAGAATGCTCAGATTCAATCACCTATGATAACCACCGTTGGTTATGGCGGCGGGTTGTTGATTGAATGCTCTTCAAGGCCAAAGAAGAAAGCAACTTCACATCACATGAAGACAAGGCCAAGAAAGAGTCAGCCTTGGGATATAAAAAGAAAACCCACTGTTTATCCTCCTCTACCTCCTCTTCCTCCTGATTGGACTCTTGTTTCCTCTGCTGCTGACGGGGATGGTGACGGTGGTTGTGTTACTGAGGCTGCTTTGCCTTCTGCTCCTGCCTTACAGGCTCCAGTTACAAGTGGGTAGTTGGATGTTTGTTCTTTTAGCATGTGTTAACTTTCTATTTGAGACATTGAGTTGGGTATTTTCGCTTTATGTACTTTTTCTTCCGTATTTTAATTGCTAAAACTGATAAATGTGTCTATACTTCTCCTGCGGTTTTTCATGCCTATTACCTGTTCGATGATGTTACCGAGAGAGAAATTCTACTCAGTTAGTTTTTCAAAACTTGTTTCTCGCATATCTGGATTTTGGACTTTCAATAGAATCTGCCACCGCAAATTTGGTTTAATTAATTTTTTCATTCAATATTTCAGATATACTTTTTATGCCAAAAGAATTTATTTAATTGGCTGATTTTCGTTATATGTTGTGATTTCTTGTATTCAAATTGTTTACTCAATTTTGATAAGTCATAAGCCAATTCAATCCAAAAAACAAAAAGATTCATCTCTTTGAATCTTAAGAAAGGGCCTTGGTGAAAATAAAACAAAATTACAGGTAAGTTGAAACCTTGAAATTAGAATGAGATTTTTGTAGGAATACTCGCATGGTGGGGATTTTCAACTTTGAATCAAATTCCTATTAAAATGAAAAATCTTTGGCTAAAGGAAAGACAATCATCTTCTTTAAGAGGAGGAAAGTTAAAATTCTTAATTGCCTGAAGGTTAAAGAACGAGCTCCCTAAAAAAAGGGGATTAAAGAATAAGACAAATCACATGAATTGCTATCCATGCGTTTAGTCATTTCTTGACATATGATTTTATACACAGAACATGTTTAACATTCAAAATCTATAGGGAAGCAGCTGAAATGGAACTCTGTTGGCTCCTTGTTAAGATGAGCAGCAACAGTCTTTTTACAGTGTTGGAAAAAAAAAAAAAAAAAAGGCTTTTTATGTTTATTGCATCTCGGATTAGGAGAACCCCATTCAACATTAATATCAATAACTGATGATTACTACTTGTTAATCGAAGAAATACATGTTGACCTAATTGATTTGTTAATTACAGAGTGAGAAAAAAGAAATAAAAAAAAAAAAAAAAAAAAGTTGAGAAAAAAGAATAAAAAAAAAAAAAAAAAAAAGACTTTTTTCAATGATGAAAAAAAAAAAAAAAAAAAAAAGACTTTTTTCAATGATGTTTGGTTGGGAATAAATAGACTAGGGAAATGTAAGTGTAACTTCTGGAGAGATATAAAGTGCTTATATTTAGTTTACATTATTAATTCTACTTTTCGATGAACTAAAAACTCTATAAAACTCCATTGAAAGTTGAAACACTCTTGGTATGTTTTACTTCTACTGTTTTTAGTTTTTTCTTTTGCTGTTCTAATATTCTTATGTGTTTGCTTTTTCCTCATTTCAGACCCATCCATTCTTTTTTGATCTAGTCCATCCCCAATTTGTAAGCTAAGACCCCCTATTGAGCTCCCTTTTATTATTATTATTTTTTTTTCTGGTGATAATGGTGGCTATGATGGTGGTGCTGCTACTGAGGCTGCTTTTCGTTCTTCTCCAGCCTTACAAGCATCAGTTACAAGTGGGTAGTTGGCTATTTGTGGTTTTATCATCTCTTTCTTTGTTATTCGAGATTTCTGGTGGGCATTTTCACTCTATGTACTGCTCTTCTAATTCTTTCTCACTGTTGTTTAAGTTGTTCTGACAACCATTCTCTGCACCTAAGAATCCTTCTCTACGCATCAATAAACCCATGAGTGGTATTGGAGCTCTCCATAGGAAGACCCGCAAGATTGCAATTTTCAACCTATTTGTAACTTAATTTAACTCCAATTCCTTTTATGATGTACATGGAAAATCAACAGTAAACAACAATATAATAATAGCATAATATGCAATATGATTTTGAGATCACTATGAGGCTTTGAGCAATTAGTTTGGAGCATATTTTGCAGAGGGCCGGTGGCTGTACTTGTACAAAACAAAATCAACGAGCTTTGAAATTCTGAGTTACTTGAAGCTTTCTTGTCTTATTTATGCGCAAGAAACGTATAAAACAATAATATAATATTATTGGAAGAGGGAAACGATCCTAATCCTATGCCAACAATGCACACAAGCTGTATATTCAGCAACTCCAACTGCTCATGCGTAGCATCTTCAAACTATATAAAATAGGTAAGACAACATTATGAAATGTAAAGTATTAGAGCCAAATGTATTGCATGTGATGGAACACTTGAATGTGTCATTTATTGGTGATCCAAAATTCATTAGTGGACTACTTTTGGTTATCTGAACTCTTGTCTACAAAAGACTACATGTAATCAGAAGAGAATTCCAAACTAACTTTTCTTCTTTACAATATGATTGCTGTTAGGATAGTATATCTTTATGAAGGCAAAACTTGAATTAGACGAAACATGTGAGATGTATTGTTGTACAAGTGCTAAATACATGTCAGCGGGATGCTCTCCCAAAAGAAATGCCTATACCGACAATAAAAAGGTGGAGGGGATCTGTTTACAATTCACCAACTGCTCATAGAACTCCTTGGAACAACAAAATAATTGTGTAAGATAAACAAATTAAGCAAATCCAGCAGAATTCCAGGGAGCTATGAGTGTCAAGGATCCTTCAGAAGCAAGCAGACACTTATCCTACCAGCAAGTCAGTAGTTACAGAAGATGAAGGTTTGGAGCATTCTGCGTTTCTGAACATCTCCTCTCACTCCATCCGCTGGCAGGAATTAACATTATGCTGTACATGGTTTTAGCAAAGCACAAGGCTCCCATCCCGCAAATACTTATTCAGGCAACATCATGATTTTTGATGTACTGCACTTTTTTTTGCAAGTCATTCAGCAGTCCCAGCGGTAGTTGCTAATAAGAGGATCTTTTCTTGTATTGACTCTGGCCCAGGCTCAAAAGGAAGTCTGTGAATATATGCTCATATTCCGGCATTTTCCCATACCCTGCCATATTTAAGACAGCGCCCCATCAAACATGTCCTAGACTCATCAGAGCAAAGTAATGTAAAGGGCTTAACGACCTTGGAACAATTTCAATTAGACATTTTTTATATAACTCAAAAAGGTTCTCATGGGAAGTGGCAACATGTTAAACATGAATAAAATTTTCTCTTGTTCAGAAAGTAATTGATATCTATGACAAAAAAATTGATCCCACTAAATTTTTACTTGCCTGGAAAATAATTAATGTCTATGACAAAAAATTGATCTCTCGTCCCATGCTCTCGAATTATATCTAAATTGAACAGCCGGAGACCCTGCACATGACAATTAAAGATTAAATAGATATATGTTGTCAAAAAACTAACAGAAACGAGGATAAAAAACTACCAATCGGCGACGAAGTTCCTTTGCAAGTTTCTCAAGCAAGGGCTGCGGAGGAAGCTCTGCAAGAGGAAAGAACCATGTTAGAGAAATTTTGCCAAAATTTTACAGCCTTGGCCTTAGTGCAGGTATCAACAGCTCAAAACAGTTTAACAAGACTCCTAGCGAAAATCCACTTTTGGATAGCTGAAGTTGGGAAAAAGAAAACCTCAACAAGGGCAGAATAGACTAATGAAGTTCAGGCCTAGGAATTTATCCTGGCATTCGCCCAATACTGACGAACAGCATATCCTCTAGGAATAGCAGTCCATGCTCATGAATTCCAAGACAACTCATTAGTGAAAGGGGCACAAAGGTTGAACCAATGCATCAAACCACCCCCACCCAACAATGTATGCCTCCTTTCTCCTATAATGATCAACCAATTAAGACCTATATCCTGCACTGCCACCTGTTTCAAAAGCTAACACAACAATCTCTGAAAAAGCAAGACTGGATAACTCACCAGCAACACCAGGATCAAGATCCGCATTGTCTGCAGAAGCTGCTGCACAAGAAACCCGTGGAAAGCGGAAGACACCAGCATTATTGGCAAGTTCTCTTTTACACACATCAGGTAAAGAGAAGCGCCGGACCACCTTTATAGCCTCCCCAACAATATACACTTTGAACATAACACCTCCTACAGAAAAAAAAAAAAAAAAATAGCCTCCCCAACAATTATACACTTTGATACATAACACCTCCTACAGAAAAAAAAAAAAAGAGAGAGAGAGAGAGAGAGAGAGAGAGGAGAGAGAAAAAAAAAAAAAAAAAGAGAGAGAGAGAGAGAGAGAGAGAGAGAGAGAGAGAGAGAGAGAGAGAGCACTTACAGAGTCATGTTAAGCCCATGGTAATTGTAAGATTAATAAGGTAAACAGTAACTGATAACACTATACCGTGGTTGACAAACTCTTGAAGAACAAGAGGAGGTTCAAGTTTCTGAAGTGAGAGTTGATCGTAGGCAAGAGACAGCTCATGCGACTTTGCACTCCCATCTGCAACTAGTGGCTTTGCAACTGAAAAATTCAAGGGCAATAAGCATGAATTACTAGGAAATGCAAAAGAAATCACATGAATTACCCACTAATAATTTTCTACATTTAACAGCTTTGCTGAAATATAATTCTGGCATTAATAAATAGGATCATAATCTCAAATAAGAATTCCAGAGAAACAGATGCATAGCTATAGCAAAACACAAAAAGGGTAGTGCTCAAGCAAAATTAATGTGCAAGAGATACCCACCAATGGGTAGCATCAGCCCCGCTTTCATGACTGCATCAGGGATGGATGCTGCATCTTTTTTTATAACTAATTGCCTGGGAATATCAACTCTCCCTGCATAATAATTTATTAAGTCATTTTAGAGGTGTGAAAAAAGAAAAGAGGAAAGGAAGGGCAGTGACACAAGGACTATGCTGCCTATTTCCAGAAAAATCTTTCTCAATTATTATCTGTGAAAATCACATCAGAAATTACCATAAGGGTTTGACAAATTCATATCAGCAACACACTGAAGCATGGACTGGCGATTGTGTAAATGTTGAATAGCATCTGGAGGATCAAGAACAGTGACTTCTGGATGCGTCCTTCTGTAGTCCTACAATTTAAGGCAATGAAAATGAAAAGTTAAGGTTACCTTGTAAGACAGCAATAATTTGCAGTATAGACATGGTTAAAGAAAATCCCTAATTATATAAACAGGATTGTAACATTAAATTCCAAAGGCATTACTAGGCATAGCCTGGGAAACATTATGCTTGATGCAACTGATTCATAATTCTTGGAAACAGGATGACATCAGAAATATCAGAGATGATTTGACTAGTGTAACAGAATCCGTAAGCAAAATGGAACACTGAGTATCTATGCCTTGGTGTTTCAATTCTCAGAACAACTCTTATCCATGCAGAAATTTTATAAATATGAAGCTCCAATAGAAAATCATAGATTTCTGCTTAGTTCTCGTGTAATTTCACCAAATGGAGGTATCATTGACTTGTTTTGTACAACCATCATAAATTCTTACTCAACAACAATAACAACTACTAAGCCATAGTCCTAAACTAGTTGGGGTCGGCTATATGAATTCTTTGTTTTCCAATAACCGTTTGGATCAATCTCAATGCAAAGTAAAGTTCAGTTAAAAAAAAATCAAATAGTTTCTGTAGAAAGATGTTTGGAGGAAAATTTATAAAATCATTTGATATATTAATAGATAGAACAAAACACAAAATAGGCAACAATGGATATTAGATATTTTAACTATGGTCTACTACGTGAATCTTATCTCTATTCTGTTTTGTTCATAGCTATATCCTCACTAATATCCAGAGATCGTAAATCCTTCGCAACAATTTCCCCTACAAAGAGTTCTAGGTTGATCTCTTCCCTTTTTACCCGGGGCAGGGGGTATATGTAATATATGACCATAAGAAATTTTTATTCAACACTGGAGATTATTGATAGTGTAAACATAACATAAAACAGTTCTCACCAGCTAGACAAAGGATTTGTTTGGCGTCTTTGCAGTTGCTATTCAAAAAAGCACCCACTAAAAGCATGTTGATTAAAAGGCAATTAAAATTAATTTCAAGATTTTTTGACATGTTTGGACCATAAAAGCCCTTAAAGAAAACTGCTCTAAGAGGGGATGTCGGAGGGACCCTAAGTACTGCTGCAAGCCCCAATATAGATATATTAAACAACCCCTCAACTTGGATGCGGTTTTCGACGAACCATACTTCCGTTTCACATTAACAATCTTATTTTAAGTAAAATGGTACAGAATCTTTACAAATCGATATTAGGAAACATATATTTATAACTGGCACTTTCCGTCACAGAAGAAATGCCGATTTTCAACATTTATAACTGGCACTTCTGTTTCACATTAACAATCTTATTTTAAGTAAAATGGTACAAAATCTTTACAAATCAATATTAGGAAACATATATTTATAACTGGCACTTCCCGTCACAGATGAAATGCCGATTTTCAACATTTAGAAAGTGAAAAATATCCAGTTAGAATTAAGAGAAAAAAAGTTCAAACACTAGTCATTGCCCCTAATAAAACTCTAATTAACAGGAAATGATTAAAATTAGTTTAGTAAATATTGAAACTTCCATACAATGGTCATTTTCTCTCAATAAGAAACCCATTCACCTTGGCACATTGCCAAGCAGATAATTATTTAGGAACCCACATAGCCAAGAGAGTGAAAATACAAAAATGAATAATAGTAGTCAAACAGTCATATTTTCCTTAAAAATGTAAATATTCGCAAATGACGCAGATTTCAAGCATGACAATATGGACAACCGTGGTTAGAGCAAGAAGCAACCTTGAAATACCATTCATGTATAGTCATGGAAACATTATACCACCCATTCATTTGATCAATATTACGAGTTAGACCAAAATGCATTAAAATCGTTTGTTAATTAGCCATTTATTTAAGAACACAAAACCACAATCCAGCTGAAGCAGGAAACTTTGTATTTCTACCACATTTAAGTACTGACTGATTTCAGCAATCAAAGAAAGAATCATAAGGAAGAATTTTTCAGAAAGTTTGATCCTAGAAGGTGAAATAGCTAAGACTAAAATACGGGTGCAAAAGATTTTGAACTAGGATTGAGAATGCCATCTCAGATTCAGCCGATAAAAGGGCATAACACAGCAGCCATCTCACATTCAGAAATAATGCTTAGGAAAACCTGAAAGAATCAGCTAGATGGTCATGGAAGTAGAAAAAACCCTCACTTGCTGCCTCGACCTCAACTATCAAGTCATGAAGCATGGAGGAGGAAGGAGCAAGAACTCTGCAAATTACGTTAGACAGGAATGAGATTTAAGCATTTAAAAGTTGGTGATATTTGATCCTCTGCGTTGATAGATATTGTTTGTCACATCAAATCTAAGTCATCAAGCAAACATGATAGCGTACTTATCTATTTCCCCAATATTCAGATGCTTATGATGTTAATGGAGAGATTATGAAATCAAAAAAAGGACCAACCTCGAGAATTTGCCCCCACTCCTTTCCAGTCAGCTGCATTAGAAATCAGAAAAAGAAAACATATTGTGTCAGATAAGAGTCATTATAAATGGCAAAGTACAGATAGTTTGTATAAATACAAGCAAAGACAGATAAACAATAAATTCGCATAAGTGCGTCAGTTCCTCCTTTAAAAAATTTCCCCACTGGAAATTTCTTTAAAAACCGATCTGTCCAACAAACTCGCTGAGGAACACAAAAGATAATTATGCAATTCTAAAAGCATTTACCACTTGTACGAATTCAATAACGTACAATGGCAGAATTTACAAAAACAAAGAAAACCTAACCTTATGCAACACAATGTCAAAAGGACCTTGATCTGTAAGGGGCCTGCTTTGATCAATTGCAACAAATAAGATCCCTTTATTCCTGCTCCAACACAACATTTTATACATGAGTAACCCAAAAGATAAATACAACAAATGAGAGAGTCTAAAATGACCAAAAGATACGAGTTCCACAAACCAAAAAAATAAAACATTGCTACCTCTCTTCACTATCACATAATCAGGAGAACGCACATAAATCAATCAATTAATATATTTAGTTTATTCATGCAATCATTACATCCAGAGAAGCAGAATCACAAAACAGAGCAGAGGATTTAACAGTGGATGACAACCCACTGGCAATTTAACATATATATACAGATAAGTTTGCATAAAAGCAAAATCAATCAGTGAGTAGCTGATGTAGCAAACAGGATTTACTGATGATATCAAGCCCATCCATGGACAATAAGTTGAAGAAAAGTTCATGGAGATGTACTCCAGATTTATTAAGCCACAAAAAATTGTCGGCAAAAAAAGAAAATCAGTATTTGTGTCAAATGAATATCATATTTCAGATTTAATTTCCAGACACAGAAGTCCCAGTGATTAATACAGAAAACGACTGACAATTATTTTCGAAAATTTAATAGAAATTTTTTGACTTTTTCGGCCATTTAGACAACTCCATTAAATTTATTTTGATTTACTTCATTTTCTCGACGGCCAAACGAAAAGGACATGCATAGCAGAATATTCCAGTCCCAGAACACCAAAAGGAATCTAAAACAGAAGCCAAATAGAAAAAAAAAAAAAAAAAAAAAAAAAAAAAAAAGACGGCCAAACGAAAAGGAACATGCATAGCAGAATATTCCAGTCCCAGAACACCAAAGGTAATCTAAAACAGAAGCCAAATAGAAAAAAAAAAAAAAAAAAAAAAAAAAAAAAAAAAAAAAAAAAAAAAAAAAAAAAAAATCAAGGAAACAAGGCGCAAAAACTTCCGAAATAAATCTGTAAACCCAAAAAGAAGTTATTCAGATACACAAACGAACGCGTAGTCCCTTCCAATCGTTCCGAACTTTGAAAATATTAGGCATAACTTTGATTTTATATTTTTTCCTTAAATGTTATTTAAATTTACCTAGCTAAACCCTCGAGCTTGGGCTGCAAGAAGCTCTTAATTTTCTTGGAGGTAAGAGCGTAACCAACAACAACGAGTTTCCTCTGGAGAGAACGAGGAAGAAACCCAGCGTCTATAGATGAAATATCCTCCTCTTCTCCCTCAACATCGTCTTCTCTTGTTTTTCCATTTCTATGAAAGGGTACTATCTCCTCTTGCAGCCTCATGGTTAAACAGAAACCCTAATTTTCAATTTCAAGGTGTCCTTCTACCAAACAGGGAATGCTGTTACCAAGCAACAGAGCGGAAGGAGCTAAGGAGAATGAATTTCGCTTCAGGAAGAAAGAAGAGCGTGGGATAGGGCTTGATTGAGAAGACGCGACGCTATACGACGGAGGAGGAGAAGAAGATTTGGCGGAGAAGAGAAGGAAAAGTCCGTTTTGGAAAGAGAGAGAAAAATAACGGAGATGTGGGATCACGATATAAGCGTGTGTGCGAGTATGAGAGAGAAATGGGAGAGTGGTGGCTTTATATATACGTGCCCAGCAGGTGGAGGATTTGCATTTGGCTTTGCGTTTTTTTTTTTTTTAAAAAAAGAAAGAAATTCTATTGTTCAGAAAAATAAAATAAAATAAATGGAAAAGCAGACGCGCTTGTGGGCAGCAGCAGCACCTGTGTGCATTGGTTCTTGTTGTCATACCGCAAAACCATATAATTTACACGCAAAAATAATGCACCATTTGCACCTAGAAAATGATAAATAAAAAAATGTCTTCCACCCACCTTTTGCTATTGATTTCGAATATTTTTATTGGTTGATATAATTATAAAAAGTTTATATTATCTACAAATAATATAAATAATTTTCCATAAATATTTTCCTCTCGTGTCAAATTGCCTGGATTATGATTTTAAAAAATTATTAAATAATACCTATTCACTTTAATTATTCATATTAACCGATAGTTCATAACAATTGTTTAATATATGAAAACTAAGAGACAATGAGTATTAAAGGAATTTATTATTTTATATATTAAATAAATAATAATTAAGTTCTGATCTATAAAATTTAATAAAATATTTTTTTATTTTTAAATATTTATAAATAAAGTGATTATGTGAAATATTAATTATAAAATATAAAGTGTTTTGATTGAAAGGATTGGGTCATCTTAAATAAAAAATTCTGGTCTTGATTATTCAAAACCTTATTGTAGAGGTTGTCACTTTAGAACTTTTATAAGCTATGAACTACTTATTAAACTTCTCATTAAATACCATTTCAGATATCAGCCTGATAAAAATCTGAACAAAAAATAAGTTTTAAAAAAATGAAAAATACTACTAGAATAACAAATTTTTAATTAATAATCAAAATGAAATAAATTATTTGAAATACGATATGGTTTCATTTGAATAACGTTGTTGCATCAAACTCAGTAAAGAATCAAAAAAAAAAAAAAAAAGGAAAAAAAAAAAAAAAAGAAAAAAAAAAAAAAAAAAGGTATTTGAATTAAAAGACTGATACTTGGTATCCATAGTTTTACCATATCAGAAATGCCAGTAAAAAGAAAAGGAAAACGGAATAAGAAACGTAATTAGAAATTTGAATGAGAAGAATATGTTATAAAAGGTAGTTTTATACCTTTTACAAAAATATAAAATACCCTTTTGTGGATTAGGTTGACAGTTCATCACTCATCCACTCTTCCTTAGATCAATTAGAAACGTTTCTATTCTAATAGAACACTGCCATTGTCTGGCCACCACTTGTCAGAAAAACTTAAAAAGACAGTTTGAGGAGTAAAAGAAAAATAAAAAAAAGAAACAACTTAATAAAGCAATACCCAGCTGAGCTCCATTTGATTTCAAAAAATAACTATAATTTTTTATATCTCAGTTGTTTATAAAAATAAATAGAAAATATATTCCTTTTTTATAAAATTTTTTAACTTCTTCTTTCAATTATAATCTATTTTTTATAACTAAAAAAATTAAATATATGAACATATCGCTATCAGCCTATGGCTCTATGTTGGTAGATAGAACGCAAATGCACCAACACATCCAATTGGACAAGCATGGCATGCAGAAGTTTCTTCATTGAAATATTTTTATAATGGTTACAATCTATACTTATATATGATCAATAAAATTATTTTTTTTTCTTATTATTTTACATCCAACGTCATATTTGATAATTTTACATTATTATTATATTTTCCGCGAAGTTAATTTTAGTAAAGATTAATTTATATTTTTCTCGCTTTTAAATTTTAAATATAAAATTAATTTCTTAAACCATGCTTTTTTTCAATTTCAATTATTAACTATCTCGTAAAATCATAATATACGCCAGATATAAATTAAAATGATTTTCTTGACGGTATATTTTCTCTCTTTTTTTATTTTTCTTTCATTATACAGAAAAAAAAAAAAAAAAAAAAAAAAAAAAAACCTGTAATTCATTTTAAGTTCTTTAAGGTGGATATGGTCCTGCCAGGGATAATAAAAACCTTATCAAAAAAAAAAAAAAAAAAAAAAAACCTGTAATCATTTTAGTTCTTAAGGTGGATATGGTCCTGCCAGGGATAATAAAACCTTATCCTGGACAACTGGGGCATTAACTAGTTAGCTGGAGAGCTAGCTACTATATCTACTTGCCTTTTAAAACTTCACTGTTCATTAATGGGTGTTACTGTCTTAGAGTGTGTATGTATATGTATGCATGTTCATTTTGTATCCCTTATGTATATGTAAATATATGTTTTTTTTTTTTTTCTTTACTCAAGTTGAAATAGAGGTTATATTAAAATATTAAAATTTTTATCAATAAGGTGTTGGTTGAGATGGTAAATAGTCCTGTAAGGATGAGAATATAAATTTGATTTATAAAAAGTGTATTTTTTTAAGAAGTTATATTTACACTTTATAGTCCGAAGGGATTGCACCTCCTTGTTATATAAAAACATTAAAATTTTTATTTTTCTCATCATGTTGCTTATATTTCTTTTTTCCCCATATATATCAGTATACTTTCTGATAACAAATTGCCACTATAAGCCAATTTTAATATATTTTTATTATCCTATTTAGAAAATCAAAATTTACAACGATTTAAATGAAATAAATCTTATTTTTTATTAATTTTTATATTACAGGATGTGATTATTCATAAAAAATGGTTTTTAAATATTTAAATATCATGTTGTTTAAATTTGGTATTCCTAAAGTTAATTTAATTAAATTGGACCCAAATTTAAATTACATAAATATTCTTATAATTTATATCACAATTTTGGAAAGATTTATTTTTAAATAAATTGAGATAATTAATTAAAATAATAAAATAAAAATTTAATATTAATTTATATGATATTGAAAATAACTTTTAAACAAAAATTGAATTTAATTATACTAAAACAGTTGATTTAAAATTAAACGTTTGCACAATAATATTTTCAAAAGAAGCCCAATAGATGTCCATTTGAACACGACGTGCATGTGCATCGAGATTTTTTTTTCTGGGCACTTTTAGTTATACGTACTAACCAGCTTTATAAAAATGCAGCGTTTCCTAATAATTTTACTTTTTAGTTTCTTTTTCCTTCTCTTTTTATCCAACTATTGGTATAATTGTTTTTTTTTTTAATTAAGAAAAAGATTCAAATATTGTTAAATTATACATATATATAAAGATATAATTATTTTTTTCATTTATGTACAATTGAATAAGGATTTTACACCATTCTCAAATTGGTGTGCAAATATAGAAAAATATATATTATTCTATGAAAAAACATTTATATTAACTTAAATAATATTTATTTATTTCTGTGGTAAATTAAATCCACTTTATCATTATAAATGTTGATGTCGTTTTCTCTGTGATCATATCTTCTATTGGAAGCTTATGAGGTAGTAGATTACTGGGTCATAGTCTAATTACAAACAAATAATGAACAACTAATATTATACAATTTAGTTTAAGATTATTTTTATGAAGATAGAAATTGCAAATACAATTTAAATTCAGCGTAACAGTAATTGCCTATTCCTTGAGAAATATCAGAAATTACACTTCTAAATAAATTATTTTTTAAAAAGTATAATTCAATTGTATTTAGTGTATAAATCAACTTCCTGACAAATAAATTACTATCAAATTATGATAATATTTTTTTATTTTTACCTTTACTCTTCTCTAAGAAATTTATCTCCCTTATACGAAGAAAGTTTGATGATTTATTTTTCAAAAAAAATAATTGATAATGTAAATTAAATACATGATAAGTTGTAAATTTCAAATTTGAATATGAAGATGTTGGCTGTAACCAATATGTTAAATGTGACAAGGATGATATTCTTTTTTTTCATAATTATCTTAATACAACTTTGTGCAATATGTCCAAAAGGTAAAACATAAAAGAATAGGTTTTAGTGGATTAGGTTTGATTTTGAAATGGATTGATTAACAAAAGCATAGATTGAGTTATTAGCACATTTTAAAAAATCTCCAAGAAATATAATAATATATGTCGTTTTTTGTGACTACAAAATTTAAGTGGTTCGATACTTTATATGTGGATGGATGGAATTATTCTCATGCTTTACTCGTTCAGATAAAGTCACATGTGGACTTTCATTTGATTCTAGTATTTTCGAATCTACTTTTTGATTAAGATTTGTTTAAATATTTAACAAAATATTAATATAATGGTTAGAGACTATTAAAAAACTTATTTTAAATTGAAAATTAATTTTCTCAACCATATTTAGGATTTGTTTTTTAAAGAAAAAATTTCAAACCCAATATTGAAGTAGTTTTTTTAGTAGAATCAATAAATAATAATCTCATTTCTAATCATAAAGTGTAATGTTTTTTTTCATTTCACTAAATATTATCCGATCAACGTCTCGTTAGTGTTGAAATAAACTCTAAAACATCTTCATCAAATTCAGTGTTCTCACATTTACAGAAATTGAAGTTTGAAATTTGCTCAAATAGACTGTAAACCATGTTTGGCGATGGTTTTTTTCAAGAAGCATTTGATGTTTCGACCTTTTATAGCATTTAACTGTCAAAACATTTAATTTTACGGAGTGAATTTTAAAACATCTTCGTCAAATCTGAAATTGAAATTGGAAAGTTCCTTGGCACGCTTGGAACAGTGTGCCCGTGGTAGGGTTAGAGAACCGATGATGAGCACCACTCCCAACAATGGCAAACACTAGGGGCCAGAAGAGTGGGGGTGCCATTGGATTCAGACAATTTTCCAACTTCTGTGGGGTTATGAAAAACGTGCATGGATAGTGATCTCAGCCATCACTTGCCTTAGTGCCCATCACTGCTATTAGATCATAAACCCAAAACAAAAATGAAAAGGAATAAACAATTAATGACGTGATTGTTGTTTTACATGTAGATATAGAGCATAAAAAAAAAAATGATGGATTCTTAGAAATATATCATCTCTTAAGTCAATGAATTGTACCCTTGTTGTTGCACACTGAACATTTGTCTGTTGTGATAGCTTTTGGCAATCTTATTGTTGTCCTGGTTGGTCCATCCACATAGTGGGAATTTGTAAAGCAGGTGTCTTCCACTATATATTTATGTCATAGCTTTCAATTTAATAAAAGGAATGATGCTAGTCTATCCAAATTTGAGTTTTTAATCAAAATATGAACAGGATTTTTCAATCAGATAACTGAGATTGATTTAAGGTATGTAATCTAAGCTTTAGTATAAACCGAAAACATAATATGAGTTTGGCATTTTGCTAGCACATGCATTTCACGAGCCAGTCTCCAGTATCTCCTGGAAAAAGCTTTTTCTTCTATAATGCACGCAAAAAGGAAAATCACATGATGCCTTTCTCAAGAGAACGTTGTGCCGCCATTGATGCTTCGTGGGATAGGACTATGTCACATCGAGTGAGTTTACCAGATCCAATACCATATTAAAAGTTAAAACTTGCTCTTATACTACATTAGAAGTTGAATGAGTAAAAATAAATTGATTGAGAAATTAAAAACCGTGAATTGAAAATATATCATTAAACTTCGATTTGAACTCACAAATGCTAAAAAATTAATATTAACCAATTAGTTAGGTAATTTGTTATTAAATTTAATTATGTAATCAATGTGAAACTCTCGACACTTCCATAATTAACCATTCTGATCCAGTAAATTCCTAATTACCGCTTGCGACTTGAAAATAAATATCTGAATTCTAATCTCCCCTTTACCCTTCCTTTTGGTATTAGGAGCAAGGGCAAAACAAAAAATTAACTTATAAAATATACAAAGCATATCCAGAGAGCTTGAATTCTATTTGGGCCTAAAGAACCAAGCCCATCACAGCAGCACCATCATCTCCTCCCAAGTACAACACCCAACATAAGCATTAGAACAAGGAAACAACAGCATTAAAATGCAGAAACTATCATTCTTAAATGAAATTCGGCACGTTTTATTAATTACAACCTACTTCAACCGAAAGAGTAACATCACATGTCACAATAATCTAGTTCAAAATACCACCAAATAAATAAATAAATAACAAGAGAAACCTTTTTCCACATCTCCAAGTCTCAGTATTTGTGGCTTAGCATCTTTTCTCCAATTTGCTTACTTTGTTTTTGGGTGAACTGAACAGAATGTAGCAAGCCACAAGAAGTTCCACCAAACATATCAGCTTTCCCACTATAAAAGTCTCATTCATAGGTCCCAACACATCACACATCAGCACAAGCTCAAGGATGTCCAAAACTTAGGATAAAAACAAGTAACAGAGATGAAACCATGCAACTTTGCAGCTCCTTTGTGCCCTAAACCACAATTCATCAAAATGCACCTGTGTCAATAAGCATAATTGCTATGTACTAGGGTACCCATGACAGAGCAACAATATATAAACTTAAAACATGGATACTTGGATAGGATGATAGCTTTCAATGTGTGCTACAAGCAACCTAATATACCATAACAGAAAATTGGGGTACTGAATAAGATTGTATGACAAAAGTAGAAGTCACCAAAGAGAACAGAGAAGAAATTTTACAGTTACATATGCACTAATACCTAATGCATTTATTTTGATAGAATCAACCAAAACAGAACTAAAATTTGGAAATTCAGAAGAAATTTTTAAAAATCTGCTTTCCTTCGACTTACAGCCTACAGGCTCAATAGAGTTTGGCAATATTAGATGCCTATTCTTTCTATTCTATATGTGATTTTCTTCCGCACTTGCCTTAGTAGCCTTTCCTCCCCCTTCCCCAGCGCAGATTTCACTTACTTTGACTTTCCTTAGGGCAAGAGGAATTTCGTGAGAATTAGGCACATGTTAATGTAATACTTCTTCTAAAATTGACTAGAAATGCAACAGGCAAAATAATGCAACTGAACTCCAAGATACATATCATAATATAGAACTTTGACTTTCCTTAGGGCAAGAGGAATTTCGTGAGAATTAGGCACATGTTAATGTAATACTTCTTCTAAAATTGACTAGAAATGCAACAGGCAAAATAATGCAACTGAACTCCAAGATACATATCATAATATAGAATCACAGTACATATATGCAAAGAATACAACCAGAAAGTATATACCAAACAATTGACTCCAAAACTATTACCCTTCCTAGGTTCCAGACATCAAACACAGTATTGAATATATGCCAGTATTCTATTATACAGTTTAGATAATTTTTAACCACAGAAAGAGCGCCCTCTGTTGCTTACATTTATAAGCTCACGCAGTATCTTTCTGCTTCTTCAAATACCAATAAAATTTATTTCCAACCCACTACTCTCACCAAAAAACATGATGCAAACCATAACCTCAAATGTCAAAATAAAAGTAAACTAATAATAGAATCACCTTTGTGAATTCACTGAACCAGCTGTCAAGTGTCTCCCATATTTTTGCTTCTTTGAAGCAGAGATGATCCAGTTCCAAAACATTCAATCTCACTTCCTTTATTGCTACAGAGTCGCAAACTCATCAATAATCAAATCAAGTGTGAGATTTTTTCTTTTCCAAGTAATTGCTAAATTTAATATCTCAAGGCTAACCATACAAGTAAAAGAACTTGCAATAATATAATGTTTATAACATCATGAGCAAAACAGAATCTTAAGTAGTATCACATTTAAAACAAATCTAATGTTCAAGCAGTTCAAAATTTCATTAAACAGTGCACCCCAACAATTGAAACCTATATTGCACGGAAATGAACACAAGGAAACGGTATTTTTAAAAACACAGCAAACGAAAACATGGGGAAAACGCGTAAATATGAAAAAAATAGGATTATATTTACAATATAAAAAAATAGATTATTATAAATCATTAAATATATTCAACAACAAGTCAAGTCCAATCAATATTTAATCATATCCAAAAGAAATACAAGTTCCATAGTTATAAAAAAATACATATTTGTGCATTTCTATTTATTTATGTATTTATTTTAATTAGAGAAATGAGTTGTTGAGAGTTTTCAATTTACATAAACGTATTTAAGAGAGGGGAAACCTATTTCTAAATTATTCGGTTTACGAAAACAGTCTCGAAACATTTCCAAGGAGTTTCCGAGCATTTCCATGCAGGAAACCTTTCTGAAATGCAAAAACGGCAGCCAAAGAAAGTTTCCGTGCAACATAGATTGAAACTAAACTGGCTGAAACCATAAACATAAATCAATTTATCCACTCACTGGGTTCTCAAACAGCAAACGACAAAAAAAAAAAAAAAAATCTGCAACTGGGTTTCTCAAACCAGCAAAACGGACAAAAAAAAAAAAAAAAAAAAATGTAACAAAGAATTAAAATTGACGCAAAGACTTTTTGAAATTTTTTCCCAGTTGAACTTAAAACCCAAAAGGCTTGCTACATTATACTGAGGGTAAAAAAAATTGTGAAAGGGCCTTTTTCTTGTGTTCTTTAAGTCTTACGACATTCTCCCTGTTTTGGGGGATTTCTTTTCTTTTCTTTTCTTTTATTTTTTTTTCCTTTTTCCCAGTTTGGTTTGGGGAATACGATTAGAAATTAGTTTTTGCGTTTAGCCACCATTGGAAAAAACAAAAAAAAACCCCGAAAAAAAAAAAACTCATTTCTTGGTCAACAAAATCTCCTAAATACTTCAAAAAAAAAAAAAAAAATGTAATCAAAGAATAATGACCAAAGACTTGTGAATATTTTTCCCATTGATTAAAACCAAGGCTGCTACATTATACTGAGTAAAAAATGAAAAGGCTTTTTCTGTGTCTAGTCTACTACATTCTCCCTTTTGGGGATTTCTTTTCTTTTCTTTTCTTTTATTTTTTTTCTTTTCCAGTTTGGTTTGGGGAATACGATAGAATAGTTTTGCTGTTACACATGAAAAACAAAAAAAACCCCGAAAAAAACCTCATTCTTGGTCACAAATCTCCCTAATACTGGACGATAGCACCTGATCGCCAGCAATCAATCGTAACTGCTTTATGAACATATCCCTGCCCAACCTACCCTCCTGTAATAAGCCAAAAAGAATTAATAAAAACATAATCCTTCTTCCAATATTTCACTTGGTCAGAAACAACAAAAAAATAAAAAACAATTGGACAATCTGATCACCGTACTTACCCTGTATGTATCATATAATGTCACCACTTCCCGAATTTTGGGGGGAGGGAGTAAACTCCTCATCTTCAAAATCAATTTCTCAAGCGAATATTTCATGCAAGTCGAACCTTTCATTTGGCCTAACAAACGACACCAGTAAAACAGCCATCCCAAATGAACCACCAAATAGCAAACACAAATTTCAAAGTGAACCTATATTTACCTGGCACGTGATTTGAAGATTTGTAGCTCACAACGAACTCCGGGATAATATGACTATTCATATTGCTTGACCAGACAATATACCACTTAGTATGATGAAGATTATCAACACCGGTGTCAAAATTGACATTAGAAGGATAGGACTGTTGGGACCCTGCTTCCACTTTCTCAACATTACCCAATATAAGTCTACACAATATAATATGTTTTTCGCCGTTATCATCCAACTCCGATAACCTGGCACTGAAAACACCAATGATACAATCATCATAATTCACAGATAAAAATTTAAAATCTCCAAAACCCAAATTGCATAAGATTACGGTGGAGATTGCTTCTAAAATTCAAATGAACGACATTACCTTATATGTGGCAATCCCACGGGAGAGAGATACGCACCAATCCCATAACAATCAGGCCCAGAAACCTTGCTAGGTACCCCAAAACCATGAGCTAAAATACTCTCCACAGCTTTCGCTGATGCGCCGTGCCAAGCGTATATCATATTAGACACACCACGCGCAGCCTTTGTGATCGCCATTTGATTTTGGAACACCTCATAACGCGCCTTCTCCAAATGACCCTCGCGCGTCCACTGATGAATGGCGGTAATTCTAGCACTGGGATCAACTTTCCTTATCCCAGATAAAAAGGAATCCCTAACCAGTGAATACGGTTTTTCGCTATATCTTAATAATCTGGAATTTGGCCATCTAGATGTTTCTCCCTGGGGCAAATTCAAACGCTGCCGTTTCGAACCATTCTCTTGCTCCAGCTTTATTGACGAATTCACCTCAGGCTCTTCCTCATCCAATCCCTCCCTCTTTCGCTTAATCGGATTGTTATCAATCCGGATATTTATTTCAATGTTCTTGTTCTGGGATTCCTTCAATTTACAATCAAAATCCTCACCAACGAACACTTTAGGGAAAAAGCACTTGCCTTTCTCATCAATCCACGCAATTGATCGTTGACGCCCGTTCTCGAATTCAGTCTGCAACATGCGCAAGAAATCAAAGACATACTTGGAGCCATCAACATGCAAGTCAACCATGGGCTTGCCTTCCAAGAAAACAGATTTCAGAGAGCCAAACACTTCTAGCGAGAAATCCATCCAGGAGCCGTCGTGATTGAAGTACATGAAGCGAACCGGCGCAGCACTGCGCTCGAAGTTGCTGTACTTCTGCATCATGAACTTCGTGGAACAGCAATTCCCCGCAAGATTCGCGCAACAATTGAGAGGCCTCGGCGCCGAAGAAGAGGAAGATGATGCTGAAGTTGATTTGGAAGGTACAACCCCCCTAATGGATTCCACCATGTTCTTTCCTTCATGAGCCATTAGCTTGCCACTTGCTGTTGTTAGGGTCTATGAAATCAAGAAGAACCGGTAGAACCAACAGTAAAGTTTTTCAAAGCCGATATTTATAATAGCGGTTTCTTATTTCACTAAAACAGCCTTGGCTCTTTGGTCATGAGTTAAGTCGGCGGAAGGGTATTTTCGACAAATGGAGAATGAAAGCATCTTCAAACTTATGGGTTAAGTAGTTGCAGTTTAATGACGGCTGCATTGAATTCAATTGGGCTGCATCGGTTTCCCTTTCTTCGGCCCAAAGAAAATCTTGAATTTTTAGATAAGAATTAAATAAATCTTTCAGTTCCGGCGAAAACAGAGAAGAAGCGGTTTGACGGGCTACTTTGCCTGGCAGAAATTTTCATTTGCTTATTCTGGGAAGTTTTGTTTCCAGAAAGAAACAATTAAGAAATTAGATATCTTGTAGAGTCTTGGTCCATGCTCATATTTCACACTTTGTTTGTCTTTTGCCATAAATATTTTTTCTTGATCTGATCGTATTACTTCGTGATTCATCGTCTATAAGGGTTTTTGGTTAACTGCCGTGTTTGATTTGTTTGGTGTGTAACAAATTTAGGGTACGATTAATTTGAGGCGTAAAATCAACATACATATGAACCAAAAACGGTAGTTGTTTTCCCTATAACTATAACAAAACAATCCTAGGGCGGTCACCTCTCGGACACCGTTTGCTATACTATCTTTACCGTTTGCGTGCCAATTTTTATAACCGTCGATAACATAGGGCGATTGCATAGCGGCGATATGGGTAGGATTACCTAATGGGTGTTAATTATGCAAGCAATTCTTTTCTAGGATATAATTTTTGACTCGCAAAAGTGGTTAAAAGCTTTTAATGCTTCTTACCATATTATTAATACGACTTTATTATATTTTACTGAAACAGTTGTGCGTTAAACATCTCAATTTCTTGTGTTGGAACGTTTGGTTACCATTTGTACTTTTTCAGAAAAAAAATGCAAATATATGTTATAAATATACCCTTATTATTTCGTGCTTATACTATCTTATTTGGTTGTTTTCGTCCCATCCAGATAAGAAAAAATAGAATAAAAAATTTACATTCTATTCTATATTTTTTATTTCATTCTATAAAGATGTATATTCATATATTCTATGAAGTGTGTATTTCATTCAAGCTTAGCCTAAAACCTCTATTCAATTTTACTTGTTGATTTGCAAAATATTATAGCGACATCATAGAAAGTATAAAATATAAGTGAGAGATGATTAAAATGTTATCGTGGTATAATTATATCACCTAGATTATAATATAATTATATAAAAAAAAAATTTTTACATTCTATTTGCTATATTTTTTATGTTCATTCGTATAAAGATTGTATATTTTTCATATATTCTATTGAAGTGTGTATTTTTTTCATTCAAGCTTAGGCCTTAAAAACCCTCTTATTCAATTTTACTTTGTTTGGATTTGCAAAAATATTTTATAGCAACATCATAAAAAGTTATAAAAATTATTAAGTGGAGAGGATGATTAAAAAAAATGTTTTATGCCCGTGGTATTAATTATATCCACCCTTCAGATTATAATATAATTATATATATATAATAATATATATATTTTAATTATTATTATAAAAAATTGTTTTCTTAACTTTAAAATATATAAAATTTAATATAAATACTGAAAAAGAAAGGGAAAAAGGCATGTATTTGGATTTTGGACGCTCTGTGATGTGGGTTTATTTTTACTGCCAAGGTTTGAACCCCGGCAACTTGGGGCGGGACTTGTCGTTTTTTATCCTAAAAACGGGGGCAAAACGAACTTTTTTCATTTGTTTATTTATGGTTTCTCCCGTTTCGAATTGGAACCGGATCACATAGTGAAACCCGGTTCCCAGCTTTATTCACTGAGGTCGGGGGGAGGCCCACGTAATGTCTTTTTATATAAAATTGTTTTCTTTAATTTAAATATATAAAATTAATATAAATACTGAAAAGAAAGAAAAGGCATGTATTTGGATTTGACGCTCTGTATTTGGGTTATACTGCGAGTGACCCGCAAACTGGGCCGACTTGTCGTTTTTATCCTAAAACGGGCAAACGACTTTCATTTGTTTATTATGGTCTCCCGTTTCGAATTGGAACCGGGATCACATAGTGAACCGGTTCCCAGCTTTATCACTGAGTCGGAGCCCACGTAATGTCTTTTATCTCCGACGACGCAATATCAGAGTGTGTATAGAAACCTAGTTGCAGCGGAAATCGTGCGGGCAAGCTACAAGAAAATTTCTGCTCAAGCACGAGAATTGATTTGCTGTTTCGAAGTCACTGTAAGTATCCTAAATTTTGCAGAATCATCAACGTATTTACACTGATACATATATGTATATATATCAAATTTTAATTGATAAATTGAAGAACTAGCTTTCCACTGAATTCAAGCAATTGAAAAATTGGAAATTTTCTCTGGAAAAAAAGGAGCTCTAAGATCATCTTTCCTCCATCACATTTTCTCAGAAAGCAAACAGAACTTAACGGCTCCTTCAAACTCACATTGGTTTTGATTCTGGAAATTTGTGTTTTGCCTGTAAAGTTGTTAGGCGATAACGAGAGTATTCTGCTAAAGTATTTTGTCTCAAGTTGAAAGTACTTACTAGTGGTAGCGAAGACATATTTGGATTTTTACGGTTCAATTAGGTGGATTGTTGACTCTGAAATACTGAAGGTTTTTGTTTCTAAATCCAGCTTGCAGTACATCGTAAAATCGTTAATCTCCAAAACATCCATAGTTAGGGCATTAGACTTTACTCTTATACTAGCTCCTTGCGGTTCCTTCATCTTACTTTAGACCAGAGCTGCTTTTTATGTTTTAATTTTTTTAATTACTCCATTTCCATATAAGGATCTTCCTTGTTTCCAAACCCATCTCTTTTTTAACAACTGACTTCTCCTAATATGCCAAATGCAGACACGTCCCATAAGCTTTTGCAGTACTGTTGATTAATTCCATAGATACTCGTATACTCGCCAGCTTTATAGATAGTCTGATATTTTCCTTCGCACCCATAAGGGAGCTGAATTCTGCTAATGTTTAAAATTTGCTGAGAAAAGAGGGGGGTGGGGGGGTGGGGGTGGGGGTGTTAAAGCTTATCAAAGATAGGACAAGCAGGTGCAGGAGTTGTCTCCTTGTCCGTACTAGTTGAAAACAAAACACATTCATAGCTTTATTGCATAAAATATCATCGTGGAGAAGTCATTTATTATAATATTAAATTGACAAATTCATGTTGCCTTTCTATTTTTTTATAGGTTTCAATTCATTTCACATTCTTCTATTTTCTGATTCTTGATGCTGATTTCTTTCTTGTTTGATGTTGCTCTTTTGGGTTTGTTGTATTCTTAATGCTGTGCATATTGCAGGTAAACTAATAGTATGTCTACAGCACTAACACCTTCTAAGAGGCCACATGAACGGAACGCTGCAGAGACAAATGGAAAAGGAAAGTGGCAAAAGACAGCAGGACTTAATTCCCCCAACCAACCAGGGAAATTCTCTTCTGGTGGCGTTGTTTTCCGAATACTCTGTCCCGCTTCCAAAACTGGCAGTGTTATTGGGAAAGGTGGTTCCATCATATCACAAATCCGTCAAGAAACTGGTGCAAAGGTTAGAGTTGAGGAAACTGTCCCTGGATGTGATGAGAGGGTAGTTGTTATTATGGGTTCTGATAAGGAGATGGAAGTCAATGCTGAACCAAATGAGAAGAATGGTGATAAAGAGGCTAATGTAGCTGAAGAGGGTGATGATAAAAAGGATGGTGGTGAAAATGATGAAAGTGAAGAAACTGTTCCTGCAGTTGACTCGTCAAAGTCTGTAAAGGAAACCTCATCCCTGCAGAAAGCTTTGGTACTTGTCTTTGAAAGAATAGTTGAAGCAGAGCCAGAGATAGATGGAAGGGATGAGGAAAACAACAAGCCTTCTATGTTCATTTTGAGGTTGCTTGTGCTTTCCAGTCAAGTTGGCTGCCTTTTGGGAAAGGGTGGCAGTGTAATCAAGCAAATGTCAGCAGAAAGTGGGGCACAGATTCGAATTCTTCCTAGAGATAAACTTCCTACATGTGCATCACCTTCTGATGAACTAGTTCAGGTAATTAAGTATTGGATTTTATCTACTGCATCTTTAATGGCGATTGATACCATCTCACACTTCTCAGTCACCACATATGTAAAGGGGTTGCTATTCTATCATACATTGAGTGAAAATAGTAATGTGGAGTTGCAGTTAGTGTAAAAGGTGAAACATTAAAGGTAGGCATATATGTAGCCTGTGATGCTGATTCCTTTAGAAGTTCGAATACTGTGATTTTTTTTTTTTTTGGGAGAATATTAAACAGTACTAACTTTGTAACCTACATCTTTTTTATCTCTCTTTCTCGCTTAGAGATCTTTTTTAGCATGGTATATATCTTAATGACAAGATTGGATGAAACTCCAGTCATATCTGATTTTCGTCTACTGCTTCTTCCCTTATGCGATCTTTTTGTTAAATCTGCTTTAAAGTTTCTTATTAGGTCAGGGGAAACCATGTTCACTGTTCATTTGTACAAAGGGAAAAAAAACATTTGGAGGAGGTTGGAGGTTTTAATGTTTTTTTTTTTTTTTTTTTTTTTTTTTTTTTTTTTTTTTTTTTTTACCAAGATTGGATTGAAAAACTTCCCAGTCTATGCTGATTTTTCTGTTCTACTGCTTCTTCCCTTATTGCGATCTTTTTTTGTATAAAATCTGCTTTTAAAGTTTCTTTATTAGGTCCAGGGGAAGGAAACCATTGTCTCACTGTTCATTTTGCTACAGAAGGGAAAAAAAAAACATTTTGGAAGGGGAGGTTGGAAGCGTTTTAATGTTTTTTTTTTTTTTTTTTTTTTTTTTTTTTTTTTTTTGGTTTTTTTTTTGAAGCCAGAGGGGAAGGGTTGGGGGGGGTTGCAAGCATGGCTAACTCACCATTTGGTGGGAAAACTAAACGGAGACTTTCCTGATTAGATAGTAGGAAGAAAACTTTGTGTAATTTTGCATTAAAATAATTATGAATGTTGTTGGTCTTCAAGGGCGTAGATTTTGGCAAACATTTGAAGCGTTAGTCACTTAGTCTCCTTTGCCAAAAACTTTTTTTGTTAGGTGTTTGTGTTCTGGTTTACTAAATTCTCACAACCAGTCGGATAGCTGTTAAAACATTTAATTTTTTTTTTTTTTTTTTTTTTTTTTTTTTTTTTTTTTTTTTTTTTGAGCAGAGAAGGGGTTGGGGGGTGGGGTTGCACATGCTAACTCACATTTGGTGGGAACTAACGAGACTGTCCTGATTAGATAGAGGAAGAAACTTTGTGTATGCATAAAATATATATGATTTGTTGGTCTCAGGGTAGATTTGCACATGAAGCGTTAGTCACTAGTCTCCTGCAAACTTTTGTTAGGTGTTGTGTTCTGGTACTAAATTCTCACACATCGGATAGCTGTTTTAACATTAAATTGCAGTCTTAACAGCAGTGGGTCCTGATTTCTGTCTTGGAAAAATGGAATGAGTCCATATATGAAATTTTCTATGGTGCATATTTTTGGTGTCTCCAAAAATTCTAATTTTTCTATTTTGTTCCATGTTTATGCTGCAGATCACAGGAGAGGTTGGAGCAGTTAGGAAAGCTCTTCAATCTGTTGCTCAACAGCTTTTCGAGAATCCGCCCAGGGAACATGACTCTTTCCCTGCCAGTTCTACATGGCCTTCATCTCATTCATTTGGCCATCCTCCTCCTAGGTCAGAAGCATATCCCCCACCATACCATTCTTTTAATACTCGGGGAACAACTTATGGTGCTGGACCTCGGGATTTTCATGAAAGTGGTATTCCTGGTCGAATGAAGCCTGCTCCAGATATAATAACCTTTCGCTTATTGTGTCTTGATGAGAAGGTAGGAGGTGTCATTGGAAAAGGAGGAAACATTATAAAAACCCTTCAGCAAGAAACAGGCTGTGACATCAAAGTTTTGGAAGGGGTTTCTGATTCAGAGGACCGCATTATTCTCATATCTGGTCCAGCGGTATGGTTTGCCTCTCTAACATCTTGGAAGTGATAAGTTTTTAGTTTTTGCCTTTCTCCTTCTGAGTCTTTTATTTTTTTCCTAACAATAGTTCAACTATTACAGCACCCAGAGGATAGGGTATCAGCTGCACAAGATGCAGTTCTTCGTGTGCAAACCAGGATTGCAAGGGCTTTACCTTTACCTGAGGGTAAAGATAAGCCTGTGATTGCAAGGATTCTTGTCTCATCTAATCAAATTGGTTGTCTCCTTGGCAAGGGTGGTGCCATCATGGCAGAAATGAGGAAATCAACTGGTGCATACATTCGGATATTGGGGAAAGATCAAATTCCAAAATGTGCTTCAGAAAATGATGAAGTGGTTCAGGTGTGTCCTTTTTGTGATTTTCTAACTTGACCTGGTTTGGCATTTTAAGTGTACCATCTGACCTATTTTTGCTGATGTATTTTTATAGTATTTTTAATTATCAATTTTCTAAAAGTGCTGATAACCGAGAAATCCAAAATTTTGGTCCAAGTATCAAGAAGAGCTTTGTCTTTTTTGTTCTAACTTTGTTCATCTACTTCATCATAGTGTTATTTATGGTGAGCCTTAAGGAGGACAGGAGGTGTGAGTCCAAGTCTCCAAGCACCCTAGTGCTAGTATGGTCTATATCATACAGCAAGTGAGGCTATACACACAAGTGAGAAAGTGAAGAATACTTTCTTCCTTTTCCTTTTGAAAGTCAATGCTTGAAAATCTTAAATGATACTGGTGCTTAAATATTATAATAATCAAAATGTTACATTAGCTAGGCCTTTTGGTATTTTATGCATAAATCATAGTCCATTTCAGCATTTGAGGTACTCTGGTGCATGTCACACCTAGGCTGGTGATAACTGAAACAATGTTGAAATAGGTGCATATAATTGATGTGAAAAAAAAGACTATCATAATTGACACAAGAATTCACTTACATTTTCTTAATTTTTGGGTTAATAACACTTTTTAACATTTGTGGTATTTAAGTTAAATTTTCTTTTTTGGACAGATTAATGGGGAATATGAAGTAGTTCAAGAAGCTCTTGTGCAGATAACGACCAGGTTGCGCAATCATTTCTTTCGTGATGTATTTCCTACAATAGACCATCCTTCCAATTCTACCTTTCTGGATCAAGTGCCTCCATTTCCTCCATATATGGGGAGAAGGGAACTCTCACCTTCCTTCCATGGATTTCACAACTTTGATGGCATGGGTGGTCCGCCTCCACATACTGGTTTCCATCCACATGATGATCCTTTTATGCACAATATACATAGATCAGGCATGCCTCTGCATATATCTGAAAGAAAACCTTGGGGTCCTCAGGTATAAAATCGTCATCTTTGCTTTTCAGGTTATTTTTAAAGCTGCTGCCTAAACTTTTAGGTGTATGCTGGCTATGCTTTTCATTACCCATTTCCATCTTTAGCATTTAGGACCAAATGTTGAAAATTCTTTGACGAAGCAAATTTTACCGTTCAGACTACTTTTAGACAAGGTAAATTTTGCAACAGTTCTGTGACTTTACTCTGTCTTTCTGAACTGGCTTTCAGGGACTTATGGAAGGCGGTGCCCCAATGGGTTTGCCAGACTTTGGAGGACCTGCTCAAAGAAGAATATCAGGTTTTGGAGGGTACGTATATTTTTATTCCTTGAAATTCTTCTTTTATTATGATTCAAGGTGAATTATTTATCCATGATGTTACCGTGAATTCTTTTCTTATGTGCTTGTATTTATATTTTGTAGGGTAAACCATCCAGCTGTTATTACAAGCACTACTGTTGAAGTAGTTGTTCCCCGTTCTGTGGTCCCTGCAATATATGGAGAAGACGGTACGTGCTTAAAACAAATTCGCCAGGTATGTTATTGGTTGGTACTCTATTTACAGATTATGCAAAATGAATATGCAAATAAAGGATCACCTTAAGAAGTTTCATCAGTGTGTGCATCAACATGCGCCTGCTTGCACCTTGGTGAATCATGAGATAAATTTTGTGGTTGCAAAATCCGAACTGGAAATATGAATCTCCTGTCTAATCAATTTAAAAAGAAGTACATACTAGTAGCAATAGTGATAGTTCATCAGAGTAATCAAGGATCAAAATCCACTTTATTTGTTTCCCTAGAAGTGTAGGTTTCCACATTTGAATTGATTTGTTATTTGCTATGCCATTGATAAATTCAGTTTCTCATGGGAAACAACATAGTAGGTTTGACTTGAAATTTTCCAAGAGAAGATTATTATGGAGTCGATTGTGATTTCTGTTCAAAGTAATTAAACTTGCAGTGGTGCTTTCATATCATATCTTTAGTACATCAATAAGTGTTTATCCATTTGTGTTGAATTGGGAGTAATGGTTTTATACTTTTTATTTATTTTTTGTGCAATCTTATATGACCAGAAAATTCCTTTTTTTCATTGATGTCAGATATGTTGTTGGTGAGGAAATAATGCCATCCAACTTTAAATCATTTGTAAAAGATACATAAAATTAGTACATCCTTTGCATGTAAACAGTCCCAGATATTTTTGGAGATAAAGTCCACTCAAAAGCCTGGGACTTTTTGATTAAGAGTAATCTTATGAAAATTAAACTTTGTATTCTGTCCAGGTTCTTGTGGATACCTCAGAACAATTTTTATTTGTTAAAGATATTGTAAATAGAATTTTTGCACGGCTTATTCATTGAGCCACGCATCTGTATTTTCTCGAAGCACTTTTTTCAGTTGCCCTGACTTGGTATTTCAATCTACTGTTTATTCATTCTGCATACTGTCTGCTTGATGGATGTGTTGTGACAATAGTCAGACCTGGTCAGCTTATGTTTGATTGGTCCCTTTAACCTCAATGCACACATGCATTCATCTGTCAGTTGAATTGTTAGTTTCCATTAATAAACATTATATGTCCTGCACATATGCAGGAAGAAAGATACTTGAAAGGCTTTCAGAAATTTCTAGCTTTTTGAAAAGGCAATACACAATTACAGCATTAGATATAATTTGAATTAGTGGTTACTGTCTCTACCAAATGTTTCTATTAATTGCAGGAGGCTTTATATGGCTTTAAACATTTCAATTTGTTCAACTCTGTTTCAGATTTCAGATGCAAAAATTACAATTACTGAGCCCAAGCCTGGAGCAGCAGAAACTGTGGTTATAATATCAGGGACGCCTGAACAGACCCATGCAGCTCAGAGTCTTATTCAAGCATTTGTGATGAGTGAAAGAGAGTCCGCTTCATCTTTATAATAAGAAGGTAATATTCGTAAACTCCTTTTCCTTGTTCTAGACTGACAATTAAAATGATTATCTTCACATGCTCTTTTTGTATTGTATGGATTGGATATTCTATTGATTATTAATTCTCGTTATTTTATCCTCTATTTATTTTACAGTTCATGGAAGGATCTAAATTAGTAACTGTTGAAATTTGATATCTTACTGAAGATTCTGAAGATTGGAGCTTGCCACGAATATATTTTGGCTGTTTTTGTGAGTAAAGTGAAAAACCATCTGAATTTACTGGTGAAAACACGAAATACTTAACAGATAGTTTAGTATCTTGATGGATGGCGGCATACATTTTCAATTTCATATGAAGAGACACAAGTGATCAAATTGTACCTTTGGCACTCAAAAGAGTTGTTGAACTAAACTTTCATTTTGAATTGTGTTGGATGATGAATTATTAGTAGACTGCAAGAGAAAGTGTATGAATAATGATGACTCATTCCCCTATCTACATACATGCATTTGTTTAGCAGAACATTTTTCACCACATTAGATTAACTTGTCAGAATTCTTTGCACGTTTGATGAAACTATCGTGCCAAATTTCGTATTTCCTAGATGTCTCCTACTGTTATATCGAATTAGGATTCCCACAAGATTTAACAACTTTTGTTTGTTCAATGACTTTTTTTTTTCATTGGCAGTCTATTCTGGTATATGAATGTGTTATCCTTGCTATCATTACCCCAACCATAATGCTGAATAGCAAGGGTTTTTGTGAAAGAAAATATTAAAAAAAAAAAGAAAAAGAAAAATAAGTAACAATGATGAATTGAATGGATCATTTGACCATCTCCTTGAGAACTGTCATACCAAGGACTTATTTTGTGCTAGTTTGTTTCTGGTATAATGCTTCCACAGGCTATGTTTCTTTTTTTGTAATGTTTTCATTTTTTTAATGTTTTCAGAATATTTGGAATTACCTTTGTTCTTCCCAGGTATGTTTGCTTACTTTCTTATGGTATCATCCATTATATGGCCTACAAGCCATGTATGGATATTTTAGAAGAGTCGATAAACACTAGTAATTAGAACTAAAATCATTTGAATTATAATTATGTGAAGGCAGTGTCATGCAGTAGTCTCATGAAAAGATAGACTGTTCAAATTACTTTTTGTTCCAAAATAAATAGGATTCTAGACCTGAATGCTTTTTCCTTCCAATATATGATTAGGGCCAAAAGAGTCATATATTATTGATACGGAGAATGTTGTCATCAAAGTTGTTTTACAACAGAAGTGGTAACCGAAGAATGCTTACGTTCAAGGCAGCAAGGCCCTAACCTAAGAATGCTTACGTTTGATCCATGAGGCAGCAGGACCCTACGATGCATCTAGTTTACTTTGTGCATAATACATTGGTTTCATATTGCTTGACCAGTACATAGGGCTGAACACTTGTTTCTGAACTTGCTCGCTCTCCATTTTTTTGATTTCTCATCTTTTTTCTAACAATCAATGATCTTAATGTCCTACTTGGTGACAAGCTTATGCTGCTGAGATCCGTGTCTATGTTTGTGTTATATCAATTCAAATCATGAAAATAGAAGAGAACTTTTTTTATCCTTGGATCTTTGAATAAAATATAATTGTTCATCATCACAAAATAACTTATGTTTTATAATTGTTTGTGGCAGTTTTGTCTTCAACAATCATGATACTGTCCTTTGATGAATATATTTTATTGGCTGACTACAGTTTAAGCGTGAATGCTAAAATGGCTGACATGATTGACTAGGTATCTTTCTTTTGTTTCTTTATATTTTTATACCTGATTTATAATGAAATATTTTTTTTGTTTGCTTTTGCTTCATATTTCTTGCTCAGAGATTCTCTGGTTTTTTATATTTTTAGTCCTTTTTCTAAATATATTGGTAAGCTTGCTTTCTAAATCGTGTCTTATTTTCTGTAGTCAGAAGTCTGAATGTCTGCCAAATTGAGTCATGGAGCTCAAAAACGAATTTAGAGAATTCCACACTTCATTTATTGTTAGACATTATTGAAGTCAACTTTGGAGTCTTGAATCAGTTTGGTTAGGAAAAAGTTGAAATTCTAATTTGTGCATGTCTGTTTGACCCCTGAGGATGCATTAGAAGTTGTCGATAAGTAGAAAAAGAATGTTTAGGGAAGAGTAAGGGATGGATAAAGTCAAAAAGTGCTTGTAGTATCAAACCATTCCGGAGACTCAACTTGAGACAGCAAAATGCTACCTTTCAGCAAGTGTGATCTTTATAGATTTCAGCCCCCCTGACTCAAGTTTAAACTTTTTGGACTGATTTGAAAAAGCAAATATTTTTAATTTTTGAGTATGTTTAGCAAATTTGATCCTTGAGTGGCCAAAATTTTGATATCTCATGATGAGTGAGTGGAACAGTAGTATAGATGTTCTTGTTACTATTTTAATTCCTTTGCATGGGAATGTATGAAAATGGGTGTAGATATCATTGCTTGCAAGCAAGTACAAACTAGTTCAACACATAATCCACTGGCTTTCAACAATAACGTTAATAACTTTCTCAATTGAAATCTTTGTACACTATAGTCTTTGGGTTGAGGAGCAATGGTTAACTGAGGGTTTATTGCAGGTTTTGACATGATACTTTGATTCCAGATGCTGTTGCTTGCCAACTGAAATTTTTCTTGTTTTTGAGACATGTTCCTGTGCTGACTGAATCAACGTTGCTAGGTTAAGGCCTTTCTACTGCTTAACACTTTTGTTTGCAGTTAAGCATTCACATAATGTTCTGTTGGTTGTATTAACTCTTGCCCCATTTTTATCAGAGTCTGAGTAATTTTGATGGAGAAAATGAAGAAAGCATTGCTTCTCCAGTTTTAATTGATAGATGAGTACAAGTGATTTGTTACTGTAGGAATAAAAATACAGACTTATCTGCTACTGAAAACTTTTACCTTGTTGCTTGAGTAAAAACAATGGTAATAAATTATTGCTCAGATTGAAAAGGCTTGTAGGTCTTGAGAGAGTTGATGAGACCCTCAATGGATCCAGCCGCAGCAACAAGTGATACTATCAAGCAAGCCAAACTCAATATTTTCAGCCATGTCCAGGTGACTGAAAACTTTGGCATTCTTGTGCGCGCAATGTACATCTCTATTGGAAAATAAACTGTCAATGGCCAGAACGCTGCTGCTCCTATTAGACCCAGAAAGTCGTTGAAGAACGGTAAGATCATGGCTAGTACTGCTGTAACTATTACGTATATAGTTCTCCATACCAATCTGAATGAGTTAAGGTAATACACGCCATAATATGGAATGTTAATGGCATGTTCGCTTGTTATGAACTTGTTCTCCGACCACCTTTGGTGGCAATACCTCTCTACAAAGCTGAAGATTGGCTGACAGAAGACCTGCACATTTGAATCATTTTAGACTGACCATAAAAGTGTTTTACAATGAGTAGAACTAGAGCATGCCCTTGGAAATGCTTAGCTTACCTGATAGGCACCGATAAGATGAATGGCGATACATACATTGGCCAAGTCGATCAGCCAGAAAGGTTCATAGAATCCAAAACCAGTCAGGAAATTGCCTGGTGCATCATTTCCGAATGCTGCATAACCGAGGCAACCACATAAGACATAGAACAGGGTGGTTGTTAGGATGCCAATGAATGATGCCCTCTTCATAGCTTTGTTCTCTGGAGGACTTGATCTTACTGTGTCCTGCATTTCATTTCATCGTTATCTCATGTATTACAGTGGCATGTCATCAATTAACTGAATTGGTTTTCAAAATTGTTCTTGGGCTAATTTTAGATTTGATCTAATCTTAGTATGTCTTACACGGTTTCCACTGGCTTACTAACAAGTAAAGTGGTCCTAATTTTTTAACCCAAAGCGTGACAAACCAGAATAAATTGGCTGTGCCAACTTTTCCAGTAAAGACAACCTCCATGAGAGTGACGGAGTGTCTTCATTCATTTAGATGAGCAAACTTTAATAGGGGTTTGATGATTTAATTGGTCAGGAGATGATGCAAGATTGTCAGATTGCGACAAGCACTGAAGCAGCAAGCGTACAAGATGGGCTTTTCCTTCTTTCCTAAAAGGCAATTATATCCATTGGCCCAAATTTTGGATTGTACGAGTGGTCCACTCTTTTAAATATGGTCCATTAAAGATAAGGAATCTCTTTAGAACCCGTTAACTACACTTGAGACCATTTGTTCTAATTTAAGCTTACCTTTTCTTTTTCTTCATAATAATCTAATAAAATATGAATTGTCAGCCTGAGGGAGAAAATATCTCATCTTAAATTATTAGAAATTCATAAAAATTTTCGATTTCTTAGTCTATATGGCTGTATCAAGAATTTCTTTTACGAGGCTGCTTAAAACCAAACCACAATTAATGTTCCTTTAAGGAAATAGCAGCAGGCACTGAAGCCGAAGCCGAAGCCGACATAGTCGAGATCTAAAGAAGCAGCAAGCAACTTGTGTCAAGATTTTTTTATACGGCACGCATTTCAATTGTCAACTATTATGTAGTATTATTATTATTATGCTTACTCCAGTCAAAATTTAATCCACTAGCATGGCATGGTAAAAAAGCGCATTGACGTGATTAAAAAAAAAAAAAAAATCACTACTTCAGTTTTGAAAACTTACTCGTTTCTCCTTCCTTCAATTTCAAAAAAAATATATTTTTACCCCCTAAGTTCCAACTCCCAGTTCTGCCTGATTTCTCTAGTTAAAATTCTAACTAGGCCCATTTCTTCCTTTTGCGAAAATTTCTTATATATATACTAACGCATAAAAATATAATAAAAAGAATAAAAAAGACTAGAGCATTTTGACTTACCTGTATCTCGATAAGAACGGTAGAGAAAGCATAAGCAAAGGCAATGTCCCCAATAGCTTGGAATGCTCTCCACACCTTCTGTGCTGGCGTCACGTCCACCCTAACTGTGGTTCCTGTTAAGCTTGTCCTTGCATGTCCCCCACCTTCATTTTCATTTTTACTATGTACTATTAGATTAGGGAAGAATAATCATATATCAAATCATAAAACTGATAATTATTTTTAATTTAATTTAGCACCTGCTACTTTTGCTATGGACAGTCCAAGGCCTATTGAAGAATAGGCAAAAGACATTACTGCTGCAACAAGTGAAAGCCATGAGAGCTTGTGGAAGTTCGGTATTTGGCTTAAGACGATTTGGATGCATGCAAATATGATCATATAGGGATTGTTCGATGTGTTGCACTTCACATGGTGCCCATGGTTATGGAAACAATTCGACCTCTTAACAGCCCTGATAAATATTAATTCATTAATTAATTTATTAAACTCCTCTACAAAACACAACATGTTTCTGATTAATTATATTAAGACTAATAATTAATTAGAATTAGAATTAAAATTAAAATTAAAATTACTTACACCATGCTAATAGATGCTGTAATAGTATAACCAACTGTGATTCCCACCAGATTTGCATATTGAGCCAACCCACACATCGTAACTTTCCAACCTCCTGTTGAACAATTATTGTTTAGGTTGTATATGAATATAATCCAAGATTTATATTAATATATTTGTACTGACCTAAATTGGCTCTAACAGCATCCATATAAGTATAGTTTCTCTTGCCAGTGACAGGATCAGGTGATCTATAGCAATCGGCAAGCAGAGTAGAAGTGAAGAAGGTGATAAAAGAGAAAGCCATGAGAATAACCGGACCAGCCACCCAGCCTAACTGGGCTATGGCCCATGCTAGAGATAGCACTCCTGACCCTATCACTGCTGTGATAATATGAGCACTTGCAGTTATCCATGTACCTGTCAAGAACAAGAACATCAGTTCATCTTTCAAGAAATAATGGCTTTTTAATATATGCACGAAAAAAGAAGATTGAAAGATTCAAGCATCTGAAGAATCTTTTGGTATTTTATAAAACTAATTAAAATTGAAAAAAAAAAAATTACCCGTCCTTTTAGCTCGACCATCATCGTCAAGATTCTTGCGAATTCCACCATTTTCATAGCCTTCTATGTCTACCTGTTCTAAGTACATGCTGCTATGTTGCATTTCTTTAGCCATTTTTTCCCTCTTTATGTATATTTGTTTATGTTTATAGCAAGTTGAAACGGTGGACGAAAGCAGAAAAAGAAAGGAAGGGTCTATAGAAAAGTGAAATCAAATAACAACAAATGGTGATAACAACTAAAGAAAAGTGATAACAACTGAAATCAAATAAAGAAAAGTGATAACAACTAATGGTGTTTCTGCCTATATAACAGAATCTATAAACTCAAGAAAAGAAAAACATACTTTTCCTAGAGCTAAAAGACTGGAGAGGGTCTATAGAGAGTAGTAGTGACAGGAGGATCCTCTGCACCATTAATGGTGGAGCAGAGGGTGTGGTCTTAATAACCTATAAAAAACCCTAAAGGGTCCCCACCCTGTATCGATGTGCTGTGTAATTTTGGTTTTGGACCATTAAATTAGAAGAAAGCTCTTTTCTATGGTAACCATTGAACGTGAAATAACATAGATACATGTCCCAACATCACCGATAGAACTTTCTCGGCCTACTCTTTTGCTTAATTTTTATTTGGTTCGGTTCCATTTAAACGCATCTGCAAGAGATTGAGACTGATACATACCAGAAAGATGAAAGTGCCGTTTCGAGACTCGGAAAAGATAAAAAAGGTCATTTGACCTTGTCTTTCTTTATTTTCTTGCTTATTTTCTTGAATATTACTTGATTATATTAGATACGAGCCTGTCAGATAAGAATTAAAAGGTCAAGAAAACGGTTAAAAGTTGGGGATAGGTGCAGTGTAGTTGTTAACCCTAAACAGTAGCAGAAATTAAGCGTAAGGATTCTTGTTATTAACTTCTCTTTAAGGACCTCAATCCAAATGATATACTATTTTGGTGTTTGTTATTCATTAATAGTCTTTTATATGTTCATTAGGATGACAAGCGCTTTAACCCTTCCTAGACCCATTCGAGCGAATCTAAATTAATCGACAGTAAATTTTAAATACTGAATAATTTTTTAAAAAAATATTATTCTTATATTATCGGTAATATTCCATACGTGGATACATATAATTCATATAATAATATTTTACAATACTACAAGAAAAATATTTAGATATCTAAATACAATGAATTTACAAGTAGATTTCTTGGGGTAAAACCATCCTTACACCTTTAAATTGGCCCAAAGCCTAAAGTTTTGGGGTTGATAAATTTTCTTTTTCTTCTTCAATCTCCTAAACTCTATATATCTATATATATATATATTTCCTTTTTTTTTTTTCATTTTTCTTTATTGTTTTCAGTTCACAGTCACAGTAGAAAGTCAGTGAATTATAACAAAGTGCAATTCTTTCAGTTGTTTTTTCCCACTTCTAGTGCGAGGAAAAGAAGGGATGATGACTCTAGTCCCTAGAAAAAGAAAGAAAACAATAATGATGATGACGATATATGTATATATGGTCTTTGGCATTTTTCAGAGTCAACCCTTCATTCATTATTGGTGGATTTTGTTTCGTATCTTCTTTTAGATAAACCCTTCGTTTGATTCAGAAAATATCGCCACCACTCCTTTCATGTCAGTCCAATACATAACGTTTAATATATTGTTTTAATATGTACATACTGAAGTTTTAACTGCATGAATACATATGAATGAAGCCAAAACTGAAGAAAAAAGAAATGTGGGTTTTAATCCAAATTTTTCGTTGTCATAAATCCCCCAAAATAAAAATTTAAATATTGATATAAAAAAAAGTGATTGAATTACCAAAATTAGACTACATAGAATTATAAATATTGATAGCTCTAATTGGTTGGTTTGCACTGACTTAAAAAGTTGTGTTTTTATTTTTTGGAAATCCATAAATATGGCTCACGTCAATAAGTCAACGTTCCCAAAAATAATTAATTAGCGTATCAATTGATACATATTTTATGACTCAAAATAATTTGGTTTAGTTAAAACACGTATATTTTATTATCTAAAATAATTTGATTTAGCTAAAACACGGTCCAAGAAAATTTGGTTTAGCTAGTGGTTGAAGTACAACAAACTCCACCTGATGATTATAGGCATCGAGCTGTGGAATCCACAATTTGAAAAGACCTTTAAAATAATTGTTTAGATTAGTCTTTCATCCAATCTCATCCAACCATGGAGGATGAAAGAATATATATATATATATATATATTTAACGGGTCAGAAAACCAAATGTAGATATATAGATATACAAATAAAATTAATATCATTTCTTACATAGTAAGGGAGATAAAATGTCATTTGGCATGTCTAGACACTGAAAATAGCAATATATTTCTGCAAAAAAGGATAAGGAAACGGTGCCAAACGACTATATCTGTATTGAAAATTACAGAAAACGACAGCCCGCCATTTTAGACTTATTAGGACTAGTACAAACTCATTTTTCAATTGACAACTTATTTCATACGTACAATGTCTTTCAAACATTAATTAAGTCATATGGGTCTCTTATTTTATCAAATCAAACACCTAATTAAACACGACTTCATTCGTTGCAGGTTGGCATCAGTATCATAGTCTATATGACCTTGAGAGCCAACGAATAGCCGCATATATACATTTAATTTCTGATAAAGATTGGAATTTATATTAGCTAAAAACATCCTATTACAGTTGAATATGTGGTTCCTCGTTTATATTCTGGTATGTGACAAGTCGTACCAATATGAAGAAGTTGATTAGCAATCAAATGTGTGTTTGCGTAATTTTCTAAGTCTCTATTTCTTGAAGATATAATCAATTTATTCCAAATCTAAGTATTACTCTACTAGTTTCTGTCCATTTTTAATGGCACATATTTTAAAATTTTTCTTTTTCCATTAAAAAAAAAAGGAGTTATTGCCAATTTGAAATTGAATATTGGAAAGTCCACAATCTGGGGATATATAGAACCACACCAATGCATCAAAAGGTAGCAAACTTGGATATGAGTTCATAGGATCCTATTTTTCATCTCCAATTGGAGAGAAGAGAGTGGTGTCAATGCTCTATATATTCTCAATAATTTGCTTTAAAGCAAGCAAACAAACTCGATTTTATATGAGAAATTTAAAAAAAATTTTGGTAATAACATGAGATGCAAGTTTTAAGTAAATGTCATGAATTTCCAATTTAACCTTATTAACATATATCCATTATTGCATGTCTCATATCATTTGGTACTACAATGTCATGATGCTTAAAATTATTGGATGGAGGGCCTTTGATGGCAAACTTTGAACTTGGAAGCATGCATGTCATGAATAATAATAATAATAATAATATGAATTGAATGAGCAATGTACCTATGAAAGAGACAGAGATGATAGAGGCATAGGCAGATACATGATAAACGACATTTAATGTGGAAAAGAATTCTTGTTTCAGTCGGTCGAAGCAAACCCATTTCTTGAAAATGAAATGAAAACTGAATTTTACTTTAAGAGTATCACATATATCACTGCCCATTCTCTATGGCCTTACAAAGAAATGGACAAATCCTTGCATGGGGTCCTTATTTTCTATTGGTTTGTGACTTGAATTAATTTTTGAGGCCACAAGTTTACCTCGAGCCCCAACCCTAACGACCTCCTTCTCATATTTTTCAAAGCCAAAACATATATAAGACAGCTTGTTTATTTTCTTGTTTTTATTTTAGATTTTTGAAAGCGACCAAAAAATATATATAATTTTTTTTTCTAAATTATTTGTCTCAATTTGTGAATTATTATTTGTTTGCAATTTTTTTAATTTTCTTTTTTGATTGAATTATTGTTTGTTGTGTGTCTTCTTTTTGTCATCCCAAATTCCAATAATGACTAGTTCGATGTAGATGATTGATGCTGACTTCCGATTACTATTGGATTTGAAGCCATATTATTCTGGTTTCTTTTGAATGTTCAAACCTCACAATTTCAAGCAAAAATAATTAAAGCTTTAAAGACGTGTTTCTGTTTTAATAAAACAACAATAATACATTGTAGATAGGAAAGCAAAGGAAACGAAATTAAGTTTCAATAATTGATGGTCCATAGTTTCGTTATGCTTGTTGATCCGGTTTCAATAATTAAGCATATTAAGATATAGTCTAGTAACAAATGTATATATAATCCGACAATAAATATTTAGATACAAATCCCTTTTCCTCCAATACTAAAAAAAAAATATATAGTATTTAAACTTTTACAAGATCGGAAAGTCGATCTTGATAAAAATTATTTATAGGATTACGAATTTTAAAATAAGATTACTCCCGCATCTTAAAATGGATTAATCTATATAATCAATGATATTTACCACATCAATGCCTCAATCTTTGCCTGATCATGATGGTAACTACATCAATGCCTCGATCTTTGCCTGATCATGGTGTCAACTATATCAATGCCTTCATCTTCTCCCCTTCCTCAATTCCTCTCACAAAGTCTCAACACCATGCTTAATTAATTATCATCATAGCCATTAATTAAATTCCATGCGAAAAATTTTCTTAATGTAGAAGTTTAACTTAATAATTTTCCTTCACTACTAAAAGTAAAATAATCTAACTTAATGTAGAAGTTCTTTGTCTCAATATGTGGTAAAACTGTATGACAAAACAGTATTAAAGGAAGAGTAAATAAAATAATATGTGATACGACGGGCCTAAAAACACCTTGTACGTCTTTTTGGGTTATAAAGCCCATCTTATTGTCTGGATTATTTCCATTTACTGATCAAGTGGACCCTTTTCCGTCTGGGCCGAGTAGCCCGTCCTTTTCTAGCCCAAAAAGATAGGTAAAACGGGCGGGAACTCGACCCAATAGACAGTTAGCCACCTGACATGGAACCGTTATTGTTATTTTGGCGCAAAACACACATGCAGCTTTTTCTTTGATAAAATGTCGAAAGGAAGCACAGACGGATGAATACGACCTCGAGATCTTTCTCTTCTTCTTTAAGCAGCAAGAGAGAGAGAAAAGAAATTATACAAACCTAAAGAATTTGTAGATCTACACAAGGTTTTTGTTCTCTATTGTTCATCAATTTCTTTTTCCATTTATAATTAGTTTGAAATTATCACATTTCACGAGTTCAATAGAAATGCATTATTTCGGTTCGTGTTCTTGCCTTAAATTGAAAGGTTTAATTCACTTTGCCTTGCTTTAGATTGGTTTGATTTTGAATAGTGATGTTTTAAATGTACAGCAAATAAAATTTTCATTGATGGAATGTTAGTGTTTTTGTCAATTCCTTTGCCAGTTTAATTCCGTGAATAAAAGTTTATGAAGGAGGAAATAGGTACTGAAATATTTTATGAGATGAATAATGCTCTTATAACTTGATTGTCAAATTGACTGGCTCTATGGTGTTTTTGTGATAATTTTTTTTAATGTAGGAATTAAAATTTTTGAGTAAGATTAAGAAAGTGCAAGGTAACGATTGATTGAATGTTACATGCACTATTTTTTTTTTTAAAAAAAAAAAAAAAACTAAAATGAACTTGTTGATGTCAAATTCTTTGCCTAAGTTTAGCCTTTTATCTTTTTTCATTCCATGTGAAATTCTCTTGCTTCATATAATTTAACATTCTTCTGCAGCTTTCAAGTGTCATGTACCAAAGAGGGAGATCATTAGGAACCGAGTTGTACAAAGAGAGGACCATTTCGAGATAACATCATCTAGAGATCTCATGTTTATTTTCAGTTATCACATTCCTTGAAATGAATTAATGTGCTTCAAAGAACTTGTCCGATCACTATTGGAATTAAGAAGGATATTGAAATATTTAACTAGTGTCGTAGGCTTGGGTTGAAAAGCAAGAATAAGAGTGCAAGTTTTGGGGATTTTTGATATCCTATGTTTCAAAGGATTTGAGATGGTTAACTGGTATAAATCCTGAACTTGGGCAAAAGAATAAGCTGCCCAATATAAAGTCACGTCTGAATGTAATTGAGCTGACTGCCATGTGGGATACTGTGCAACAAATTGCCATTTACATACATAGGTTTCACAACCTTGACCTTTTTCAGCAAGGGTATGTGCATTTAATTGATCATAAACTGTGAATCAAATTCTTCCAATCTTTCAGTTTAACAAAGAATTTATCCCCTTTCCTTTTTTATTTTCAGATTCTATCAAATTAAGGTTACGATGAGATGGGAAGATAGTGAATATGCTAGTATTGGTACTCCTGCTAGAGTTGTTCAATATGAAGGTAATTTCATATTATTTCCTTATTTTGATGCAAATGTCTTCTTCTCTTTTAGCTTTCTACTTCTTCTTTTTGAGTTTTTTTAAATAAATTGTATCATGATTTGGCTAATCACTTGAGATAGGTAAAATAATAGCTGAATATCAGGTGTTTTTCTTTGCCATGGGATAAACAAAATTTTCTCTGTTTTCAATTTCAAAGTTAAGTTGATGATTTATGTCCACCATTCCTGGGATGTAGTTTCAAGTGAAAGCATTCTTGTGAAGCATTGATGTTTATTAGCGTGGTTTTGAAGATAACATTTGTTGAAGTAAAAGAAAAGGGAAAAAATAACTTCTTTTCTTAAACGAGTGTGAGCAGATGGTTGAGCTTTTTGATTGTTTCTAGGGTCCATTAGAAGGCCTATTGAGCCTTGGAACAAACGATCGGGTTGCCCGCCACACCAACCCCCTGCCCTCCGGGGCTGGTGATCTTATAAAATCCTGATGAGATCTTAACCTTGGATCTTGAAGGCTAAACATTGAATGTTGTTACTATCCTGACTCAGGTTTTGTATTGGGAATTCGGAGGAACGTTTTAAGATGCCTATGCTATAATTAGTTGATTATATAATTCACTTTTTTTTATTCTTGTTCATATTTAGAGAAACAATTTGCTTCTCTTAAATGATAGATTTTTTTGGTATTTTTCATACTTGACCTATATGTGATAGTGTAAAAGTGAAGATAATGACTTTTTTTTGAGCTCCAGCACATGATATGGATTCTGACAGCATCTATGGGGCATGGAGAATCAATGATACAGACAATAGTTTCTTAACACAGCCTTTTCGGATCAAATATGCGAGGCAAGATGTTTATTTATCCGTCATGATCTCGTTTGATCTATCTCTTAGTAAATATAAGGTAACTCTCTCAATCTCTCTATATATATGTGTGTGTGTGAGTGTGTATGTGTGTGTGTTTGCACATCTCTCAGATAATAAGTTTTTAAATTTTATTGATTTACTAAGACAAGGAGAAAATGTAGTAGATAAGTTTGGCAAGATGTTGTCTTTCTGAATATGCTATCTCAAACATTATTAAAATAACTAAACAAGCATTCAGAAACAAACAACTCTAGAAAATTGGTCGTAATGGAATCAGAGATACCATATAATATCAATGCAACATGTACTTGGTGGTCAGGTTCCTCTTAGTTAATTTGATGCTATATTGACTATCAGAATCCAATGTGAAAAGGCCCTGATGCAATAAAAGGGGGAGCCTTTTTCTGTGGAAGCACAACTTCTAAACTCTTCACTACCTGGGTGGTAATTTTCAAAATCTGTTTTTCAGATTTTAATTCATTATTGCTGCAGTGATTCTTAGAATCATACACATATATCCCTTTTGGTAAATGAAATATGCACTCTTTGGCATTTTTGGTAAGCAATTGTACACTGTTTATGCCTACAAGATCTTGAGATTGTAATTCCTAGTTCAAAATTTTCGAAGGAAAAAGGAAGCCAGTGATGGTTTTATATTTTGTTGCAATTATTTGGGATATTTAGTTAAAGAGAAACGATAGATATTTTTAAGGTTTGGTAATGGCATTTGTAGTAATTACATGACAAATTATTTTCTTAGCTTCTCTGCAGAGTTCAGCTTTTAGGGATTTATAGGGACTTTTATATCTGTCAATCAATTTGATTGAAGGTCTTACTTTGTTTATTCTATTTTCTTACCTTGTACTTTTATTAAAAGGATGATTTATCCTTTTTCATGTGATTATCTTCTTTTCTTTATCACTCATTGAGTCTTTGCTTATCTCAAAAAGGAAAAAAGAAGGGTTATGAAGTTATGCTAATGTGTCTTATAATTTGCAGGTCCCATCCACATCTGCTGTTATTTTAAAATTTGAGCTTCTGCAAGCTCCCATAACAGAGAATAGGTGTGTTGAGAACCACTTTTTTTTGGTAATGTTCCTTTCCTGTGTGCTTGAAATTGGCAAATTGAGGCTTCATTTAGTTCAAACTTTTGCCTTTTGATTTTTTGTTCCTAAAGGAGTTTTCTAGAATTTTGATTTTATTAGAAGATAAATATGATAGTAACAAATTGTGCTAGATAAATATATGAAAATTTCTTCACATCATAAAAGAAAAACGGAATTTATTTCACTCTTTACAGACTTGAGTTGCTAGCATATCTGGAAGCTTCCTCTGTTGCGGTCCATGAATTTCGAATTCCTCCTAAAGCTCTTTTTGGACTGCATTCATACTGCCCTATCCATTTTGATATATTTCATGCTGTGCTGGTTGAAGCAAGCGTCCATGTCAGTCTACTAAAAGCTGGTTCTCATGCACATAAATCCAGGTTTTTTCATTTCTACTATTCCAAAAAAAAAAATAATAATAAAATAAAATCTTTGTTCAGATTGCATGTGAATTGTGGTTTGTTCAATTAACTGTTTGTATTGGATCTTTGCAGTGATCCTTACCACCTTGAAGATGTTCCTGGTGAAAGTATTGATGAGAGGCCCAATCAAGTATGCACAGATAAATATTTTACATGTTACTCCAACATGATTTTGTCTTCCTTTCTTCTATCTTGCTCTTGATAACTGTACATTTTATATAATTTAACTTGCTTACTTTGTTGATTGCATTTTGTTTTTGGTGAATTCTATGCCGATGATAATATATACACTGGTGACTAATGTTTATGTTCCTGCATGTAAATGTTTATATTTGTGCTTCTAGGCTTTCCTTTTTTTCCCATGCGACATGTTTGCATGTGTTTTGCGTATAAAACTTACAGTCAATTAGTTGACTTTATCCTATTTTCAGGGTGCCGATGGAATGTCTGTTTAAGCAATGTTTTGATTGTAGGAACTTCCATTTCAAGATTCCATATCATAGTGTGCGCTCTGACTTTCAGGGCCTAAGTTTTTAGAATACAATGAGATACGCATTGCTTCATGTAAAATCTGATGTTATGCAATCGAACCTGTACATAATTCTTATTTATGTTCACAAATATGATTTCTAAAGTTTTTGGTTTTATTTAAAGCAAAAAGAGATGCAGGATATGAGTGCCAAGAGAGAAGCTCCTTTTAAAATTTAGAAGTCTCCAGATTTTGTCCAAATGGAGGGCTAGAACTTTATATCTTAGTTGCCAAAGAACATTGATGGATGACCAATTGTGGGCAATAATTTACTAAAACTTTCAGCAGCATCTGGTCTAAAGAAGAAAATAATTTTTGAAAGGAGAAAACTTTTTTCTCTGTGTCAGAAGCCTACTAATTAGATATAAGTTCGCTTTCCTGAATCTAAAACATGCAACTCACAAGTACAAAGATGATTGTTTTTTCATGTTTATTCAGGTTTTGTGACCATCAGTTCCTTAAAACTCGTTCTCCATGTATTGAAATTAATTTTGTTATTGATCAGGCATTGGCTTCAGTATCTTTTGTAGCAATGAACAAGATAATGCTTATTAAAACATTGTTAGTTGCCCGTGACACTTTACTTGAAGAGCTACAAAGACTTAGCAAAGCCATTGCCCAAGTAATTGATTTTACTGATTTTACATCCAAAATGAATGATATAAATATGCTTGATTCTATCCGGAGAGCGGATCTTGGTACTGCAAAAGGTGAAGTTGGCGGGCGAGGCAGTTTACAAAATGGTCTTGAGGTCCTTGCTTCATTTTCTTAGCAAACAATTCTTGATTATATATCAATAGCTATTTGTTTTTTACCTAATATTTTCTTCTTGTCTTGAACCAGAAAGCAAATGGCATTCCAGATTTTGAAGGTGATAAGCTGCAATACATTTTATCTAATGATGCTCTGGAGAACATTTTTCATTTGCTGGGAACTCAACTATCATACTTGTGGAGCACTTTTCTGCAGTTCCACAGGTTTGCTTTTCTAGTTAGCACACTGCACTGAGCTTCTTTTAGTTGCGTAAAAAGTGAGCCAGGTAATTTTAGAAATAATCAAATGCATATGTACTTGTTATATAATTTGTTAGTTTAAGGATGTTCAAAAAATAACTTGTGGTATAGTTTAAATGTTTCATGGATTTATTTGGCACTTTAAAATGCACGGACGAGTAACTATTATTTCTCGTTATTATTAAAATGCTCATTCGTTTTTATTAACAATATTTTTTTCCTTTTTGAGGAAGGTTACTCGACAATATTGGTTCAATGGTAGTTGGAACAATGGGGAGATTTGTAAAAAAATGCTTCAGGGGCCTCAAATCAAAAGAACTTTGTTTTAGTCAACTGATGAACTTGAGGTTATGATGATTTTTCTGCTACTGTTTTCAGTTTGGAGAAAAAGACATTGTCTTCTTTTTTGGAATCTTTATTCCTCTGACATGGGAGCTGTCTATATCCTCATTTAGGTGTTGAGTTTTTATTTTTGCCAGCATGGTGATATTCAAAGATTATAAGCTCTATTTTTGATGGGACAGGTTGAAAACTTTAGAAAAAGGATGGCTGCTGCCCCAATATCTCTCTCATTTCCTTCACTTTTTTCTCCTCTCTGTTTTCCTTCTCTCTTCACCTCTTTGATCTGTCCTTATCCATCTCCACTTTATATTCTCTTATTACTGGAACTCTTCCATCTAGATCTTATGTGCCTTTGTAGCTGGATGGTTGCATAGCAGTAGCACTTGTTATTAATTCAAACTACGTTTACTCTCTTTTTTCCATCTTTATCCAACCTTTATGTTATTGGACCACAAACTGTCAGCAAACTTAATATGCTTGCTAACATTTACATTGTAACCTTTTTTGTATCAATTCTCCACTTATCTTTTAAATAGTATATGCCGATATCTTTCGTACTTTTTTCAGTTCCATATAAATCCTGCTTCTTGTTAAACAGTTTCAAACTTAAAATTTGGCTATATACAATGCTTGGCTCAAGTTATATAGTTTAGATAGGGTTAATGGTCTCGTTTAACACCTTATCATAATCCAATGCAATTGATATTTTCAACTTGATATGACGTACTTGGAGAATCCTTCAATGTGGACTTAATTAATTCTCGTATCCTTGGCTGCCAGTTAATAGGACAAGGAGTTTAACTGCTGTCAATGTAATTTTAGCCATATACTCAGCTTACTTTTTTGCTAAATTTTAGGACAAATAAAAAGAAGATACTAAGGTTTCTGCGTGATGCATGGGCTAAGGATCGCAGAACTGAGTGGTCAATATGGATGGTATACTCTAAGGTTGAGATGCCTCATCATTACATAAGCAGTGGAACTCATGATGCTTCTCATATTGTGGTTGATAAAAGAGTTTCAAGTTTCTGGAAGTTAGCTGATGATGTAAGTGTCCTTTTTCTACAGTCTTCTTGTTGGTTTTGTCGGTATAATTTTACTCTTGGTTTGGATTTTTCAACCATAAAATATATTCTTCCGTTCTTGTTCTTCAATTTTTTTTCCTTCTTCTTCCATCTTTCATCTTCTTTACAGCCTGCCCAGACTGCTGCTACACGTGCTGAACTTCATCGGCGAAGTATTGCCCAAATGAGGGTGAATTACTATCCCATTTGAATGATTTGTTGCCCTCATCTTCCTTGTACTATGGGGTTCTACAGAGCAGGTTTTTTTTTTTTTCTTTGCAGATAAATGCTAGTTCAATCCAAGACATGTATATATTCGGAGACCCTCTGCGAGTTCCTATTATATATGTTGAGCGTGTCATAAATGCACCACGCCGTACTTTTAGTGAAAATTCTTATTTTAGAAATTTGGACCTGATAGATTCTCCTAGCTTACTTGCTGGACCGGGCCCTGGAACTTTGAAGAAGCTTCCTGGTGGTAACTCACATAAAAAAAGCCGTGAGTTGAAGATTGTTGTGTTTGTGCATGGGTTTCAGGTCCGTCTCTCTCTTCTACAGGTCATATTGAATATTCAGTTGAGTTGCCTTTTATTTTCAGTTAGTGGTTCCTCAAGTTATTAAACTTGAAGAGAAGTAAGCTGTCTGTTTGATTCAGTTTTAGTAAAATGTCTGACTGTTTGATTCAGTTTTAGAGAAATATGTTTTTGTGTTCTTTGCCTAAATTCAGTTTTCTGTTCAGGGAATTTAATTCTTTTGGGGGCTGTAATCTGATTTTGTTTCCTTTTTTATTTTCTTCTGCCCACTGTTTTTCTTTGAAACTCTATTTGTTGGGAAAATATTTTCGTAAATTCTGGCTGTATTAAATCTTATATTGGTAGATTGACTTTATTGCTGTGACTCCACAATTAGGGACATCATCTGGATTTACGTCTTATTCGAAATCAATGGCTTTTGATAGACCCCAAGATAGAAATTCTCATGTCGGAGGCAAATGAAGAAAAAACATCAGGAGACTTCAGAGAAATGGGACTAAGGCTTGCTCAGGAGGTGATCTCTTTTCTTAAAAAGAAATCTGACAAATATTCAAGATCTGGTGGTCTGAGAGATATCAAGCTTAGCTTTGTTGGGCATTCCATTGGAAATGTAATTATAAGAACAGCATTAGCAGGTATAATTTATTCATTGCATCACTATGACAGATGTTCCCATTGTCAGTAAACTGACACGAGATCTTTATTTATGTTACTGCAGAAAGCATCATGGAGCCATTCCGTAGACACCTCTACACTTACATTTCTCTATCTGGTCCACAGTTGGGGTATCTTTACAGTTCTAATTCTTTATTCAACTCCGGGATGTGGTTTATGAAAAAGTTCAGAGGAACACAGTGCATTCATCAACTCACTTTCACAGATGATCCAAATCTCAAAAACACTTTCTTTTACAGGCTTTGTGAGGTATGAAAGTAAAATTTTGTTATCCATTAAACTTGTCTAGGACGAGTTTCTTGTCATGGTTTTTCCTTTTACTTGAGAGAGATGAAGACGTGGCAATGCAAGGTGCTTTCTGACTGTATACCTCCACTCATGAAAAGCAGGACCAGATGAACCTGCCTTTTCTGTCTTTTCAGCAAGTAAATGCAATGATGATTCTGTGATATAAAAATATAAATTGGCCAAGAAGTGTGAGCATTAGTGCAAGAAAGGCAAACGCTATTTGTTTACTTTCCTAATGAAATTCTAAAGTTGTGCCTTTTGTTCTTTCAGCAGAAGACACTAGAGAATTTCAGGCACATAATATTGATTTCTTCACCCCAGGTATTTCTTTATCATCCTATATCTGCACTAAATTCAATTTTTTGAAATTCTTGCAAATGTTATACAAAAAACTATGTAATTGTAGAGTAATGATACAACAAAACAGAAAATGTGAAGAAGGTACTTTATCCAACCAAATATGCTTAGGTAATTATATTTCTCTCAGGACGGTTATGTGCCATATCATTCTGCCAGAATTGAATTATGCCGAGCTGCTTCGTTGGATTATTCAAGAAAGGGCAGAATATTCCTGGAGATGTTGAATAATTGCTTGGATCAGATACGGGCTCCGACCTCCCAGCCACGGGTGTTCATGCGCTGTGATGTCAACTTTGATACCTCTAACCACGGGAGAAACTTTAACTCTTTCATTGGGCGAACTGCTCACATTGAGTTCCTAGAGTCTGATATTTTTGCAAGGTTCATAATGTGGTCTTTCCAGGAACTATTTCGTTGACAGGCAGGGGACACACTGAACCATTATCTCTGCTCTCCCAGCTTTACCTAGCCTGTCTTGTATATAAGCATTAGTTGTGGTTGGGGTTTAGGTTTCAGCCTAGTTGACTGAGGGATTTCATGAGAACTAGTGATGTAATTTTTTTCTTGGGGACAGATTCCTGTTAACTTTGTATACGAATAGATATATTGTTATTGTTTTGGAATTGGAATTGCAATACAATATTACTTAAAAAAAAAAATACCAATATACACTTCGGGATTTGTCAGAAATCTAATTCCCTGAGGAAGGTATATTGGATTAAGAGTCCGTTAGATTTTAAAAGATTTTTATTCAATCTAGACTTTTAGAGTGCATTAAAATTTTGTGATATTCAATTCAGATTCTTATAAAATTCATAAATAAAAGTCTGTACAAATTTGATGATATTTAAAAAATTGCTGATATGGAATGATTTTATAAAATTATTAATTTCATTGGATTTTAGATTATTATGTATGAATAAAGAGTCATTCACAAATCCATCCTCCAACTCCAAGATTTCAAAATTTTTTTAAAATTTAGCAGAGTCTTAATTCAATATATCCTTTAATAGAACGAAAACGGAGCGAGTACCTGCGAATTTTAAACTATCTGTATAGTTATCCGTTTAAAATTTTACTATCTGTGTCTATTCTAAACTCATTTAAATACCTATCTAAGTACCCATATTCAAAGCCGTTTAAATATTTACTACCTGTATTCGTACAAAAACCCTTTGAAAGTACCTCTTAAATGGTAAGGTCCTGTGAATTTTTAACTATTTAAATTTCAAACTCATTTAAAATAATAATAGATAGAGTATCCATTACCGAACCTGTTTAATACAGCAGTTAACGAGAGCAGGATGACTACTGCCGATGCTAGAAAAAAATAAACTTAATGTGGGATAAGTTTTTAACGAAGAAAAAAATAATTTTAGAGAAGATGACGCATTTTGCTTTTTAGTCCCTCATTGTTTTTTAGTTTTCATTTGGCTCTAAAATCTTTTATTTTGTTCAATTAGGTCTTGAAATTAATTTTGATCGAATATGTTAAAATCATTATAATTCTATCAAAGTCAATCAAAATCTCTAAAAGAAGTCTCATCAATTTCATAAAACTCTACGTAAAATTCTAATGAAATCTTAGAAATCTTAGAAAATCATTCAATTCCGTTAAATTCAATAATTCTTTTAAAATCTAACACAATTCTAATCCAATACGCTCCCTAAAATTATGAATGAATTGAATTTAAAAGAGTCACATTTTTTTTATTCATGAAATAAAATCTTATTTAGGTAACATAATAATTAAAAGCACAATAAAAAGTAAAAAATAAATACATAATCACTATTATGATAGTTTTGACATAATTCAATTACACTAAAAAGAATTAAAGAATATATCAAGCTAATTAAAAGAGGATTTTTTTAAAAAAATATTATTACCGTCTTATTCTTTTTTTTTTTCAATAAATTATCAAAAATACTTTCATTAGAAAAATCATGTTTTAATTAATTTAGTTTCCAGTTGGTTCGCACAAACGATGCAAGTCTTTTCCTGATCTCCATAATCACGATGATATCGGTCGTTCCGCAGTAGGAGATTACTTGAATGTTGACCAGACCACGGACAAGATATTACCATATCCAATTTGTTAAAGTTGAAAGCGCGGAGAAAATGGATGATTCAGCCTTACCCATTTATCCCATCCAGCAAAATCTCCTGTTGTTATCCATAATTTAACACTAAACCCGTTTTTTTCACTTACCTACTAATACTATATTAATCAAACCACTCTCGTCTTTCAGCCTCTGCTTCTGCAGGTTCTCTCTGTTTTTAATTATCGAAATAATTTAATTCTTCTGAGAATTGGTGTTTTTATCAATGGAGAATTCATCTCTTCCTCATGACTCCCTGTTTCTCGGATTCGATAGCTCTACCCAGTAAGTCTACACTTGTATACTTTCCCTTTGGTTCATTTCTAGCTTGTGCAGAAAACCAAAGCAACCCAGATAGCTGGATCGAGTTCTGATTCATATTTGGTTAATGGGTTCTTATCTTTTTCACTAGGATTCTGATCTTTAATGTGATTGGACTTAAAACTATTATGATCCCTCAGTTAGTTTAGCAATGATTATAATTTTGTTTTTGCGCTCTGTGCTATTTTATTGTTTGGTGCGAATTACATATAAAAGTCTGAATTTTTTGTGAAACTTTTGATTGTTTCAAGGTCCTTGAAGGCAACTGTTCTGGATTCCAATCTCAATATTGTCAAATCAGAGCTAGTTCATTTTGACACCGACCTACCCCATTATAAGACCAAAGATGGAGTCTATAGAGACCCCTCTGATAATGGCAAAATTGTTTCACCCACATTGATGTGGGTAGAAGCTCTTGATCTCATTCTTCAAAGGCTCCAGAACTCTGGTTTTGATTTTGGGAAAATTGCTGCACTTTCTGGTAGTGGACAGCAACATGGTAGTGTTTATTGGAAGAAAGGCAGTTCTGCAATATTATCTTCATTAGACTCCAGTAAGGCATTGGTGGATCAATTAGGCAATGCCTTTTCCATCAAGGAGTCTCCAATATGGATGGATAGCAGCACTACCACACAATGTAGAGAGATAGAAAAAGCTGTTGGTGGAGCCTTGGAGCTCTCAAAACTAACAGGTTCACGCGGATATGAAAGATTCACAGGACCACAGATTAGGAAGATATTTCAGACACAGCCAGAAACTTATAATGATACTGAGAGGATTTCCCTTGTTAGCTCATTCATGGCTTCTCTTTTAATTGGAGCATATGCTTGTATTGATCACACCGATGGTGCTGGGATGAATTTGATGGATATTAAACAGAAAGTCTGGTCTGAAATAGCTTTAGAGGTTTGTCCCCTGTATGTTTGGGTCTATGCTTTATGGTTAACAAATTAACCTTTGTATATTAAGTTGTTGTGGTTTATGATTTTTGAATTTTAATGTCAATTGTAGGCCACGGCACCTGGTTTGAAGGAAAAAGTTGGAGAATTAGCCCCTGCCTATGATGTTGCTGGACATATTGCTCCTTATTTTGTTGAGAGGTAGTAGCATACTTGTGATATTTTATCTTTCTGCATTTTATTTCCTGCAAACTGTAAATAATCTGATAATGTGCAAAAGATAGCAAAATCAAGGAACAATATATTAATAAAGGAAAAAGGGTTAGCATGCCAATGCATTTGACCTTGGAGAAAATATCTGTATCTAAGTGATTTTAGTCGCTCCATTACCATGCTTGGACATGTTCCCAAACCTTGTTTATTCTTACAACTGTCTATACAAGTTTGTAAAGTAATATTTGATTTATTCCATATACACTTGTGATTAGAAGTATATAGTATATGTGAATGTTTTTGCTGTTTTATGTACAAACGGATTCTTGGATGATAAGGTCATGGATATTTCTTTAACTAGTTGATAAAATATTGGGCTGTGAGCTAAGAAAATTCACTTCTCCCTCTGCCATATGCTTAGGATGTCAAGTTAGGTGAATTTAGTTGAGTGTCTTCAAAACTTCTTCTATGGATATGCAGGTACAAATTTAATAAGAACTGTGTGGTTGTTCAGTGGTCTGGAGATAACCCCAACAGTTTAGCCGGTCAGTGCTTTTACCCTTTTTTTTTTTTTTGTAAAAATTATCCATTTCTGTTTTAAATCATTGCTCATTTTCTTAACCAAAACCAAAATGAAACTGCAGGTTTAACTCTTAGTATCCCAGGGGATCTGGCAATCAGCCTTGGCACCAGTGACACTGTAAGTTGTAATATGAAAACACAGCTCCTTACATTTTCATAACATGGCTCATTTCATGAGCCTAATTTAGCTTGTGTTCTGGTCTTATCTCAGCTGGGCATCACTTTTTTTTTTTTCAGTCTTTGTTATAATAGTCATTTGGGTTAAAGAGTTAGAGCCTTAAAGTCTCAGTGAGGGTTATTGCTTTGTCTATGATAGGCATGTATCCAACTTTTCTGGTTGCTTTGTCTATGATTTTTGCACCATAGCTACAAAGATGAATGCCTAATCATTCATGATGTTTGAAATTGCAAAATCTTGGTTTTTTAAGCATCTGCGCGAAGCTCCTGCCTGCTGTTGCTTTGCTAATTGGTTGTAAGAGCAGTGTTTTGAATTGTTCACATTTGATCCACCACTGATAAATCCTTTTAGGGGATTTGTGCTGTTTGTGCTGTTTAGCAAAATCTTGATGATTTTTCCATGTTTGCTAAGGGTTGGTCCTACTATTAGATTCTCGCACACTTGTTTGATTGGTGACCTTCTCATACTTGTCATATAGGTATTCGGAATTGCTACTGATCCTCAACCCAGATTAGAGGGGCATGTTCTGCCTAATCCTGTGGATACGGAAGGTTACATGGTAATGTTAGTTTACAAGAATGGATCTTTAACTCGTGAAGGTACTACTCTTATTTCTATGCATTCTTGCAATCCCATTTTTAGTTTCTCAATCTGACAACAATCATGAACTAGATGTTCGTAACTGCTATGCTGAGAAATCTTGGGAGGTGTTCAACAAGTTTCTGGAACAAACACCCCCTCTTAATGGTTTGTGGTTCATACCTAAGTGTTTGCTTTTTCTTGATATGATTTATTTTTGCTCTATCTTCTAATTCTAGTCTCTGCAACAGACGGAAAGCTTGGCTTCTATTACAAGGACCACGAAATTCTTCCTCCACTACCAGGTCCTGTCTTTCACTTCTTCTCCTATCATATCCGATGGTGTCTTTCTTTATGATGTGTGTTTGGTTCAGGCCTCTGCATTTCATTGACTTTCCAAATTTTAACTTCTTTCTGCACGCTTTCCTGTGACAATTTCTTAACTGGACATACACATTTAGCTGTGGACAACCATAATCTGTCATAAAGTTTATATACAGCCTGAGAACTCTTAGGATAAAAAGAAACTGCTTTTCACACCTTACATTGGTTTTTAAGTTGTCAAAGTAATCCATCATAATCATTTGTTGTCTGTATGTCCTACACCTTCCCTGTTTTTTCCTTCCTTCTTTTCTTTTTTTTTTTTTTTTTTTTTTTTTTTTTTTTTTTTTTTTTCTTTTTTTTTTTTTTTTTTTTTTTTTTTTTTTTTTTTTTTTGTATGTTTTGATTTTCTAAAGCATGCTCTAACAAATATTTATATTTAAACCAGTTTGGCTTCCATCGCTATATACTCCAAAATTTCATGGTGAGAGTCTGGAGGGAGTGAATGAACAGGAAGTGCAGAATTTGATCTGCTTCTGAAGGTTGGTACGTTTTAAGGGCGTGCCCTACGTGTTACCTGATGATTTTTTATTTTTTTTTTTTTTTTTTTTTTTTTTTTTTTTTTTTTTTGTATGTTGATTTTCTAAACATGCCTCTAACAAATATTTATATAACCAGTTGGCTTCCATCGCTATATACTCCAAAATTTCATGGGTGAGAGTCTGGAGGGAGTGAATGAACAGGAAGTGCAGGAATTTGATCCTGCTTCTGAGGTTGGTACCTTTTAGGGCGTGCCTACGTGTACCTGATGACTTTTTTAAAAAAGAAAAATTATTTTGCAGGTCCGAGCATTGATTGAGGGCCAGTTCCTGTCAATGCGAGCTCATGCAGAAAGATTTGGCATGCCTATCCCTCCGAAACGAATTATAGCTACTGGCGGAGCATCAGCAAATCAAAGCATTTTGAACTCAATAGCGTCAATATTTGGGTGTGATGTCCACACTGTTGAAAGACCTGGTATGCAGTTTTGTTTTGTTAGAAGTAATTTCACAATATATAAAATGTATGTTTTGAAACCCTTTTACTACTTGCTCAACAGATTCAGCCTCCCTGGGAGCTGCATTGAGGGCTGCTCATGGTTGGCTTTGCAATAAAAAAGGAAGTTTTGTACCAATTGCATGCTTGTACAAGTACAAGTTGGAGAAGTCAGCTCTCAGCTGCAAACTTTCAGTTAGTGCTGGAAATCAAGAATTGGTTTCCAAATATGCATTGTTGATGAAGAAAAGAATGGAAATAGAAAATCGCCTTGTCGAAAAGTTGGGACGGTGCTGAAGTATTTGACTACTAACAAAAAGTAACATATTTCCTTTGCATTCAAAGAAATGCTTCCTTGTGATTATCCTTTGCACATAGTAATAAAAAGTATTGGCTTTTAGAACTTTTTTTGCAATTTTCTAGTGACTGTTTGGCTTTAGAACTCATTCGAACAAGGGAGTATAATTTTTCCTGTTGGGCAAAAATATTTTTTCCTCGAAGATACCCAATTTGTCATATGTTTAAACTATTGCAGAGCAATCGTGCAGCTTATAGTTGATTTGTACTCAACTGAGATTTTAATCTGCAGCTTAAAAGAAGTCTCAATTGGATGGATGGCTTTTGTAGTTCTTTTGATCTTATAAAAATAATGACAGCTAAGATTGAAGAGATTATTAGAAAACTTCTCCAGATGTCATCTACAAAAATGAAAATAGAAAAACGGCCAGTAGAACTGTATAGAACTTGATGATTAATTCAATTCTAGTTTTGCAACAATTAAAAAAAATAGAAATGCCCTCGAACGCAGAATATGTGGTTTATCGAAGAAACATGAACTCAGATTCCGTTGCAAGGGAGGATTTGAATGTTTCTAATAATTCCCTTGGCATTAACTGTTCTGATTCAAAATTCTTTTGACAAAATCAATAGCTAACAAAAGGGTTCTCATTTTTTATTTGAGCCCAGTAGTCGCTCGCTATCTGAAATCATAGTCTGGTAACTCCCCTTACACTACTGCAGTTTGTCGATCTCTGCATCTGTTAATTCACCGATACCTAGCATTAAAAGAGGAACATCCCAAGGCTGGAGGACCAGAGACTTCTCCGAAGTACTAGACACATCAGACTCATCGTTAATGGTCCTCTTGATCTTCTTCCCATACGCGATTATTGTCTTCCCCTGTTCAAACGATGAGACGCGGCACATACCATTATCTTCATGGTTATGGCTGAAGGGAGGAAAAAGAATAATAAGCTTTTATATCGGACGGCTAACCGTGATTCTGTTCGGTTTGTCAGTTATAAAGTACATATTAGTGTTAAATCTGTAATTATTAAAAAATGTTAGGTTTTAATTGAGGGTCCATTTTTCAAATTAAGGAATAAGGTAACACTACCATTAATTTCATATTAGGATGAAAATATACAATACTATACGATAAGTTTAAGATGAAAAATTGACGAGGAAGAATGAATTGGGGTTGAAGTATTCTTGGAAATGCTTCCTTGTGATGGTTTGTTTCGTTGGTTGTGTAATCAATTTGTGAAATTTAATATGTTGCAGTGTTTAGTGGATCCCACCATATCCAATACAATTTGCAAGTTATTTATATATAACAAAGAACTGGATAACATAAAATTTTATATCACTGCTGTAATCCTCCAAGTTATTTATTGGAGTATTTTGCAGAATGCTTGATAAAAATCTCACTCTTTGTTCCAAATGCAAGTAAATAAGAAAACGACAACAATTCTAAACCTCATTTAAACCTTATTTTATTTTTAAGATTTTCAAATCGCAAATCACAATGTAGGAAACTTACAAAATAAGGTACAAGGCAAACAAATTGCTCACTAAACGGCAGAGTCATATCAAACACAAAATAAGTGCTTCCATTAGTACTCATCTCCTTCATCACCATCCTCTCCTTCGGCAGATTCAGCACCAACCTCCTCATAATCCTTCTCCAGAGCAGCAAGATCCTCACGGGCCTCTGAGAACTCTCCTTCTTCCATGCCCTCACCAACATACCAATGGACAAAGGCACGCTTAGCATACATGAGATCGAACTTGTGGTCAATACGGGAGAAGACTTCTGCAACGCTTGTAGAATTGGAGATCATACATACAGCCCTCTGCACCTTGGCAAGGTCACCTCCTGGAACAACAGTTGGTGGCTGGTAGTTGATGCCACACTTGAATCCAGTAGGGCACCAATCAACAAACTGGATAGTCCGCTTAGTCTTGATGGTGGCCACAGCTGCATTCACATCCTTGGGCACAACATCACCACGGTACATCAGGCAGCAAGCCATGTACTTGCCATGGCGTGGGTCACACTTGGCCATCATGGATGAAGGCTCAAAGGCACTATTTGTAATCTCAGCAACAGATAGTTGCTCGTGATATGCCTTCTCAGCTGATATCACGGGGGCATAAGAGGAAAGCATGAAATGGATCCTGGGATAGGGAACCAAGTTGGTCTGGAACTCAGTGACATCCACATTAAGAGCACCATCAAACCTCAAAGAGGCAGTGAGGGATGAGATGACCTGAAGCATTCAATAAAGATTCAACATCAATATCAACCACTTGATATAGCCTTAAATTAAATAATTGATGGACATGGAAGATGCATTTTACCTGAGATACAAGGCGGTTAAGATTGGTGTAAGTTGGACGCTCAATGTCTAGAGAACGCCGGCAAATGTCATAGATGGCCTCATTGTCAAGGAGCACAGCCACATCTGTGTGCTCAAGGAGAGAGTGAGTTGAAAGGACACTGTTATATGGCTCTACAACAGATGTGGAAACCTGAGGCGAAGGATAAACTGTGAAACCGAGTTTTGACTTTTTGCCATAGTCAACAGAAAGACGCTCCAAGAGGAGTGAACCGAGACCAGAACCAGTTCCACCTCCAACAGCATTGAACACCAAGAACCCTTGGAGACCAGTGCAATTGTCAGCAAGCTTTCTGATGCGGTCCAAGCAGAGATCAACAATCTCTTTCCCAACTGATACAGCACAAAAGCAACCATAAACGAATGACTAAACATTGAAGCGATACAAGCATAAAGAAAAACTGTTGATAATTACTGGTATAATGGCCACGGGCAAAGTTGTTGGCGGCATCTTCTTTGCCACTGATGAGTTGCTCAGGATGGAAGAGCTGGCGATAAGGTCCAGTCCTTACTTCATCAATAACAGTTGGCTCCAGGTCAACAAACACAGCACGAGGGACATGCTTCCCTGCACCAGTTTCACTGAAAAAGGTGTTGAAAGCATCGTCTCCTCCACCAATAGTCTTGTCACTTGGCATCTGGCCATCAGGCTAAGAGAAAGGAGAATTTCAGCCATTTAACATTACATATATTTCAAAAAGAAAACAAAAATGTCATAAAAACAGCTGAGAAAGAAAATCAAATTCAGTTTAAGAAAAAAAAAAAAAGAAACAATCTAGAGAATCAACATTTCACCAACAAACAATAATGCACTAGAAGATAAACAGTAAACAGAAATGATTCAAAAGAATGAGGCCCTTCAAGCAGTGGATCTATCGAAGTGATTTGTAACTAGAAATCCAGGACTATAACAGACACAAATTTCCCAAATAAGTGCTTAAACTTTCACATTAAAATAAAACAAATAAGCATACAAGAGGTCAACTAATTATCCTTCGATATTTCCTATGATCCAGAAAATGACGATAGATATTACAAATCGTGGAAATATCCGAACAAAAAAGTGGATCCACATAGAATTAATGCTACAAAGGCAAACATTCAATCTGATCGTCATATATCATATCAAATGCGCAATTAAACTCCACAATCATAGATGAAGTAAAATCTAGACCAAAATTTTCAAAAAATTATCAATGAATAGTACTAGATCCAGACCTAAGGAGAAAAAAAAAGAACAAAATGGAGATGGAAGTTACCTGAATCCCATGCTCGAGGCAGTAAAGTTCCCAGCAAGCATTTCCGACCTGAATACCGGCCTGACCAATGTGAATCGAAATGCACTCTCTCATTTTTTTCTCTGATTCAAAAAAAATTGCACAGAGAATTGAACGTCAAAAGCTAAGTACAAAGATTTGGAGATGGAGAATTCAAAAGCTCAGCTGGTAAGAACGGCGTTTATCAAGACGCCTTCTAGTGACTAGTGGTGAGATATCTTAGCATTCGGTTTCGGGTTTTATGTAGGATGACGAAGGGTGAATGGTTTCTGAACCACGGGTTAGTTAGTTAACCGTGGTTAAAAAAGCGTCAGCGAAATTATTGGCTAATTAATCCAGGCTGGCCGAACTAACCGTTGAAAATGGGTAATTGCCCGCTCAATTTTGATTTTTGATTTCATAACAGAAATAGGCTTGAGGTTCGAAGAAATTGCAGTAATGCCATACCAGATTTATAACTGTGAAAAGGATAATAATGTCATTTGAGAGAGGCATAATAGGAAGGAGAAAGGGGCAAAACAAGCTGTTTAGTACTGTGTCGGCAGTTGGTATGCCAGCTGGGCTATCAATGGAGAGTAGATCCTACGTTTCAATCAATGGGCCCATTTTGCGGTATGACATTGTGCCCAAGAATGAGCAGCACAACCACTTTGCTGATACAGAAATGGTTATCCCCAGTTGGGCGACTTCTCACACGACAAAAGATTGTATTTTAGTTCCAATTGGTATTTGAACAACAAATCTCACAGGTTTAATTTGAGAACAATTATAGTAGGGTAGGGCTGAGCTAATAATAATGCTCATCAGTAGCAACAAGTTGCTGTTTCACAAACTGGTGCGCATCAAATAAATTGAGACTTGAGAAGCTAAAATCTCTTTAGAGGATCAACAGATTTACGCGCTGAAAATGTCAATAAATGATGAAAAAAAACAAATCATAGCAAGAGAAGCCAAGCAAAGAAGTAAAATGAACTTGATTTTATTTGGCAGAGCATTAAATAATGGACCTAACACTCAAGTTTCCAACTGCAAAGTCTAGCCCATATATCCAAGAAGCAAGCTGGTCATGGTGCCAGTACAAAAGAGACAGCCACTTGAAATAAAGAACACGTACAGGCAGTCCACATCTTGTTGTGTTTCTGCCGCCTTCTCTGGAGGACACGCATGTCCTACAGAAAGGGCTAGTTATCTAACCGTGCAACAATCAGAAAAAAAAAAAAATATATGCTAGTGTATCTACCGATGCGAACATCTCAGAAAAAAAATAATAAGTACTATATTATACTATATTAGTGATTATATGTATATATCTTATATTATTATAATATATAGTTATTATAAATATAATAGATATATATAATTATATATATTATATATGAATAGGTATATTATATATTATCCTTTATTTAGTAGAACGCTTATGGACGCATATCGATATATAGCTTTTTGTATAATAATCTGATAATATTAATATAGTACTTTCAAACTCCAAATTATATATTATCCTATTTAGAGAACGCTATGACCATATCAATATAGGTTTTTGTATAATATCTGATAAAATTATATAGTACTTTCAAACTCAAATTTTAACTAAGAACAACACCATCCTGATATCATGACCTTTATAAGATAATAAACAGAAGTATGAAAATTATAAAATGTCATCTGACATAAATAAAAACATGTTTCTGAAACCATGTCAGACCAAATCAGCAGGTGCAAGATCCATCATCTGTGGAACAAAGAGCTCTATCAATGATTCCAAGCAAAAGTATGCAAATATTAAACAAATGTTTTTAAGGGCAAATATTCATAGTGGAGCCTACATGTCATAGCAAAATGAAAGCATTGAAAGTTATATGAGCAGATTCCGGACGATAAAACAGAATCATAATCTGACCTGCAAAAGTACAATTACAACTTAAACTGAAAGATCAAACTAGAAATGCCAAAGCATTATAGAGGTTTGGAAATGAAATGCAATTGGAAATAGATATCTCCCATTTCAAATTCACTTTCAGATATTAAATATAATTTAAAGGTAATATCAAGAAAGTACAAATTCGATTTAACTTAAAAATAAAACTATAAAAAATTTAAATCCCTTGTCTACCAAATAAGAAAATATAATTGTGTTCTAGAAATTGCATTCGGTTTTCATTTTCTCGACAAACCAAAATGTAGCCTTTGTGTGGTCTAAATCCCCTGTAGATGTAATGTAATTGAGTAAGAAACTTTATTCAGTATAATCAACTAATGATACTAATTTGACAAAAGTCAACAAGACTAAAGAAAGAGCAAATTGAGAACGACAAAATAAACTTATTTACATAGCCATGGACAAAGCACAGTGCACACCAAGCAAGGAAACAGGAAAAAGTTGCAAACAGGAAATGACTTGTTACATAACTTCTATGGAAAGTCTAAACCTTAAACCTTCGAGTAGAGGCACAACAATATAATGAATGCCCATGCATATGAATTAATAGTTTAGAAAATGTATGTGCATGGTTTTAAGGATCCTGCTATGAAACCCAATGAACATTCATTTCAAAGGCTTAAGCTATCAAAGAAAAGCATGTATCTGTTTCTGACACTTTAAAAATTCAGCAAGTTACTGTTCAGCAACCATAAATTGCTAATGAAAGAAAAAGATGGAAAATTATCAACAAAGTTTAGATCAATAAAAACTCAAACTCGTAAAAAAAATTTTAATAAAACAATAATTTGGTACATTTAATAGTTGGAATGTAACAGGAGCATATCTAGAGGACATGGAGTAAATGGGAAGCAATCACTTGCCAACAGAAGAATAATATCAATGTATCTGCACCTTAGTAACTAGGAAGAGATGGAATCAGTTGTGTATGGTTGCTTGACAGACAACTTGACATGTAAAAACTCAAAGTTAATGACCGTAGAACAAACAGAACCAACATAAGGACCCCCAACTAAATACTTATGAAGTTGTCATAACAAATAATAAAACCACTGTGAAGCATTAACCCCAGCACCACACCCCCAAAAAAAGCCAAAAGAAATGGCAGCAGCAAGCCTTCTCTCCACAGTAACCATTCATAACAGTCAGTAGAGATAGACAACAAGGAAAGCTGAAGCACAAAGTGGAAATATAGCTATCTATATTGGGTTCTATTTCACCTTGCAACAAGGAAAACAAATTATGTGAAAATTAAAACAACTGTAATACAAAAGAATATGGGTTTTTCTAGCCAAATGCATAAGAGACGATAAAAATGGCATACCAGGTCATCATTACTCAAATATAGAAATGGCCTTTACACACATGTGCTACAAGCAAAACTTTTCTCAGCCTTTTCATCCATGTGAAGGAAAGTGAGGAATAAAGTCCAGTCTTAAGGCATCCTTATTTCGCGCATATAATTGCTTAGGATAAGAGTTTGTAGGACTTTCAACAAAATGCAGTTCAACTAACACAAGCTTCTAACCATGACTGGGTTAAAGTACTTCCAATATTCCAACTGAAACTGGTTATTGACTTATATAAGAATATATAGTCCAGTAACTACTCTGCGACAAGTATAAAAAACAAAACTGAAGATTGAATTGTATCCAATGATACATAAACTGCGGTATCATCATTAATTGATCCTTGATCAGCTATGAGTTTTCGTTGATCAACTATGTCGGGGTTTTTCCTTATCACAAGTTCGTATCATGCTAGATCCTCCTCTATAGAGACTTTCATTAGTTTAAAACTAAAACCAAACAAAAGAAACTGTGCTAGTCTAATACAACATGGAGAAGCTGATCACTATAGTCGCAGTTGTAAAAGTTTTCAATCTGATTCCTTAAGATCAAATGTTATCAAACTTATAGACAAAATATGAGACTAAGAAGAAGATACTCAAATTAAAAATTTCACAGAATGCATTAAGAAAAATCACTTATTTAAATTGACAAACAGAAATACCATGTCATGCAAGAAACGGTCTACCAAATTATGACCTCTAAAACTAATAATGTAAGCCATAAGAAACATGCATTGCTGGAAAACATATAAAACAATGACTAAGGATAAAACAAAGTCGAAAATGATCAAAATTTAAAAAATTTAAAGGAAGAAAAAGGGACCGCACAAAACGAAATGGTTCCTCCTTCTGAATTCTGATCACGTATACCATAATCACCGGTGCAATCAACTCAACACTCGAGAACCCAGATACGCAAGTTTCAAATGCCATAAAAAGGCAAATGTAAATAGTTCTACTCTCGGTTCGCTCCAATTTCTTAAAACCCCAAAATAGTTACTTTCTTCAATTGGAAAGGACAGAGAATAAATGAAAATCAGCTACACATTAATGATTTTCCATCGAGCAACTAAGATATTCAAAGTCATATCGCACGAACCAGGAGGGAATAAAAGAAGGAATTATTAAAAGGAAAAGAAAAGGTAAAGTCAAGTGTAAAATTATATGATTATATTTGTAGAAGAAATGGAATGTATGGAAAATTGGGGAAACGCATACATCATCACCAATAATGGCCATTTAAGTATAATACTGAAAATGGGTACAAACATTTTGGCATACATACATGTCAAAAACCCATCATTGAAATGCTTCATAAACAGCCTCTCACCGTTTCAATGTGGAATAAAAATACCCATTATGGATGACGAATCAAATGCTCTGCTCCTCCTCATCCTCTTCCTCCTCCTTTAAAATATAAAAGAAAAAGATAGGCAAAAATAAAATAAAACAACAACAACTAGAACAGTAAAAAGAGGAATGTGAGACTTTCTTCTTCTTCTTCTCCTTTTTTTTTTTTTTTTTTTTTTTTTCTTAGTCATACACTTATTACATTCATCTTTCCTAGGTCTGACGCAAACTAATACATATTTCAATTCATATCTGCATCGAACCCAGAGAATAAAAGAGAGATTATTAACAATAAAAGAAAAAAAGGTAAATTCAAGGGTGTATATAAACATTTTGATCTATATAGCTAGAATGATAAAGCTGGCGCAATCTATGGAAATTGGGTGGATAAATCGCTTCAATTACTTCATCTTCTACCAATTCAATTGCCAATTTTAAGCGTATGCTGAATACTGTAAGAAATGGTACAAACATTTTGGCTGACATAAACATGTCGAAAAACCCATCATTGATTAATGCTTTTTCATAACAGCCTCCTCACCTTTTCAATGCGAATAAAAATATTATCCTATTATGGATGACGATATCAAAATTGCTCGTTCCTCCTATTGCCTCTTTTCCTCCTCCTTTATAAGATTATAAAGAAAAAAATTAGGGGAAAGAATAAATAACACACACGATGTAGAACATTAAGAGAGAAGTGAGACTTCTTCTTCTTTCTTCTTGCCTTTTTTTTTTTTCTTTTTCTTTTCTTGGAGCTGAAACTATGTTATATATATGCCTTGGCTCACAGTCCTTGTCGTTACCTTTTTAAGCAACCATACAGTGGGTATGGGCTTGGTATGATACACTGTCTGTACTGAGGATGCGCCTTCCCTCTATATCTCTGATCAATACACCAAAGATAACCTTCCGAGTTACAAAGCTCGCGACGATGGATGTGCCTCATCGGTCACCCAGTCCGCACTTCCCGTTTCAATTCCACTCCAAAACGGAAGAGATAACATAACTTAAGATTGACAGATCAAGTCAAAAAACACGCCATGTCATAGTACCGTTTAGCCCATCTTAAGCCCACAAGCAAACACTCACCGTCTCTCCTTTCTCTCGAGTTCACCCACCACTTGTACGTTAATTATTTCTAGTTCAATCGGGTTTAGAACAGAGACGGAGAAGCAATAACATCCTCAGCAAATACACAGACAGCGACAGCTACATCAACATGCGAGAGTCATTCGTGCGCAATGGTGATTTGCTTTTCTGTATCTAAAAATAGAATTCTTGGATTGTAAAAGAGATGGCAGTCTGATCAGAATAACAGAAGCATTGTGTTTTTCGGCATACGGCATCTTAGGCATGAGGCTCGGTTCGAGAACATAATTGCCATTGTTAACTTTCTTTTTTTTCTTCTCCTGCTAATTATAACACACCGTTTTGTGTTCCGCCATCTCTCTGCATCACTATGTTATCTTATCTCTCGACACACTATCTCGATATTTATGATACAAACCCAATATTAATAATTTTAGTAATCTTATATAATATTCGTAATGTGTATTCATAAAATGAGAAAAATATGGTAAATTGCTGCTATTTTTACTTGCCACTAATAGATCTCCTCAATCCTAGTCACCAGCTGTGTTGTTTTGGACTTCTTCAATGAATGACGTCCTAAGGATCCTGACTCATGACGTACGCTTCTGCCCACCAATACGCTTCTAATGACCTGAAGCTGAGCATGAGGACTGAAATGTACTATCCTTCCTGCATTTTCCCCTGCTGTTTTACTATTTGTTTATATTTATTTTATGTCCTCTAGTCCTTAATTATTTTTTCTTTACTCAAATTTTTTCCATTGTCATTGCCTTTTTAATTTCTAAAACTTGATTGTTCGTGATTGCTCTTCTGCCTCAGGATGCTAGGCGCTTCATCACTAGGAATATTATTTAACGCCAATTATATCTTCATCTACAATTTAATTTAGTAACATGAAAACAAATTAATAACTGTAATTAGGACTAATTATCCATCCTCCATTTCGTGTAATTCTTATAGATGTAAACAATTCACATCGTACTTAATCAACATCTTCACATATACATTACCCTTTATTATTATACTTACATTGCTTCCAAATGGGCCTTTTGACATTTCATTTCAACTCATTCTCTCCTCGCTTCCCATACCCCAAATACCTATACTCCATCCGATTGTGATCATCATAATGATAATTACCCCTTGCATCTCTCTACTTAGCGGTCTATCTAACATCCTACTACCAATAATTTTTTAAACTATATCACACATCTTCTTTGTCCTCCCTCCATCTCTAATTAACAAGGCCTTAACCTAATCCAAAAGTGCTTCTCATTTCCTAATAGCAATAATCATGCCTGCTCCCTCGCAACATATGTCACCTGGCCTCTCCTACCATCCTCTTGCTTGTTGATCTCGAGCTTTCCACACCTTACTCTCCACGCGATTTATCTTCCCCTCCTCCAACTGCATCATTCTATACACACTATTAATATATAAATTCACATCCCGCGATCCTTCGTTTCTTTTTCTCCGTTTCCTTTACTCATCGATCTATCTTTTCTCATACTTCTTAAACTGGGTATGAATTTTTTTTTTTTTTTGTCATTTGCTTTTATAATTTCTAAACTATAATTTGGGTGATGCTATTTTGCGGCTTGAGCAGGCTCAAACAGGGTTAAAATAGTAGTTTCAATTTTTTAATATTTTAACAAAACAATTTAATTAATTAATTAGACAATTTCATCCTCCATTAATTTAATCTTAATAGATGAAAGAATTAATGGTATTAAAAAATTCAATATATTATTAATGTCCAATGCATTTTAATTTATTTCACTCATTCTCTCTCTTCTACAACCATCCCTCCATTGTGATCTATAAATAATTTATTGCATCTCTAAATTAGGTCTCTAATCTATACCTAATTTTTTTAAAAAAAACACCTTTTTTTTCTATCATCTTAGTTAACAAGTCCCTTAACTATTCAAAGTGGCTGTCATGAAGAAGAGGTGACTCGAATTGGTCACTGCTCCTCGTCCCTTTTATTTTGTTTTTCCACTACTGCCAGATTGATTTCATTGATTAAAATAAAAAAATAAGTTTTCTTTTTTTTTTTTAAGATTATTTTATTTAACTGAGGTTATTAAAATACAGCTACAAAATAAATTACAAATGAGTTTTGATTGATCACAAGATGGATGGTCATAAGTTCCATTATCTGTGCCTATATAATTTGTTATTTTAAAAGACTTATAATTAATCATTAAAATAGAAATCTCAAATTATAAGAAAATCGAAGTCAAGCTAGAAACCTCTCCTACAGCCCATGGGGATGGGGCAAGATTATAGTATAGGCTACTACTAATACTGGTTTAGTTGAGTGAAACGACTGCTTGGTCGGGCCCTCCTCTCACTTTCGATCGAGCTACTCTTTACCCCTCCCTTCTGTCTTAGTCGATTCCCTCCTCATCAAAAACTTTCTTGCAAAATTTACTCTTAATTCATAGAAATAATTTCTCCAAATTCTAGAAAATTTTTTTATAAAATTAATAAGATATGGTCGCTCTTTATAATTTGATTAATATTTTATATTCATGCATACTTTAATTTCACAAAATAAATTTATTGATTTACTACTTAAAACTTATACATAGCACTATAAAATATATGTGTATGTGATAATTATCCGTATGATTTAATTATAGATTAATATTATATAAAATGAAAATATAATTATTTAATTGTTAATATATATCTAACAAACTTTTTGGGATTTACTAATCCTTTTCGTTGAAATCTTAAAAAATTTGTATAAAACTCCCTTTCTTAGACAATCTGCCAACTATTCAATCAATTACTTCTTCGAAATGCTAGAAATCGAATGAATTCAGTCTTATACATACGCGAGGAAAGTAATCAAAAAAGAAAGAAGAACCATACGTATCACATACAAAATTATAAGATATGGTTATTTATAAAGTACTAAAAAGTACTAATTGAATCATAAGAAAAAAAAAATATATTTATATTTAATAATATAGTAAAATATCACATACTAGCTTTATGAAGTAAGGAATATCACATACTAGTTTTATAATATCACATAATATAGTATGACATTTTTCAATATTTTACATATTTCTCCTAGCCATATTACATAAAAATCTCTAGAGCATTACAAATAAATTACCAGTGAGTCGCCAATATAATAAGTAGTCTATCATACAGTTACCAAGAGTAATCATCTATATATTACCATAATATGTAATAATTCTACGAAGCAAAAAGTATATATGACATATATAATTATTAGATATAGTATAAAATATCGAAGTAGTAATCTCATAATGTGTAATTGAATTAAATTATTTTTTGTTATATTTAAAAATTAGATATATATCATAACATCATGAAATTTTAATTTTAGAAACATTTTGATTTAATTTGAATCAAATATAAAACGAGGTGTACATATAATTTTGATCACATAAACATAACACTCTAGTATTTTTATAATTAAAGTATCATTTTTAAATCATTTTATATGAATTGATTAAAATAATAAAATAATAAAATATTATTATTTTTACCGTTGTAATTTCTAAGTTATTTTAATCTTTATTGCAAAGAAGCAAAGGCCTAGTCAGTCTCAAAAAAATACAGCATGTACGTCATTGTCACTTATGGTTCTGTTAATGATGATGATACAGTCTGATTTTTAATGATTTGTACTATGTAAATGACCACATTGTCCAATTTCTTTTGCTCTAACTAACTTTTCAATATTTTTGAAATTTAATGAGGGAAGACATTCTTTACTCAGTGGTTGATACTATTTTTTCTAATTTAATTTTAGCATTGATAACTCAATTTCACTGCATAAAATTACTTTTATTAGATTTCAAGATAAATTATAATTTCCTCGCTGAGACTCTAACTATATAAAAGAGACAAACATTATAATTTCCTCGCTGAAAGGAAAAAAAGAAAATGCGTTTTCTAATTTTCCTTTGTGTCGGCAAGCTTTAGTCACATTTTACTAGTTTGTCACATTTTTAGGATTCTCAGCTTTTATGAATTTTGTAACATTTAAGCATGCAATTTGAAACTAAACAAAATGTTTATTATCAAAATGAAAAATAAATAAACAGAGGACGAAGAGTTATTGTTTGATAGTAAAAAATTGGAGAATGGGGTTTGGTTCGTTTGTTTCTGTCACAGCTCACAACCAATATGGATTGGCTGGATTGTCAGAAAAATTAATCACTCTTTATCACCAACTCTATGCCTGTAAACAACAGCAACACACATAGATAGCCATAGGTTGAAACTTGAAAGAAAGAAAGTAAGTAATACAATTACAGAGTACTTAAATAGGTAGATGAGCGTAATTAATTAGGTGTTAAATACCAGTAAATGTTTAGTCGTAAGAGCCGCCCCCTTTGGCCTCTGTTGCGTTGACAGAGAGACGGACAGAGAGTAAAGGGACAAGTGCCTAAAAGGAAAGGGGTCTGTTGTGCTTTAAACGTCACTGGTTGGTTACATTAAAAGAAGCCATATTCAGGGGGACTTTTTCCCTATCAACCAAAAAGGGAGGGACGGCCCTCTTTCTAGAAACTCCAGCGGTTAGGACTTACACAAATAGGGACATGTAACCCGACAAAAGGGTCTCTGCCACATACCCTTTATAATTATGTAATATTTCTAACATTTTTATTTTCCACTTGAAATAAAACAGAGAAATTAATTTAATTTTATAATTATGTTTGTTGACCGTTGAGAATAAGATTTGTGGACTCTGTCTGGAGTTTTGTCAATGCACATACATACTAATAATAAGCTTCTTGTTTTTATTTTGAATTTTTGTTCCTAATTGTTGATCCTATCGTGGAGTTTTTGCTACCTTATTTTGTTTTTTTTCTTTTTTTTTTGGTTTAATACATTAATACTTGGATTTTTTTTTTAATTTTTTTTAGCAATTATAGCTTTCATTCAAAAATTTTTAGAAGCTCATTGATGCGATCTTTAATGGTTCCACATATTGCCATCTCAATGCATAAACAAGTCAAATCGTGATTTAAAAAAAATTAATGATAAAAAGTTGAAACTTCAATATTTTTTTATTTTTAACTGATACTTTTAATTTTATTCATTAATTACACTTATTAAGAAAATAAGAGCCTGAATATAAAATGTATTTGTGTTTAATAAAATGAAATACAATTTACTTTTAAAATGATCCAAACTTTAAATTAAACTAGTTAAAATTTAATGAGAATATAAAATTTTATAATAAAAAAATACATATACACATTCATGAATTTTTAAGAATTAAAATCATTAAATTTAAATGTAATTTTTTGTTTTTGTCCCTATATATATATATATTACTGTAAGTAATATAATTCTCTCTACTTCAACAAGACTTTGTGTACGAGTCGATCGCAATACTTTTAGTGCCGGTGACATGCATGTCCCTCCATTCATTCATAGCTCACATTTTATTATCATCATTTACTGGTTAATCTTTTGCGGGCTTTAAATGGAATCCAAAATATTTAAAGCCGCTTATAAATTTAATGTATAGATTAACAGAAACAAGGTACTATTAGCAAAAACCGAAAATGAAGTTAAAATTGAAGATTTTTGTCATTAAGCTTTTTTAATAAGAAAATGTCGTGTTTTCAAAAAATAAGACAATGTCGTATTGAAGTGGCGGTGTATAGAGTTCATTAACAATCACATTGATGAACTTTTAATGGTTTTTGGACTGTGGCTTGTAATTGTTATAAAAAATTAAATTTATTTTATAATTGACAAAATGAAAAAAAAAAAAAAGGAAAAAATTGGAAAAATACCGAAGTGGATGCTTTTTTGGGTCATTAAGCCAAAATGAATTAGTAAGCAAAGTCATAAATTCATAATCCAATTGGGAATCCTCTGCGTTTTGTCATTTGACATTCGGAAGCACATTTATTGCATTTATGACTAGCAGGTACAAAGAAAAGATAAAGAAGGGGAAAAAGTCAAAAGTGAGAGCATTATTCGGCGGATGAACTTCATTATGCTTACATTACATTACGATTAAGTTACTGCTCTTTAGTAATTTTCTATTAATCTTAATATTTTTATAAAATAAAAGTCTCAATCCTTTGTGTAATTACCTCAAACCACACCTAAAGTTGAATGAAGTGAATACCGTACAAGGCTGGAACTTGATCAGCAACCTTATAACATCTTTCGTAGATTGGCGAAGAGCTGGAGATCTAACTGTACATCCAGCCGTAATGAGAAGAACCTCAGCGATGTCATCCCTAAAAGAAGCTGATAATCGCTGGTCCAGTGCCTTCGTAACTCCATTACTTTCCAGTTTTGTAAGGGCAGAAATGTAATCTAATAAAAACCTGGGCCATGAATAAGCATATGGGTTCGTGGATATCAATGGGCCCTATATGGCGGGAACTAATGTATGCTTGGCCCACAAAAATTTAATTTACTTGCCCATTGCATTCCGGTGTTTTTTACTGGACCTGTAGAGCTGAAATGAAAATGGACCAGGCCTACAGAGAACACAGTTTGGAATTGCGAGCGGAAAATTTTAGAGAAACGGCTACGAGGGAATGAGGCTACCGCCGACGACAGTTTATATATCAACCTGCAGATATGATTTTTTTGATGGTTTTTCATCAGGTGAATTGATTTTCACAACCGTTTAATTTATCAACCTGTTGAAATGAAATTTATCAGCCCAACCATTAGGGCGTTCTACCATGAAACATTCTTGTCAGTTTCAAAAACTTGCATCAACAGTTATAATGCTAATCCACAACTCAGTATTACTAGTCATAGTGTCCAATTGCTACAAATTGCATAATAGATATCAGAAAGCTAAGCTTATCATTGATTTTGACAAGACTAAATGGATCCTTGAATGAAGCAGGTGCCTCAACGTAAAGCTTTCTTTTCATTTACCCACCAACTGTTTTAACTGACCTGCATAATCACAGGATGGCTTAAAATTAAATGCAAAGCAGTTTGCACTTCACGTGAAATTTTCATTAGTTTATCATTCAATTGCATATTACATGTTTGCGACAATGTCTCCACGAATTCCAATATCTAATCGTTAACTATGCTTCTTTTATACGTTCTTTTATTTTAGCCCACGCTTGTTCTGTAGCAGAAGGTTGCTAAAATATTCATTTAGCTAATTCATCTAGGTAGTGTTACAATTCATTTTGAGTTGAGTCCGATTCAGCAATGTTGGTGACATGATTGTGTGCGTTGAAGCAACGCAATTTAGCCAACTCATTTGGATGGAGAGTGTGCTTACTGCATCATAACTTATCAACTTCAATTTACTGTTTCTTAAGATTTTTCAATTACATTTTTGTTCGTACAAGTAATGATTATTGTTGTCTGTTGTTTATTGTTATCCGAGTTGTTTGCACTTGTGTAATTTGCTACTAATTTATTATTTCAGGCACTGAAGTTGGCATTTCCATTCTCATTAGCATCCAATTGGTACGAAGAGCAGACTTCTTTTTTTTTTTTTTTAATTTTTTTTATATCTCCATTATTTCAATTTTAAAGGTTGTGCAATTCACTGACATTTTTCATTCTTTTCTTTCTTGCAAAGACATTGTTTAAAAATCAATAAAACATAACCTGGTTACGCCTTTTGAGATTATAAATTATAAAATTTAAAGAATATATCCCAATTTTTTTTTTTTTTTGGTAGAAATATATCCCAATTATTATTCTGCTGTGCATGCATATTTTTGATCCTTTGCTTATAGGGGACATGCCTATCCTGGGTTGAAGTTCATGATCATAGCCTAGCATGTCTTGATGCCCTGTCTTTTCAGTTGGAGAACTATTCTTTCAAGGTTTGTATCTTTCTTTTAGTTTATGGAGTCTCCACCATGATAAAAGAAATATTAGTTTCCATGAATCTTATTCTTCTTAGAGGACCCCACAGCCATTCTTGAAGTTGAAATATGACACACGTGTAGTTGTGCACTGACATTTTTGCATACAGTACTGTGGCTCTGATTTGTATTTATACTTGTTGCAAGTTGCTTCATTTTGTATATGTTTGTACAAATACACACAATGATCGAATTAATAATTTACTTCAATGCTGGTTCTAAGTCATATTTTCTATTATTAGCAACACAGAATTATCTGCATTATAGTATTGTTTTTCATTATGAAATGGAAGTATCCTGATCTGCTACAGGAAATGACAGTAACTTGCTACAAATATTTCTAGTTGAATATCATAAGGTAAATAACATGACCTAGTCATTAGATAATAACAGTACTCATCATATACAATATTTTAGAGCAGTGAAAGAATCTTTTGTCTTACTGAGAATACCTTTTAACAAACAAAGAGAGTTCCAGCTTGTGAGTGGAGGTTCTTGGCTCACTATCTGCGGTGAAGCCAATATGGTGGCTATTCCACTCTTAGATCTCCATTACAACATGGAAATGAAGTTCATTTAGAAAAAAAGTAACAGGAAAAATATGAAAAATAAAAGATTTCTTCTTTCTCCTCTGTTCTACTTAAATGGAGACAAACATGTCATGCAATCAATCACCTTGTTGGTCTTTTTTCCAGATGGTGAAACTGGTCGACCCATGTGAGTCATATTTGATTTTAAAATCAGAATTGAGGACTCCACTTCTGTGCAAAAAGGAATTGCCCATTGCGAATCTCAACCCTCCATCCTTAGCAAATAATTGTGCCTTTGTTTATGGAATTTTCTTTTCTTTGGTAGCTTTCCTTGTGAAATAAAAAAAGATTGGCAAAGATAAAGAGAATAAACAAAATTTTCAAAAGCCAGGGAGTGCTTTCGTTGGTGGGTCTTTGAAATATGTATGCTACGCATATAAAGCAGCCCTATTTGATTAAATTTCTCAAATACAAGGGCAAGAAAACAAAATGAAAAAGTATAAAATGTAAAAAGAAAAAAGAAAACATAGAAGAATCTACAAGCTACTTTAGTCGGAAAGAGGAAAAAAAGAGTAAGTTGCTGAAAATATATACTCCTATTGAAAAAAACAGATCATGGTGGAGACGAGCCAATCCCTTTGCAACTTCAATGGCTATTTGATGTTGCGTGGACCAATCTAGACAGATCTTATTTTTGTGAAGGGCATCCCAGAGGTTTCCATTCGGCACGTACTCATAAACCAGCAGGCTGCAATTCAAATTTGAGAAATAACATTACAATTTTACTATGTTTTTGTGCCTTATACTTCCCAGGGTCCCAACCTTAGGTTTCCAATTCTTGTCTGCGAGCAGCTGATCTTCTGAAGCTGAATCTTTCATTCCCTTAATCCACAGCATCTTCACAGCAACAACTTCCCCACTGCTCAATTCAATTTTGTACACTGTCCCAGATCCTCCATTGCCACTATGTTTTTATCAATCAAGCCATTAATAATCTCTTGTTGGTTAAAAGTGATTCCAAGGAAAGGAAGCTCTTTGGTGTTATTTTTATAGTATTTTTAATATAGTTTTTATTAGGATTTTAGTAGTTTTAATTACTTTAATTAATTTTTATTTAGTTTTATTTATGTTTTTGTTTAAAATTTTCTTGAATCATAATTTACTTGATGTTAAGGAAATTTGTAGGATTTTGACACAGAAAAGAGCAAAGTAAGCAAAACTTTCAGAGGCTGGCACGCCCTACCCGTGCCTCACAGCACGCCCGTGCCAAAGTTCCGGTTTTGCCTTAGGCCTAAAACGTCGGCCCATCCTGCACCACTTGTATGGACCCACGTGAGATGATTTCCTGACGTAAAAATCAAGTTTTAATCCTATTTAGATGCTGGGAGAGTTCTAATTGGGAACAAATATAAAGCCTGAACAGTTTTCTATCTCCAAAAGATTCTTATTCAATAAAGATTCACTTTCTTAAACGAACACGAAGATACTCCATAAAGTCTATATAAATAGAGAGACTAGTCATAAGGAGCCATTCATTATATATTCTATCTTTTGTTCTATTGTTTTCTCTCTTTTTCCAAGATTTCAAGTATTCAAGATTTGTGTCAAGATTCAAGAAGCTGCCCAAGCCAATCATTAACTAGTTTTTATTTCTAAACTCTTTTCTTATTTTATTTTCAATATTTATGTTGATTATGAGAATACTTACAAGTTTAATTGAGTTTTATTTAATTACTATGTTTAATTACTATATCGAACTAAATACTCGTACTAGGTATTTGATGTAGCTTAAATTCTTCTCCAATTTATAAAAATTAGATTTGTTTTTCTTTGTTCAAAGTATAATTTATTATTGCACTTAATGGTTCCAGGCAGAGTTTCTCCCATGGATTGATTTATTTCATTAATCACTATCGGGAGAAGGGTTTTTGATATGAATATGGTAATAAATTACATGAGAATAATAACTGTGATGCGGAAGCTATATGGTTTGACTCATGAGGGTTGTTCATAAGTAATGACCTTAGGTTATGAATTTCATAAACAAACCATTAAAACTTATAATTTAATCATGTTTGATTGTTGCTATTGGAAGATAGGTAAGTTAGGTACCGAGTTAAAATAGCTAACCAATACTCGGAGTTTTAGGGTTGTTATTTGCTACTTAAAAACAATCCTACTTAAACAATTAAAATTGATTATCAAACTAATAAAATAAATTAGATAGAATTAAGTGAAGTCAAAATCTCTAGTAGTTTTAAATCCTTGATTTTTCTTTTCATCAAATATTGTTGCTTGATTTGTTTTTGGTATTTTTTTTATTTGTTTAATTTAATTTCTTAAAATAATTCCCCTTATTGCGATTTAAAAAATAATAGATTAACATAATTTTGATATTTGATATACAATATCTGTGGAAATGATACTACTCATTCTATATTATTTGTTGGGATTTTCATACACTTATAAAAAATCACTGTCACTCTTTTATCATATGAAAGTAATGGTGAAGGTAAACTCTGATCATGTTCCATAAACTTTTCAATTTCTGAGTTTACATTTTGGCAACTAGAGAGCTCCAACTATAATGATAGCTACAGAAATTCCAATCACCCATAAAGAACTTTTGTTCTTTCGATTATAATTTTGTGAGCATATGGGGAAATTTTGATCTGCAGAAACATAGACTGGAACACAAAGATCTGTGTTCCCCAAAAAGCTTTCCAGCAACCCACCTTCTATGAGAGAGAGAGGAATTGGACCAGAAAGGCGATTGTTAGAAAAATTAATAGAATTTGGTAACACAACACCAAGACTTTCTGGTACATCTCCGGTCAATTGATTGTTGGAAAGATCAAGAACATCGAGAGATTTCAGCAATGATAGTGATTTGGGGATTGAAGAATTCAGCATGTTGCCTTGCAGCATCAGTAGATTTAGCTGGATTGAAGAATTCAGCATGTTGCCTTGCAGCATCAGTAGATTTAGCTTTTTCAGAAAGCCAATTTGAAAAGGTATGGGGCCCGACAGGAGATTATTGCTGACATCAATCTTTACTAGATTGACAGCCCCAGAAATTTCAGGAGGTAGAACTCCTGAAATCTTGTTGCTTTGCAAGAAAAATTCAGACAAGTTTCTTGCAGTTCCAATTGTATTTGCAATTGAACCACTAAAATTATTGTAACTCAAATCAATTATTGAAACATGGGGAAGACCTAGAAGTCCTTCTGGTATTAAGCCCTCCAAACGGTTTTGATTGACTCGAAATCGCAGAAGAGTCTTACATTTTCCATAACTGTCAGGTATCTCTCCAGAAAACATGTTATCTAAGACGAGAAAGTATAACAGTTTACCTCTTTTGCAAACTTCTGTCGGTAGTGGGCCCGATAGGCGATTCTCTGACAGGTCTAGGACAATCATAGGTGACAGTTGCCCCAAGTTCTGTGGAACTTCTCCTGTAAGAGTGTTTTCATAGGCTGATAAAATGCGCAAAGTTGTTGAATTGCCAATAGCACTTGGGATATCTCCTGAGAGGCTGTTGTTGTAAAGCTCCAAGACTTCAAGCTTTGGAAAGTTGTTGAATTGCCAATAGCACTTGGGATATCTCCTGAGAGGCTGTTGTTGTAAAGCTCCAAGACTTCAAGCTTTGGAAGGCGGCATATGGATTCTGGAATTTTTCCAGTCAGCTTATTGACTGAGATGTCCAAATCTATTAGCTCTGTCAAATTTCCAAGTTCTTCCGGTATATTTCCAGAAAGATGATAATTATAGTAGAGCTCAAGCTGTTGCAAGTTCTTCAGCAACCCAATCTCAGCTGGAATCTGACCTATGAGAAAATTTCCACTTAATTCAAGATCGGTAAGAGATGTCATATTTCCAAGTGATGCTGGGATTGGACCATTCAGCATGCACGCTGTCAAGATCATTGACTTAAGCTTTGTTAGTCTGGAAATGTTCTCTGGAAATTGCCAGAAGTTCAATTCCAAATTTTCATTGAAGTTAAGCAACTCCAGGTTGGTGAGGTTAGTCACTGACATTGGAAAGTCACCCCTAAAGCTGTTGTACGATACGTCAAGAATCTGGAGAGCTCTCAAAGATGAGAAATCAGGAAGTGTTCCAGTGAGGTACAAAGAACTCAGATTGAGTTCTTCTAAGAGAGAGCAGTTGAGGATGCTGTGAAGGAACTCGCCATGGAGTTGGTTGTGGCCAAGACGAAGAATTTGCAACTCTGGCAGGTAAGAACAAATACCAGTTGGGAATTTGCCCGATATAGACCAACCGGTCATGTCAATCTTTTCCACGCACCCGTTATTGTTACAATCAACTCCTGTAAAATTGCAAACTGGTTTCCCTCCAGTAACATCCCACTCGGATAAAGCTTTCCCTGACAGGGAAGTTCTCATTAGATTGAAGAAGTAAGATTGATTATTGGTTGTAGCATACAGAGAACAGGCATTGGAAATAATTGACACGAAAAGTAAGATAATTGAAGAGAAAGCCATTAGTGGCAGTAGCAGGCGAGATACAGCTGTGTTGCATATATATAATACAAGTAGGCATGGTATTTTCTAAGCCAACATTTTTTACCCCCAAAAAAACTAAACTTTTTTTTACTGTAATGAACTAATGATTCACAAAAAGAGCTGATAAATGGATGAATGGGAATTCGGAGGAATATGATTAGAAAAGACTAAACAGTGGGCCTCAAAAGTCATGATAGCCAGCATAACTTTTTGACTGAGAAGAATGATGGTGTTGTTTCTATTTTCTACTTTCTAATTCTTGAATCTGAGGGGAAATTCTCATTTGCCCCGCAATTTTGACATTCAAATCAGTTGCATTCTCTTACTTTAATTTCGGTCAATTCAATTTATGACATCTTAGTTTTTGTTTTGTCAATTAAATCTTCAACTGGAAGTATAACTGCACGTGATAATAGTGAATATTAAGAATTTAAGTTTGTATATATGTAAGAACTCTCCATCACCTTCACTAATCTTTATAAATTAGTGTATTTATGATTCTTTTTGCGTAAATATGTCTTACTTTGTTGATGAGATAATTTCAAATTGAAGTTATATCAATAGTTTGCAATTCGAGAAAATTTTCAAGCAAATATTTAAAATTAATATATATTTTCCAAGCAAAATATTTTAGAAATTAATATATATAATTATATATATATATCAAAGGTGTTGGTTTAACTTATTTCATTAGTACGAAAGAGATTTTATAATTAAAGTAAAATTTTTGGAAATTTACTTTTCTTTTAAAAAACTTTTTTTTTAGAGGAGGTAATATATATATATATATATATCAAAGGTGTGGTTAACTTATTTCATTATACAAAGAGATTTATAATTAAATAAAATTTTGGAAATTTACTTTTCTTTTAAAAACTTTTTTTTTAGAGAGTGTAAAAACTTTCTTATAGAAAAGGAGATTATTATTATTATTATTATTATTTTGACAAAGTGTTAATTATACTTGTAGTGGCTAGGATAATATATAGTTGAATTAAGTTCACCTCACATTTTGCAAAGTCAAGTCTTTCACCATTGGGAAGCACATTCATTGTTGCATTTAGAGTTGGGACACAGAGAGAGATAAAGGGAAGGGAAATTGTCAAAAGGCTTTTATACTTGCATTTCTGCTACATCACAATTAATTAAATTTTAATTAATGCTTTGTAGTATTTTTCAATTAAATTATACAATACTTTTGTAAAATAAAAGTCTCGACACGTGACTCCAAGAGAAAAGGGGAAACAAAAGGAGATTAGGCCATTCAAGGTTGTAACATCATCAGCAACCTGACAACAAGTTTCATAGATGGGCGAAGAGCTGCATTTTCAAGTGTACAGCGAGCCACAATGAGAAGAACCTTAGCCATGTTATCACTAAAAGAAGCTGATAATCTCTGGTCCAATGCCTCCATTATTCCTTCATCAGTTTCCAGTTTTGTTCCAACCCAATCTATTATATTGTGGCCCTCTTCAAACTCTTCCTCTACTGGCTTCTTCCCAGTAACAAGTTCCATCAACACCACCCCAAAGCTATACACATCACATTTTGTTGTTGCTTTCGATGAATATGCATATTCTGTTTCAAGAATATCAAATAATTAAATTAATTTTTGGGTCGGAAATCATGCAAGTTTAATTCAAGAATCATTAGTACGTACCTGGGGCCAAGTAACCATAAGTTCCTGCAACAACAGTAGTGGTGGAATCATTTCTACCTCCAGATTGCAAAACCTTGGCTATGCCTAAATCTGCAACCTTAGGCTCATACTCATCATCTAGTAACATGTTTGTTGATTTGATGTCTCTGTGTACGATAGGTTGTGTTAGGTCGTCATAGGCCAAGGCTTGTGCCACCCCAAGTGCTATTTTGTAACGGTCTGGCCAATTCAAATCAATCCTCCTACTGTTATTGTCAAGTGCGTCCCAAAGGTCTCCTTTTGGCATATACTCATAAACCAATAGGTGATTTCTGCGACTGGACATGATACAATACAATTTGATTATATTCCTGTGTCTTACTTTTCCTACAGTCTCAATCTCAGTTTCTAGTTCTTTTTCCAAAAGCAATGGATTTTGTAAAGCTCTGTAACTTGATAGCTTTTTCACTGCAATTACCTTCCTATTTCTCAATTCAATTCTGTACACTGAACCAGACCCTCCACGGCCTACAATATTGTCATCGACGATACCGTCAATGATCTCTTTTTGGTCAAACCTTATTTCATGAAAGCTCTTTATGTCGTATGAAAATAATGATGAAGACATGGTCTCTTCATCATGTTCCATGACCTCTCGATTGCTGAGTTTACGTTTTAGAAACAGGAGAGCCATAATTATAATGATAACTACTGAAACTATGATGATAATCTTTCGATTATGAGTTTGTGAGCACATGGGAAATTCTAGATTTGAGTAAACATGGATTGGAACACAGAGACCCGGGTTCCCTGAAAAGCTCTCTGGAAACCCAAGAAGAGATTTGAGGAATTGAACCAGAAAGACTATTGTTACGAAAATTGATAGAACGATAGCGTAACAACCCGCTGAGACTTTCCGGGATATTTCCATTAAATCGATTGTGGGAGAGATCAAGATCATCGAGAGAATTTCCACAATGATAGTGAGTTGGGGATTGTATTTGCAATTGAACCGCTAAAATTATTGTAACTCAAATCAATGGCTGAAACATGGGGAAGACCTAGAAATCCTTTTGCAATTAAGCCTCCAAATGGTTGTCATTGACTCGATACTCCACAAGAGTCTTGCATTTTGCATGACTATCTGGTAGCTCTACAGAAAACATGTTATACTTGACATTAAAGTGTAACAATTTACCTCTATTGCAAACTTCTGTTGGTAATGGGCCCGACAGGTGATTCTCTGACAAGTCTAGGACAATCATAGGTGACAGCTGCCCCAAGTTCTGTGGAAATTCTGTGAGAATGTTGCTTTGAACTGATAAAATGTGCAAAGTTGTTGAATTGCCAATAGCACTTGGGATTTCTCATGAGAGTTTGTTGTAGTCAAGTTGCAAGAATTCCAGCTTTGGAAGGCGGCATATGGATTCTGGAATATTTCCAGTCAAACCGCCTGAGATGTCCAAACCTATTAGTTCTGTCAAATTTCCAAGTTCTTCAGGTATGTTTCCAGAATAATAGCGGAGCTCAAGCTGCTGCAAGTTCTTCAGCAATCCAATCTCCGATGGAATCTGGCCTTTGAAAGAATAACTTGGACTTAATTCAAGATCAACGACAACAAGGAATGTTAGGTTTCCTATTGATGCTGGTATTGGATCGTGCAGATTGCAATTTGCCAAGCTCATTCATTTAAGCTTTGTTAGCCTGGAAATATTCCGAGGCAGTCGCCATAAGTTCAGTTCACTATTTTCATAGAAGTAAAGCAACTCAAGGTCGGTAAGATTTGTCACTGACATTGGAAAATCGCCTTTGAAACGATTGAATGACATGTCAAGTATTTTCAGAGATTTCAACTGCGAGAAATCAGGAAGTGTTCCAGTGAGAAACACAGAACTCATGTTCAACTCTTCCATGAGAGTGCAATTGATGATGCTGTGAAGGAAATCGCCATGAAGAATATTGTGGCCGCAACTCTGGCATGTAAGAGCAAATACCAGTTGGGAAATTGCCTGAGACGGACCAACCAGACATGTCAATCTTTTCAACATACCCCTTATTGTTACAATTGACTCCTTTAAAATCGCAAAATGGTTTCCCTTCAACGACATCCCAACCGGATAAAGCTTTTCCTAACGGAGAAGTTTTCATTAGATTAAAGAAATGAGATTGATTAGTGGTGGTAGCATCTAGAGAATAGGTTGTGGAAATAATTGACACGAAAAATAAGAGAATTGAATGGGAAGCCATTAGTTGCAGTAACAGGCAAGAGAGAGTTAAGGGTTTGCATATACAAGTAGGCAAAGGAAACAAACGAGTCAAAGTGCCAGTTGGGTGACATGTACTTTCTAAGCCATCTTTTTCTTTTCTTTTTTTTTTTTTTTAAAAAAAAAAAGAGAGAGTTTAAGGTTGCAGTGATACAAGTAGGCAAAGGAAACAAAAAACGAGTAAACAAGTGCCAGTGTGGGTGAGCATGTCTTTTCGTAAGCCATCTTTTTGCTTTTGCTTTTTTTTTTTTTTTTTAAAAAAAAAAACCCATACGTTTCTGACTGTACGTTTTTTTTTTTTTTTTTTTTTAAAAAAAAAAACCATACTTTCTGACTGTTACGATCTAACGATTCACAAAAAAGGCTAATTAATGGATGGATTGGAATTCGGAGGAGTATGATTAGAAAGGACTAAAGAGTGAGCAGCCAAAAACGAATACTATAAACAGTTAAATTGATAGATAGCACTATTGTCACTATAAAAAGGGTCCATCTTGACCTTTTCTTGCTTTTATATGTGTCTGAGAAAGCTTTGAGAAAACTAAAACCCAACTTCCTATCCTATTTTCCGACATATTTCTAATGATTTTTATAAAATGTATGATGAAAAAAGTAGTAATTTACATGATTTACAACTTACAAGCAAATATACAATAAACACTCAAATTATAATTTGATTAATGTTTTGCAGTATTTTTAAAATACGTCATAATATTTTTGGCAGTCATGTGGTACGAACAGCTGATCTTTTTTTTTGTTTTTTTTCATTTGTAAATCTCCGTAATTTCAATTGTGAAGATTGTGTAATTCACTGAAATTTATCATTCTTTCCTTTCTTGCAAAGACAATTTTTCAGAAACAATATAACATAGCCTGGTTTTGACTTTTGAGATTATAAATTACAAATTTTAAAGAAATCCCAATTATTGTTCTAATGGGAATGACTGTTTTTGATCCTTCGCTTACAGGGGACATGCCTATCCTGGGTTGAAGTTTATGATAATAGCCTAGCATGTCTTGATGCCCTTTGTAATGTAAATTATACATCTACCGTTGCATTTATAACAGGGACGCAAAGAGAAAGATAAAAGAGACAATTTTTTTTCCGAGGAGAAGTAT